CGAACTAGATCGGCTAGATCGGGTAACTATCTACGCTTCGTCCTATAGTTTCTCCTATATACGCTACTATCGCCGGGTAAATAAATACTTTAGACTATTCTACTTATACGGAACCTATATACGTACGAAAAATATTAACACCTACTACTATAGGACGCTATATTTAACGATAGCCTCTTCTACTATATACGCCTATAGCGGCTTACTAGGCGTTTTATTACGCTCGACCTATATAGCTTCGATTTAGATAGTATGGCCTATACGCGCGTTAACCTTTTAACTTATATAGGCTACAGCAGCTATAGAATCCTAAATCGCGGCTATAGTTAATACTTTCTCGCTCTAGTCCTCGGGATCGGGTTGTTAGATATATTAGACTAAATTGTTAGGGTTTAAACCGGCTAAATATACAGCCTACTATATACGACGTAGCCATAGGTTCGCTTTATCTCGCTAGCTAGCTTTAATCTAAATAGGCTATATAATATACTACTAATATAGCTCTTCGATCTTATCGAGCTTAGTATAGATCTATAACACTTAAGGGTTTAGCTAACTAGGCTACGCGGCTAGATTATAAGTTATATACCCTAATATATAGATATAATACTTACCGATACTATGGTTAAACGCCTACTAGTATATAACTATACGGCTAAACTATTAGATCTACTCTTATATAGATTGTCTAGCTATAGCGCGGGGACGTCCTTTGCTACTAGCTACTATCTAGCTATAGGCTATACGCTAGTGCTATTTTATAACCTCGATTTTATAAATTATATAACAGTAGCCTAGTTCCTATATATATAATATACTATCGTTATATACGGTTAACCCTTAGATAGGTCGATTGATTATAGTAGGCACTTCCTAATCGTCGTACTCTTAGACTCTATTCTACTATTAGATAGTATACTATAACTGCCTACTAGTAGGTGCTCCTAATCGATATTAGGCTCCTTATAAATAATAACTAATTTCACTAGGCCTAATACCGATATAATAATATTTATAAATAATAATAGGGTATTCTTCGGGTTTAATAAAAATTTCTATTAGTATTTTATAAGGTTATAATTTACGTATATATATAAATATATAAGTAGTAAACGTAGTAGGTATATAGTAGTCGACGTTATAGAAAATTAAGAAAAGAGCTAGAGAAAAGAAACGTTATATAATAATCACCCCTAAATTCTACCGCGGCCCGTATTAGTAGTCTACTTTAACTTTATAATAGAATTCTTATAGTAGGGTATATGATCTTTCTAGGACTTCTAGGTAGATAGTCTCTATAGTCTCCCCTTTCCTTTCCTAGAGTGATACGTCTAAAGAAAGTGGTTCTTTAGATTATCTAGCGTCGATAGTAGTGCGTCTAAAGAAACTAATTCTTTTAGTTTCTTTTTACAAAAATAATCGGGACTACTAAATAGATTATCTAAAGAAAGTGGTTCTTTTAAATCTTTTTCGCGAAAATAATCGAGACTATTTAATAGATTATCTTATATCGATAGTGGTATATCTAAAGAAACTAGTTCTTTTAGTTTTTTTCGTGAAAATAATCGAGACCACTTAATAGATTATCTTATATCGATAGTGGTATATCGAAAGAAACTAGTTCTTTTAGAATTTTTCTTTAAGTAAAATAAACGATAAAAATAATTATAGCTAGTAATAGTAATAGAAAGTAATAGAAATCATTATTAAATACTACTTATAGGTAATATAAATTCTTATAATCTATTAGTAATATATTCTAATTTTAATAACTATCTTATATACCCTTTAGCTATCTTTTCTCCTATCTTATTTAATAAATTATATAGTTTCTATTCGAATTTACGCTAATCCCTTCGAGTTCGAATTTATCTATTATAGTTAAGTCTACTATATCGATAGCTATTAGTAACCCTATTAGATATAAGGCTATAGATTAATCCTTCGCCTTCTCTATTATACTAAATCTTAATAGTTAGTATATAAGGTCGATTAAAGAAGGACTCGCTATAATTAAAACCCTATTACCTAAGGATATTTATCTAGCTATATTAATAATCTAAGATTATATCTATAGAGTTATAGGGAACGCTATAAGATCGCTATAAGAGTTATATAACTTTATTAAAAAGGGGGAGTTTTAGAGGATATATAAAGTAAGCCTAAAATTATTCCGAAACTTATAGTAGGTTACTCGGAATGTAGTGAAAGTCTAAGAAGGTCTCGATCGTTTTAAGGCGAACGTATATAGGTAAGCTATCCTCTAGTAGGGTAAGTAGTAGGCTAACGCTCTTTTTATATATATAGGAAGCTACGCGATACTCCGAAAGGTTAGTAAGATTATTAGTAAAGGACTATTATATCCCGAGCTCTAAACTACTATTAATAACGCTATTATATATCGAAAATCTAGATATAGTTGTGGTATTCGCTAGTATACTCGAATTATATAAATTGATCTCGACTTTACGCTTATATAGTGTAATTTCTAACGCCTTAACCTTTAAATCCTATAAGCACTAGAGCTTAGGGTTGATATAGACGGATTTATCTATTTAATCCGATTAGGTTATATAATACTACCTACGAGTATAGTATAGCTAATACGATCTAGGGGTGCTACTAATACTATAGAGCCTCCTAGATCCCTTTAAAAGAGACCCTAAGATAATACGCTATTATTAATATTATTACTATTATTATATTTATTATTAACCCCCTCTATACTATCTAATTATAACGTTAATTATAGCGACGAGGAGAACGATAAGGAGAACGATAATAACGATCTATCTAATTATAACGATAAGGAGAACGATAAGGACAATAAAGCTCTTTCTAGCCGTCTAAAGCGGCTATACCTAACTCCTAAATATTTACTTACTAGCTATAGCTGTGCTTTTACGGATACTACGATTAAGCGTCTTCTAAGGGGGGCTAAACTCCTAACCGATACCCTAAAGAAGTAGCTACTCCGATAGGTTAGAAAGGTAATAACTACTTAGAGTGCTATATATACCTTACTATTACTATCTCTCTATAATCTCTATATTTACGAACTGTATAAACGCTTAGGCCTTTACTATAATATTCTATATAAGGAATTGCTCCGACGATTATATGACTTATATATAAATCTTAGTATATAGGACGAGATAAAGGGTAGGAATAAGGCCTAGTTTAAATATATAGTAAGCAATCTAGAATCTAGGTAGCGGTTCCCGATCGCTAGCTCTAGTAAACCTAGGATTATAAACCTAGCGCTTATCTAATTATTGATATTCGTTTAACTATATAAGCGCTACTTTAGCTAAGACCCCAACCCTAGTATTAGGGACTTAGATTAGTAGCTAGATTAAGATAGAAGTATTATACTTCTAGGGCTATTTAGATAGTTAAGTGAGGATTTCGATAGGAATTACCTACGTAGCCTACGGGATTTGATAATAGAGGAATTTAATATATACGACTAGTATTACCTAGCCCGCCCGTTTAAGCCTTATATTAGTTAGGCTAGGAATATATAGTTTAGCTTAGTATAGTAGATAGTTCGATAGGACCCTATATACTATACTTTCTATATACTATACCGTCCTAATTATATATAGAAGCTAGTGTTATTTCTATATTACGCTAAGCGAATATATCCTAGAGAACGTACCTTCTTTCGCTATATTAATATAAATATCACCGACTTCGTGCGTAGTGGTCGGGGTAAGAATACGCTATAAGGGAGCCTCGCTCTCTCTAATAAGGATAGCTATAACTATACCGAATTACTCCTAGGTATATATCGCGATATCGATATATAGTATTAGCGGCTAATCGACCGAGGGTACGCTAAGGATAGGTTTATATAATATATCGACGCCGAGATATAGACTAAAGAGGACGAGGCCTACTTTAGCTATAGTTAGATAAAATAGATCTATTAGTTTAGGGATATATAGCTAAGTCTACCTAGCCTACCCTATAGGTCTACCGGCCCCGCGAGTTCCTAGTATATTAATATCCTACCTTAGTTCGTTACTATCGGTGATAATTATTAGACACTAGATATTATAGAATCTAGTACCTAGGATAACCTCTCGCGCTACTATCGTGATTTCTAGTCGGGCACTAAGACACTATCCGGTCTACCGAATAGTATATATAGTAGTTAAGTAGATAATATATTTCCTATAACCGTTCGGCTAGGACACTTAGGTACGATTTCAGATATACTAATTAGCTAGATGCGATAGGATATAGTAGACGTATAGAGGGAGTTAGATATTTTATTTAGCGATAACGAGGATATATTATAGAATTATATATAGGCCTAGAGACGAAACGCCTAGCGCCTATATTATACTACGTTTACTAACCTTATAGCTACTAAGAAGGAGGTATTTAGTAATAATTCCTACTTCTACCGGAGGGAATTAAACCTATCTACTACTCCGGAGTTTATCTATAATAGTATCTACTATATTAGGTTCTAGTATACTACTAATACTTTAGGACTTCCTAATACCGAAGTATATAGCCCTTCTACTAGCGACGATATAGAATATAATAAATCGGCTAATGTCGATATTAGAGAGTATAAAGATATCGAAAGGATATTTATAGATATATACTATAGTAGTACCTTTAGGTATATAGCTCCTCCTAACTTTTCTAGTATACGTCTATAGTATCTACCTATAGGTACTATTAATAATACGACTATAGGGTTCTATTCTATAGTTATTTAGTAAAGAATGTTAATTTATTCCTTTTAATATAATACGGTTTAGTAAAGAAAAATAGTCTAAAACTTTAAGTTTATAAATGAGACCTTTATCGATAGGAGCGTAGACTGTAGCTATAAATATAGAACTGTAGCTATGAATATAGAAAGGGTATAATTTAATATTTTTAAAGTATATTAAAGACCTAGCTTGATTCTGATTAACGTTTGGATTCTAACGTTTGGATTCTAGCGTTCTCGAGACCTCAGTCCTTTCATCTTATCTATGGAGCTCGAGACCTCAGTCCTTTTATCTCATCTCAGTCCTGTCATCTCATCTCAGTCCTGTCATCCCATCTCAGTCCTGTCTCCTCTCATCCCATCTCAGTCCTGTCTCCTCTCATCCCATCTCAGTCCTGTCTCCTCTCATCCCATCTCAGTCCTGTCTCCTCTCATCCCATCTCAGTCCTGTCTCCTCTCATCCCATCTCAGTTCTGTCTCCTCTCCTCTCATCTCATCTCAGTCCTGTCTCCTCTCATCATCTCAGTCCTGTCTCCTCATCTCATCTCAGTCCTGTCTCCTCATCTCATCTCAGTCCTATCTCCTCATCTCATCTCCGTCCTATCTCCTCAGTCCTTCTTCATCCACCACCATCCTCCTTCCATCTTCTTCATCCACCACCATCCTCCTTCCATCTTCCTTCTTCATTCTTCATCCACCAGCAGCATCCTCCATCTTTATCATCCACTAGCAGTATCCTCTATCTTTATCATCCACTAGCAGCATCCTCCATCTTCATCATCCACTAGCAGCATCCTCCATCTTCATCCTCCATCTTCATTATCTACTATCTTCATCCTCTATCTTCATCCACCACCATCTTCATCCTCCATCTTCATCCACCACTAGCATTATCTACAACTATCTACGACTATCTATAACCATCTACGACCACTATCATAGTAAGTTCCCCCTATATAACAACTTCTCCCCATATTTATATCTTTAGCTTAGTTTTACACTTTTCCCTTCGAGTACACTTCTCACTTCAAATACTAACATTCTCCTTTATCCTCTTCGAAGCCTTATTACTATTATCCGTTATAGTAGGAAATCAGATTATTCGCTAAGGAACTATCTTCTAGCGTCGTCCTACTCGTGATCGTCTATCGAACCCTATACTATAGCTCCTCTTTTACCTCCCCTACATTTAGCGAAGCCTCGCGGATTAGTTACTTCGAGCTCCCGAACCTAGTTTCTAGCTACACTTTAAAATCACCTATATCTAAGATACGGTTAATATAAATAACTACGAAGGTTGTTATATATTAGGATAAGATTACGAGATAGTAATATTCGACCTACGAATTATTTATAATCTTACTAACTATATACTCTCTTTTTAGCTCCCTACTAGAATAGAAGGGTATAGGTACGAATTGCTAGTATTGATTTTATAGGTCGCCTTATTCTAGGACACCTATAATACTACCGAACGTAATTATAAAAGCCTTATTAAGAACTAGTTCCTCCTTAGAAGCTCTTTTACCTAGCTTACATTTTATATCGCTAATCTCTACCGCGCGTTTACCCTCCTTATACGGAACTATATTAATACTTACGGATTATACCCTCGCTACCTAGTGAGTTTTCTATTCTATCTCTTTATTAACTTTACTAATCTTTTTACGTTATTACTAGAATACCTATTATATGTCCTACTATAACTAGCTCCTTAGCTATATACCGATTCCCTAAGAGATTAAGGCAGATAGAAGCCTAGAAAGGTTTATAGCTATATTATTATCCCGTTATAAATCGATTAGTATAGAAGACTATATCTACCTCTAGTATAGCGTAGTTAGGGCTTTTCAGTCGAATATAATATATATTACTAGAGATAGTGTAAATATGCCCTACTATAACGATATTAATACTATTATCGGACGGTTCTCTATTTCTATAATTCCTACCGAAGGACGTTAATAATTCTAGGAATGAAATTCTAGGGGGATAGGATACGGTGGGAAGTAGTTATTTATACTATACCGTTCTAATAGTCCTTAAAATATACACTCGATTATATATCTTTAATTAGTTTACTTTCTATACTTACCGGTTAGGGTTTACTTCTTTTTTTTTTTTTATACTAATTATAGTTTAATTAGCTTCTCTAGAGCTCGCTAGATCTTACTTCTCTTTCTTCCCGATCTTTTACTATTTTAAATAGAGTACTCTCTTACTCTATATCTTTACTCTACTTATAGACCTAACTTATAAGATAACACTTTCTAATATAAATAGAAAAGGTCGAAGATAAAGATAGATATATATATTCGTATATAGTATATCTACTAAGTTATTAGATTAGTATATATATAGGAAGTGGTTCGATCTTACTAAAATTGCACCACTAGATAGCTATATCTTCTATATACTCCTTATATAAATCTTAACTTACTATAAGTAATATTATAAGTGATATTTATTAGATTACTAACCCTAATATTGAAGTTAGAGCTACAAAGCTATAGTTATAGGCTAAGTCCTAAGCTATTACTAAAATAATTCCTAGATTTCAATCGCGCATACCTTAATCAACATAATATATTTTGGCTCGAAATTGAAACCTCAGAAAATTCACTACTATAAATAGAACTCTTAAAAATCTTAGTATCATCCGAGGCCTATAACAAAAACCAGTGGGCGTCTGAAAGTTAACTCATATGGGCGTTGACCCACTTTTTTTCTCCCATAGTAAACTTCAAAGCCCTAATTCAAGTTACGGTAACTTGTCCCACCCCCATAGGATAGACTTTAGATGGAAAAAGGAGAATCCTAGAGAAGCTAGGAATAGGTTCACGATAAATTTATACAAAGTTAGTATATTTAAAATGAATTTGTACGAAATTTATCTATTAATTTAAAGTGGTTAGATTATACGAAATGGTAGAATTGGTAGAATATATATTTGATATATAGTAGTGAATATATCCTGATATATTATACAGTCGCACCCTATTAAAAATAATTTAAAATTTTAATCGGCTACTATACCTTTATTTCTGGGTTAATGACTCTGAAATTCGAACACTATACTCTTTAAGATATAGAATAGATCTCTACAAATTTTCAGACCGATCCTCGTACGAGAAGGAATTCCAGTCTACTCGTAAAAAGTATTCCAGTCTACTCATGGCCCCACTTTTTCCTCCCATAGTTAAGCCAAAGTCCTAATTCTAGTCTACTAGACTGCGCCCACCCCTATGGGATAGAACCTTTCTGTTTTTTGACTTCTTTCCCCACCCCAGGTTTCCGGGGTTGGACCAAGGTTGATGAAAACCCCGCATATCAACCTCCAATGAGAGCCGCGAGTAATCACGAGGGCGATTTCGCTGGCAAATTTAGACTTTTAGATAGAATTGCAAATTCTGCCACTAATTTTGCCAAGCCTAGTAACATCCACCCGGTATTGGTGGGCTTCACCGGATGCAAAATTGTCAGCCAATGGAAAAATGTTCAGCCAAAAACCATACCAATAGTAATTACAGGTATCCACCAGTCGTTGTTCTGCCCATAACAAAAGCTGTTGTGTCCCTATTAATTTTTGTAGACCGGCAGTCACTTGAATGATTTAAACTTTGGTAATGGCTCTTTTCACTTCAACATACTCTTCCTCACTCTCGTCGTTCCCTGCCTCTCTTCCTGTTCAAATTATCGACGTACAATACCACTTCCTCTTAAACCCCAGCATATACCCAATTCGCCACCAGTGAGAGATGCAGCACGCCAACACCGGTTCCGTTGGCCTACACACCCTCGCCAACTTGCAACATGAATAGTTCCCCACAGAATCCGACATCGCCGTTAGGGTCGGGAAACAGAACTGTGGACCACGCGCTCGATATCAGCGTAGTCGTGTTAATATCGATCGCGCTATACAATGCTCTGGAACTGGCGATCCTCATTCTGCTCTCCTTCCGCCGCTATCGCAGCCTCTATTTTTGGTCTCTCTTGACGTCGGCCATTGGCGGTGTGATCCCATCCACTATTGGCGGTTTCTTGCAATTCTTCAACCTGGTGCCATTATGGCTAAGCTTGGTCTTGCAGATTGTTGGATGGGTCCTGATGGTGCCGAACCAGTCTGTGGTGCTCTACTCGCGATTACACCTGGTATCGCAAAGCAGGACGACGTTGGGCTTCGTGCGGGCGCTAATAATACTGTGTCTTATTGTGATTGTCGTGCCGACGATTGTGTTGAATGTGGGGTGGACCTATATGCCGCAGTCCCCCGCGTGGGTGCAGGGATACGCCGCTTATGAGCGGATCCAAGTGACTTGGTTCACATTGCAAGAGTGTTTTATCTCAGGGGTCTATATCTGGGAAGCCGTTCGAATAATTCGGCTCACTCCTAGGGACGACAAATGGCGACATAAAATCTTATACGAACTGCTGGCGGTCAACGTTGCAATTATTGTCATGGACTTGGCGGTGATAATTCTCCAGTATCTGAGCTATTACTTTTCGCATCTCATCTTGAAAGCGACAGTGTATAGTGTCAAGTTGAAGCTAGAGTATGCAGTGCTGAGTCTGCTGGTTTCGATCGTGCATTCGCGGGGCTCGGAGAGGCAATTCTGGCCGGTCGATCGAACGACGTCGAATATTCCCAGCACATGGTCTGTGGAGGCGGAAAGATGTTAAAAATTATGTTTTGCGTCAATTATGCCGGATGGAGACTTCGCATGTTCTTTAATGATCCTTATACATCCCCGGAGTTTTCCCAGCAATTGCAAGGACTAGTAATGCTAGCAAACGATAGCCAGCAAGGCTATGAGAAGAACCAAGAGTGTCTCAAGTCATATCCGCAGCACACTCACGACACTTGTGCTTCGGTTATGGGAGAGATCCTAGGCGCTTATGGGAGACCCCTCTTAGGACTATGCGTAGACATACATGGCTTGGAATAAGCTATATGGCTTGAAATAAGAGCGTACTACAGGTAAGACACATGGCACCCCGAGAGAAATCTAATAGGAGTGGTACTGGGATAAGAGACTACTTTTGTCACTGTGATAGAGCCATGTAGAGTATTCTGGAAGTGGTAACATGAAAGGAAGTTGATAGCAAACTATATTCAGCTAGCTCATTCCCAAGAGTAAGGGATCACTTGGAAGGCTGAGGATAAGTGACCTCTCTTAAGAGGTCTCTACTTATGGGAGAATCCCCTTGGGAGGAAATTAGTCACAGTACGTCCTGTTGTAGTTCAGAAGTATGATCGATTGTTATTACAAAGGGAAACATGGGACTATATATACAATGAGAACGTCAAGCTGATTGAAAATCAACTTGACTCTTCGTATAGATAACTCAGGGCTAATTCCGATAGCTGTCGGCGGCACGAGAACAAGGAGCAGAGTGGAATGGCTGTATTCGCATAGACTAACAGAAGACTGGGGGAGGAAGAGAGAGAGAGAGACTGAGAGAGAGGAGAGACAAACAACCAGACATGACTAGCCTGACAAACCAGGCAGCCACCTATGTCACGTGACCAGAAGCTCCAACAAGTACCTGTTGAGGGCTACAATACTGGAGAACTACTAGTGATGACTAGCATGGGGAAAATCAGGAAGAAGATGCATGGTATAAATCTATGGGAGACAGGCTGTATATGAAGCCTGTGCTAACAAAGAAATGGCAAACTGGCAAAGCAAAGGCTCAGTCTGCACACAATGAGACAGACATCCCATGTATGTCAACAGTACCTATCGTCACGACTTATTTACCCCAATAAATCAGGAATAACTTGATTTGTTTTGGCGCCATTTCAGTTTTGAACCGTTTGCTTCACACCCTAAAGGTGGATACGGTCATCAGTTAAACTGTAGAAACACGGTAGACATAGTGGTATAGATCATACAGGCAACCCCCATTGTAATTATCAACACATCTCCTCCTTTTTCCCACCAGGTAGTCGCAATACCTTTCCAATGCAGATAAGCCGGATAAACAAAAATTAAAGGAACACATGAAATAGATCCCACAAAAGCAACAAACTTATCCAAGTCCCTGGCACCCAGGGCTGCAATCAAGGCGCAAAGAACGACAATACCTGTCCTAAAGATATTCTTTTTCCACTTTATGAGGAGGTTTTGCTGGCCAGATTTGCGGTCGAATAACTTTCTCTCCATGATTCGCAAAGCAGGAAAAAGCTGTACCGGGGTGCCCACAAGAACAGCTAGCGAGAAGAATAACCGGACAGAATTGACGAATTTATCCGACTGTGGGAAATTGCTGATGATATTGATCTTCGTCTGGCTGCCGAATGCCCCGTATGAGAGAATCCCGACGGTCGCGAAAAGAAAAGTTATAAGAGCCATGACAATGTAGAGGATGCGATCAAACCGGTCCGGTTGTGACATCGAAGATTGTATGGGGAGAATCAGGCCTATCCCCTCGAACATGAATATTGATGACCCGATCGTCAGGGTAAATGTGTTGGGGTTGAAGAGCTTGACTGTGGGCTTCAAGCCCCGCTGAGAAATTTCCGAAATATCGTAGTAGTATATGTAGCCAATAGCGATGAAGATGAAGACATCAGCAAGTAGTGCAACTAATCCGAGTCGGGAGATTTTGCGAATGAAGGCAAGAGGCACGAGGATCACCAACTGCAGCGCGATTATTGTGGAAATGGACGGTGTGCTACTATTATAGGTGGCCACGCCCTCTATAAATGAACGCAGGTTATCCGCAGTAAAAGCAATGGCAGCACACACGAAACCAAGCTGCGTAGTCGCAATCGAAAGGCGAATAAGTGAGCGAAGATGGGGGCTGGAAATAGATTCCCCAATATCGCCGTAGCCACCACCATACCGTCGCCGGCATTGAAGCAGCAAATGAAAACAGACGGTTGTCAATATCGAGACTGTGACGAGAGCAATTGATGAAAAGAGTATGCCACCGTTGCGGAACGCCTTAGGGAGGAAAATGATCCCTGTTCCTATAAAGGCCTTGAGGAGTGTGAAGAAAGTTTTCATGTCTGACGCGTCCCCTTGAGAGCTTTCACGAATGGGAAGCAATGGCCTTCTTTCCGGCTCTACTTCATCCGCCGGGGTTCCGGCATTTTCAACGTCTGTCTCATCTTCCGACTCGACCAGGTCTTCACCGGCGAATCTTCCGTATAAGTCTAAGAACTCCATGAAGCTATTCGGTGCATATTTGTTGGCGAAGTCACGTTTGTTTCGCATCAAGAACTGCCGGCGAAACGCCCCTGGTTCATCGCGTATCGAGATCTCGAGATCATCGTCCGTTTCCAGCCTGGGAGGATGCGAGAATGTTGCTGCACGCTGATCCAATCCGGCCCGTCTTAAGCGAGCTTCAATACGATAGAGGTCGCGATGTGTATCGCCTCCTTGCAGTTTGAGAGAGGACTGTTGACCATGTCCTATGTATGCGGATCGTTGGCTCCCATCGTGTTCTGTAGTTTGCGTATCCCGCACATCACTATCATACTCAGTGGTGCCATCATAAGCCCCGGTAAATCGCGGATGTAGATGCCTAGAAATGACATTTCCCGTATTGTCGGGGGGGGTGTTCTAGGGATCGAGTATCCGCCATTATATTCCTAAACCTGATACCTTTTCCTGAATGCCCCTTTATTGATAGCAAATAAGCGTGGATAGGAAGCATACATATGTACTTATGAGGGTGATGTCGGGGGAGAGTACTCTAACCACAGCCGGATTACTCTGTCATGGAAGTATAACTTGACGTCATAACTACACCGGTCTCATTGGCCGAAAATATTCGTCGCAACATATAATATAGACAGCAACATTACTATATGTATAAAAGTTTAGGATTTCTGAATTTGTTAGTATCTAAAAGGTAGATGAGATCATGAAGATACAAAATAGTTTGTATTGTGTTCGGTGTGAAGGAAGTAAGACTGTATATAGGGACGGTCAAGTGACTATAGGAGATCTCGACAAATTCGTACCTTGAGTCTATGAATACCATACATGGTTGGGATAGCCGGAAGAATGTTGTAATGCGAGGAGCTTCATAGCTAGGAGTACAGAGATAGCCTGACAGCGGGCATACGGCAGAGTGAAGGCTGTAGTATAGCGAAAGCAGTTGAAAGTCCTTTTTAATTAGCGATTGGCTCTGGTGTACATACACTGCACCCCGACGGTCAGTTACCCAGCTATGTGGATATACTAAGAATGCGCAATTTATCCTCCTAATTTTGCTGGGCCATATGTTAAGACGGGCGTGAACTAAGATAACACCTTATTTGAATAAGTTAACCGTTTCCAGTTTTCAGTATGAAAAACGGCAATGCTTTTCACTCATTTAACTATATATGCGTCTTTCCTATTCTGGGCCTATTGACGGACTGGGCGTTAGTATTATGTGTCATTGAAATAATCACCCATAAGCCGTATTTTCATTTCTCATATCAATTAAGTGTAGGCATAAGGTTGGGTCAGATGGGACAGATATGTTCGTGTTATTATGACATATGTTGGATTATTTTCAGATCTCATCGTTCATGTCCCAGTTTGATGGCGTTTAGGTGAGAACTTCCTGTGAATAGGACGTACGGTAATCCCGACTTCAACCTGAGTCGGCCAACTCTGTGGGTTAGGGTGCAGAACCTTATAACTGCTCACTTACATAGTAGAGTAATCAAAAGTCTTGAGATTGACGGGCTAGGAGATTTCTCGGGCCAGGTTTCGAGGTCCATAAGATGCGATACAGCTATACGTGCCGCGTGCACGCCGTAGCTCACGTCCACACATGTTCGCCCCGGAGTCTCGACAAAAGATCCAACTAGGCCCAGATTGGAGATCGATTCGGGGGTAATGCAAGCCCGGTCTTCAAGGGATCTCGTCAATAGAGTTGAGCTCATTCGTGGCATTGCCCGTGGGATGATAATAGAACGCTGTAGGGCTTCCATTGCCCTATCTCTAGGAAGATCCAGATGATATAGGATCTCGGACATGACTTCTGCACCGGAGCAAGAGAGCATGTTTTTCTTAACGTGGTCACCTTCGATTTCGGGCAAGAGCGCAAAGCCCCAGAGGACACGGACGTCTTGCGGCTGTTGAGGGAAAACGGGTTGGACGGGGAGGGAAATATTTAATCCCCAGCTGCTATTCTTCATAATAATCATTGCACCCGCTTGACATGGGCATTGTGACAAGGATTCCAGATGGTCGAAAAACTCTATGTCCTCGGTTGTTACCGTGAAAGACTCCAACATAGACTCGGACTTGCGTGTGCAAAATGTGTAAGGGTTGCCAAGCCCCTGGTATTTGTTTCCAACTTCTAACCATAGTGACCAATTTGCATCGAGGTGATCACTTGCTTCAATTGAATGCCAAGCCGGGGGGTTGTCGTTTGTTCCAATTGCGCATCCCGAAACAGTTGACCCCAATGTAGCAAGGACAATGTCACTAGGTCCTAGTTTTTTTTGGAAATCCAGCCCATGCCGCGAAAGGCTTAATTGGGTGATCGCATATTGGTTCTGATTGAGGGTTGTCTCGATATTTCTTATTTTGGTGCCGAATTGAAAATCCACTCCCTGACTCTGGAGAAAGAAATATATGGGAAGGTATATTGACTCGTATTGATAGTGGCCAGTGATATCCAGGCAGCTTGAGATACTCAGGCTGCGAAAACCGGATAGGTATTGCCTAATAGCACGTCGAAATTCTGCGGCGCTATGCCAGGGCTGGAACCCAAACCTATCAATTTGGCAATTTCTCAAATCAGACCCAGGATCCAGCGGAGTGGATTATTCAATTACTCACTGAATTGACCAGATTGTCCAAAAGGTACTCTCGAAAAAGCTTCTCCGGAAAAATTCCCGTATTGCGACTCCTTGCAAGGTTTTCTCCCTTTTCACAAGGAGGCGTATTAGATTGATTCGATGGTTCCAACCTAGATTCAAAGACTCAGTGGGCAGATGCTTGAAGCATCCGTCTTTCTGAGAAATGAAACAAGCACGCCCTGTTCTATCGATAGCGAGTCGTTTCTCCTCTTGTTGAATGTCATCTAGAAATGATTGGCCCTCCGCCACTGCCGATGGAATCGTATCAAGAAAATCCTTCAAATCAGAGCCAATAGGAACAGGGAGACAACCTGCAAACTGATCATATCCTGCGTGTGCACTGCCCTGCCGATGTATTGTTTCTTGCAAGGACAAGTGTTCATCGAGGATGTGCACAGCAGAAGGAGGTAATTTGGCATGCGTTATCAGATAAACTGCTGATGCTAGAGATGCGGTTCCGCTTCCGAGAACCCAGGCCTCTGTGGCTTCTGGGGAGCGTTGATTGTGTCGGGAGGATCCGTCCATCGGGAGTGTCTGAGAGAAGGGAAATAAGAGGGTTTGGTAGGCGATTGCGGTAGAGTGCTCAAGGCAAAGAATACAATAAAGAAATGTCCTTTGCGAACACTTGGCCATCTAGGGCCATTATATGTCATCACAGTCCATCCGTGGTGGCGATACATGACGTTTAGAGTCTTAGCCAACACAAAAGCCCAACACCTTCCATCCCATGGACCTACTGCCCCGATTTGTTTGAGCCATGGCTCTAGATACCCAAGTAACTCGTCGAGTAACGAGCGAGGAGTATATATATATCCATATTCCAAAAGCGTGACATATTATTCGTAGTTAACCGCATCATGGTACCCCGAACCTAATAGTCGTGATATCGGTCCAACAATAGTATTCTCGAGGCGAAAGAAATCAGCCCTTGGGGGTGATTAATGGGATGGTATTTGGCTTTTATGGCATCTGAGAAATGCTGACTTAACATCCTTGACCTCCAGGGCTGTCAATCGGTACCTAGGTAGATATCCCTTCATCGCAGCATTTATTTTCTATATAACCCACTCCAGCCAAATAGCTGAATTATTTGCACACTTGTTTAAACTACTTAAGGCGCGTCTTGGCTGGCATTTTTGTTGCTTTTTATGACAAGCAAGTCTTCTGGGTGATTAAAAAAAAATCTAAAATGTTCTCAGACAAGGAAGCAAGGTGCGGAAAGGATCGGCTCTCTGGCAGATCACCAACGGAGATGTTCAAGCCCGAAACTGTCCCTGGACTTTCGACTAAACCAACACCCGAAAGATCCAGGGGATGGCACGCGGGATAGGAATAACGCATGCGTGATAAAGGCTCTGAAAAAGAAAAAGGCGTCTCAGGGCACATTGATAGCGGTTGTCGTGCATCATTGGTGGTGTTCAGATGCTGTGGTGCCACTACAGGAAACGAACGGGAGTACTGACGTGCAAGCGTTGACGCAGGGATACGGGAGATGACCAGCTGTCGCCTCCTGGCTTGGATAGCTCGCTCCTTAAGCTGGGAGACAATTAACCAAATCTCCTGCTGCGCGCATGCCCCTTGCGACTCCCACAGGGGGAGGACATAATCTACTGCACGCCAAGCACGGTCCGCATCAGTGCCCAGGGACGGAGACAGAGCTCTGTCAGGACAAAGGAAAGCGCATGCCACTGATTGTTATTTTTGAACATCCAAGTCCAATTGCCAAGGTCTTTCTGGTTGGTCTCTAAGATAACCGAGAGCTCGATTATATCGATTGATGTCGCAAATAGAAACTCCCGAATGTCCGCTTTGAGGCCTGTATTCGACATATCTCCGGACGTCACAGGATCATAGACAGAAACTCGGAGTTTAGCGAGGACTAGCCAAGAAATGGTAGCACAGAGCCAATGGACAGTGGCTGTTGTGCTAGAATATTGAAGATATTTTTCGCGCAGACGATGCTCCAGGCCAATAACGTGCTGCTGGCGACTCGCCAACGAATCCTCGGGAGAGTAATCGGGTTCTGTGAACGATGAATATTTCAGGAGACGATAAGTAGCTGTTATCTCGAACCTGATCAGGGAAAAAGTCATGTCTGTATAACCCGAGCGTTCACACGGAAACCCTTCGGCCCCGAGAACCAGGTCTTCATCGTTGATGTTTAGTGGAAATCTGGTGTCAAACTGCCCATCATGGATGAGCGGCTCGGTACAATGATCCTCCGCAGATTGCACATCCAGCGCCAAGATATGCCACCAAACTCGGCGCGACATCTCAGCATTCATGGGAAATGTAGCGGATAGAGCGCTTTCGCGATGAAGCTCCAATCGTTGCGCGAGTCGCAATATGACCGCTGTCATGGTCCAGGCAAAATCTCCTTTATCATGCCGTCGAATGGAGATCAGGTACAAGAGGGCAGATTGAAGCAAGGTAAGGTCACGAGAGTTGAATAAATCAGCCTCGGTGAGCGCTTGCTCGACAGCCAACCGGTATCGAACGACTACCGACTCTTGCTGTTCGCCAAGTTTGTCGAAACACTGAGCAGGTGTCATGCTCATGATCGCAGATAGGTATACGGCGCAAACCAGTGCCTTTTCTGTTGCTTCAAGAGTATCCAGAGTATCCTCAGATTCGTTCACTTGCGCCAGAATATTTTCCAGACTTTGCCGATGTACGATGGTCACAAGCGGAGCCACGTTCTCCAGGTAACTTTGCCAAATTGTCTGCCGCTGCAGGGGGTTCGGTCGGATAAATGGCAAGCGATGCGCTATGAGGTTAGGGCCAAAAAGCAGTCTGCTATTGATTCCCTGCAGTTCTAGTTCGATACTACCCCGTCCTTGATTGTTATCCGGGGATGTATCAACGAGATCTCCCGGAGTCACTGTGGCGTTCGTGTCGGTTGATCTTTCTCGCACAGGGTGCGAGTATGAACCTGCCGACGAGGCAGGTGTCTTATCGCGTAATCTTATATTTTCACCGAGGTCGAAGATTGCTTGCTCTAGCCGGCGCATTCTCGCTGTCAACTCTGAAGTTTGAGTGTGTCTTTTCTTTTGGGCATTTCGCGCAGGACGTGGAAAGGTACACTCGGCATTGGCTTTGATGCAGTTCGAACACGGGTCGTGCCGGTTACAACGAATTTTCTTCTGTCGACAGTAGACGCAGCTCAGCGATTTCAGCTTTACAGCTCGTGATGGCACCCCTCGTTGGTGCGCATCGGCACCTCCTGAGACATGGGCCTGCATTCCAAGAAGTCAAGTTGGAGCTTGGCATCAAGGCATCAACTGGACGATATTGGTTTATGATGGACACGGTACGTACAACATTTGCTAAATATGAGTGCACGAGGATCCAAGCCAGGTAGTTGAATCCCCTCCCTAAGGTGATCTACAGTTCCATTCTTGGGGATGATTGACATCGGTTGCCGGGCAGCTCCTACCGTCACTTCGGCTTTCGGCGTCATAAAATTGTCCGAAGTCCGAAAAAGAACCCGACTCCACTTTGTTAGTATCCACTCACTACGGAGTGCTGAGTAGTCCACTTCGGCCTACACCTCGCCATGAGATATAACGATCAAAGTCACATCAAAGTGGTTATCATGCACTTAGCCGTCTGCTTTCGGAACATGTCTGTTGGAAGCGCAGTGGGTTGAACCACCGATCGCCTCCAAGTAGGGGATCTTCCAGGTAAACCAGTCTAACGTGATAGGCGAAACCATCTGAAATCTGTGCGTGAGATTTAAAGCCAAGCACTTAGTTGCCCGGTAGCTTTTTTACGCTCAAAGTGACCATCCACAACATGACATGTCCTGGTTGCACAGTTGATTCGGCCTGTCCTAGCCAACAGCCTCTGAAAGAAAAGGTCGCTGTCACCAGTGGCTCCCACGGAGAAATCGGTGTTCAGATCGCTCGAGAACTCTCGGCTTGCGGTGCGAACATCGTCATAAACTATCCTTCTCCTCGTCGACAACGCGCAGAGGCAGTCGCGTCCAGTTTGCATACGCCTAGCATCACAGTGGAAGCCGATATTTCTACTATTTCTACCCCTGAGGGGCCACGGAATCTTATCAAGGCGGCTGTTGCATCCTTCGGAGCAATTGACATCCTACTCAATAATGTCGGGAAAGCTGTGGACCTGCCATTCGAAGAGCAGACACTTGAGCATTGGGGAGATTTGGTGAACCTCAACGGTCGAGGAACATTCCTTCTCACCCAAGCGGCCCTTCCTCATCTTGCTTCTCGGGGGTCGCGAATCATCAACATCTCCAGCATCTCGGCAAAGGAAGGAATTCCTTTGCAGACAATCCTATCCAGAAGCAAAGCTATGGTTGAAAGCTTCACCAAGGTGTGGGCGAAAGAATCACCTCCGAAATACAACTGCACCATGAACTGTGTGTCACCTGGACCCACGCGAACGGAAGCATTTAATGCGGCAAGTGCGGATTTCATGGGAGTCATCAAGCCCCTGCTTGAAAGCACCCCAGTTGCCAGCAGAGCCGCTGAGACAAGCGAGATAGCGTACGCTGTGTACATGGCTGAATGGGGTCAATTTGGTTGTCAGTGGGGGGGTTAACTGTCTGAGTTGAATCTGATCATTCATCATTTATCACTCAACCAATTTTTTCTCTATTTCTGTATCCCCTGGGCACGTCAGAAGATGAATGAATACTATGTATCTTATTAGATGACGTGTGTGTCCAGCCATTTGACATATCCACTTCAACTTCGTTTTCATAGAAGAGGAACCCTGTAGCAGGGGCTTGTTAGGCTACCTACGGAGATTGCAGTCAGTGGTAGGTTGTCGATTCACAAACTTGGCCCTGGTAATTACATTCTTAAAAACGACCTTCGTCTGTTTAGGCCGTAAGGAACTATATTTCCGTGATTAGATAAATGGCTGACATGGTAGGCTCCCTGCCAGGTCCAGCAGCGCCAATAGATCGTGGCCTTTCTGTGAATACTCATTAGTCCATGTAGGAGATTATATCGACTCGATCCAGATGAATCAACCAGAAATACGATGCACTGTGACGCCAGGATAAGGCGAAAGATCTATAGTGCCTCCGATTATGCTCGTGATGATTGCAGACCGGAACCAGGATAGCGCGAAGACCGTGAGTACTCCACTCCATAAAACACAAGACATTCTTTTCCCGGGCTCCGGACTCTCTCAGTGCCGAACTGCGGTCCAACAACACCTGCGTGAGCGAATATAAAAGGATGTCCGTATGCCAACGAAGATATTCACTCGGCACTCATCGCAAACGCAAAGTTCATCACCAAAGTATGCCCGCATTATTATGAATGAAGTAGTATGTGCTAATCCGTTATCTCAGGTTACCATCATTCATCTCTCACAAAATGGCGCCTATTCACAAACCCCTCGATCGCTCCACCACCTTCGAAGCCATGCTTTCTGTCAACCCTTCCGTAGGGCCTATCGTTCTTCTCAATATCATTTCGCTCCCCCCTGGGGCAGATAAGGAGTCATTCCTGAAAACTTGGAGCCGTACCGCCGATGTTCTCAAGACAGCGCCTGGTCACATCTCCACTCAGCTACACAACGCTATTGGAGATGGTAATTTTATCGTCAACTACGCCGTTTGGGAGAACAATGAAGACTTGAGGAACGGCTTAGCTATTCCTGAATTCAGGAAGATCTGCGAGGACTTCCCGGAGGGCACCGAGTTCCGCGCATCCGTCCTGCAGAAAGCTGCCATTCCTGGAGTTTGCGTGGGGCTGTGAATTTTCTCAACCAACAGCAAATCTGACAGGGAGCTATGGATCAGTAGTTGAAACGATATGGCATGCCAGCCAAGATATGTACTGTACTGTCTGCCGAGTTCTTACTTATCTACGAGGCTTCTTCCATTAGTCAATTTTACTTTACGTTCAACTCGCAGCACAACGTGTTCAATTGAATAGTATTCGTTTTTCTATTTCTTTTGTCTTTCGTTGTAAACGTTTCCGGTGGATATGCGCAACCCGTGCGCCATCTAATTGAAATATTGTATTCTCGATATATCCCTATAGACCTTTGTCTCAAGCCCTTATAAGACCCTTAATAGCGAACCTAAACCAACAGGCCAAATCTTACCGGAAACGAAAGTTAGGCTAAACTTTTAGGCGGTAGTACGGAAGGTAGGTAGGCTTTCTCAAAGATAGTCTGAAGCTTCGGAGTAACCTGTGCCTCATAGTAGGTCCGATATCCCAGTTTTCAACCTTTATTTAAGCGAGGTCCAATCTGATATGCCAAAGAAGGTTTGGAGGAGCTTCAAAGCCCGTCGTGAGCCTACTATTTCCGTTTAATCCTTAGGTTCCTCGGTGGGTGCTGTAGGGATGAGGGCGTTACTTGGCCGCAGGTTCTGCAGGATCGCCATAACCTGGGCCCAGTTCATAAGTGGTACGCACGCTGAAAGGCGCTCGTATTCTACCTCCATGTCTAGGGTTGCGATGATATACAGTCTAGCAGTATCCATGACGTTCACAAACCATTCTAGCAATCGTTAGTAGTCTGGATTAACGCTTTTACCGCAGCCTTCTTATAACAGATGCCGTAGCAGGGAAACTTGAAAAGCCAGGGGTTTCAGCTTACGTGGACCAAATGCCAGACATGACGTTTCGGCCCTGTCCGCAAGTGTACTTGCATTCACGAAAGGCAGGACAGAATTAAAACCATATGATGCCTTATTCAATCTGATCTATTCCCAGGCCTTGCGCTCCGCTTTGGTCTTTGACGCAGAATAGACCAGGTGGGGCTTCAAATTGCTTGGAGTATCTGGGTCCCACGCCGCTCGCACTGACTCATTGTTCCAGCTTTCTAACGTCGCATAAGTGCCAATGCACACACACACATGTAATCGCGTCTTGAGAGCACTGCAAGCATACCACTATCTATAGCGACTCTTTTTTTGCCAGCTTGAAGAGTAAGGCTGCCGTGGTGGATGAAGTCAAAACAACCCCTCAAACCTTGCCGCTGTCTCGAGCAAAATCAAACATTTTCTATCGCTGACGGAATGATCAGGTAAAGGTCTGGATTGAATGAAGTATCAGAAGCCTGTTTTTGGAAGTTAGTTGATTTCGATTTGAAGAAGGACGTATAGTGCAAGGTGAATAATGCCTGAAGCACCTCGTAGGACTGGTCCAAGTGCGTCCTTTATAAAAATAGGCACCAGCATGGTCTCAACCCGGTCTATACCGTAGTTCTTTTTGGAGTACAGTTCCAGCCATGGCTTTTCCGCTCGAACCGTCCCGCGAACATTATATACCAACTGCAACAGCTGATCCACCACATATGATACGACGTAGCCATTGGCCCTCGCGACAAGTATCGGAGATCCGCTTGCAATAACAGTCCACCATTTAAAAGGTTCGCTATTGGAGGGATCGGGCGTATCGTGGACCATTTTTGATCTGATCTGGTCTGAATTTCGCGTAAAGTCTCCGGGTTTGCGAAGCGAGCGGGTCTTAAGGCAGGTGGGCGTTAGCGCAAGAGGGTCTGCGGAGACAAAATCTCGGTCTTCGGGTTTGTGATTGTTTCCGGGATGCGGGTCCCGTCGACCTGAACCGATCTCCATTCCTATCGTATTGCAGTGAGCTCATTCCACTTTAATATGCGCAGCTGAAAGTCTTCAAGCCGATAACATACACAGCTCCATGGACTAATCTCTAAATTGCCGTTAAGGAGAGTTATGTAAGAGGCACCTTAAAACCTGTTCTGACGGCAAGGGCCAGAAGGAGAGAGGGAAGAAAAAGGTTGAATTCTCTATCTGTGTGAGACTAGCTTATATACTAGCTAGCAAACTTGTTAAGCCTGACAAGCAGGGAATCAATCAGAAGAATACCTGCCTGTCATAACAGAACCTTCGAACGTTTCGTGTGAATCCAATGCGAACCAGTCATTTAAATCTAAGTAATTATCTCGAGGACTAACTTGGAATACAAATCACATTATGTAATATCAAGCCAACCAAAATGGAGATTTAACGATCTCCAGCGAGTGCGCTAGTGTTGCTTGGTTTGGCTTGAAGAGCCTCCCCAATTTCCTCTATAATTTCGCTGCAGGTTCCAGTAAATGCTTCATCTCAGAGTTTGGGTACTCTACGTTTTGGGACGAGTCAGGTCGCTGCCGATCCCATGCCCACCTTTCTATCAGTTCGGGCGCCAATTCTCCCTCAAGCATCTGTGTGATGTACTTGCCAAGGACGGGGAAAAACTTATATCCATGGAATGAACCACAAGTGGCGATATATAGTCCTTTGGAGGCAGAGTGAGGCGATATGATGAAGTCCGAGGTAGTGGTGAAAGCATCCCTTCCGAGTGTTAACAAAAGCCAATCGTTGGGTAGTCAGGAGGCACTAACCAGCAAATGCGGTGTTTCGTCATCTCCCATGTGGCACTTTCAGGTCCATACCACAGATTCCTGGACTCTACAATATCCTGCTTGAGGGGTCCTGGAACCTTCCACTGGTTATAGTCCTGCGTGGGTGGAGGAGACGAGATGTAATGTCCAGGGAATACCTCTCGAGTGTTTGTGAAAATCTTAGATCCCCACCACTTGAGCTCCCGGTCTTTAGTAGGAGGAATGCTGCCAATAAAGGGTTTCCCTGGGAATTATTAGTGGAGTTCATGCGAATATACCAGAAAGCGTACCTTCATCCGGTGTGTAACCCTGGAAGCCAACAGGCATGTCCTTGAACTTTTGGTATTGGTCCTCGTTGAGTTGTGCCATTCCGGTGGTAATACCAGCCGCAACAATTCGCTCTCCAGCTCGTAGCCCAGCGTTTCCGCTCTTCGCAGCACTCCACTCTAGCAATGTCGGCGTGAAAGCCCCAGCAGCGACGACAACATGCGAGGCCGACAATATCTCTCCGGCTCGTGTCTTCACACCGGTGCAAGAGCCACGACCATCGAACTCAAGGTTAATAACAGATGCAGTGATGTATGAGACGCCCAATTCTAAGCATTTTTTTGTCACAGCTCGAAGGGCATCTCCGGCGGCAGCCCAACCACTGGCCCTGTTCACGAGAACCTCCTTAACACCGGTGTAGTCAGCATTATCAAAGACTCCACCATAAAGCTTTCTTGCTTCAGCGACAGGGAGGGCAATGATATCATCATTGCGACCAAGTTCCTTGTGGTTTGTGATGACATTTTGCGCGTAGTCGCTGCGGCACGTCCAGTAAACGCCAGTTTGGTGAAAGTGCGGCTGCCAAAGAGGGTCGGATTTGAAAATCTCTTGAGCCTCAAGGGCGAGTCTACAGTAGACCTTGTCGTCGTAATCGGCGCGGATAACCTTGTTCCAATCCCATGATGCAGCCACGCGCGACTCAGCATCATATGCATCTCGATCAACCAGAGTTACCGATGCATTGGGGTATTTCTGAATGAGATGGTAGGCGGTTGATACACCAAAGACGCCTGCGCCAATAATGAGGTATGAGGGGTTTGAGGCCATTTCGAAATGTCCTTACGACTTTCAGGTCTGTGAGAATTCAGAAATGTTAATTCACAAATTTGTGAAATTGTATGTGCGAGTGCCAATGCTTATTTATCAATGAATCGAGTCATCTCGATTCCCATAGACGGTCCGTATGCATCGGGCGGGGGTTCCGGTCGAGCCGATCACATGGGGTCTAATGCCTGGATTTCGACATTTCGACATTAATTTGGACAAATTGGAAAGCAGTGCTGTCAAATAGCCGATGCCAAGTATTTATTCAGATAAAGGTCAACCAATAAGAGAGGATGTAGTGTTTCGATGCCGGTTCACGGTCCGTCCACGGTCCGTATCTGGTCTGTCGGTCGGCAGTGCCATATACAATATACTCCGTACATATGTTGTATGTACTTTCTGTCTGAGCCCAAATACTCTCTGTACATTGTACATGATTCTATATGTGATGAACGGACCTTATTTCAAATGCCTCATTCACCAGAACTCACTTGCTGGCATCCGAGCCCGCTCTTCTCATGCGCCATGTCAATCGTTTTGATCTGATACTATGGGCCCTCATAAAATCCCTACCAGGGCAGCCGTGGTGAGGCTGATTGCACAAGACTTGAATAATGAACAGCAATCGAAACTACCCAATGAAAAATTTCATAATATATAATATTCATTTGTAAACTACCACTTTCCCTTCACTTAAACTTTCTACAATGTGTACTCACTATTCCAGTCTATATACCCACCCTTTATCCCTCCCATGGTCTAACAATTAATGCTTCTCTTTGGCATACTCTCTTTAACCCAACCGATATAACACGGCTCCTATTATAAATGAACGACCGATTCATAAGCTCACATCTTTGGAGCGTATCGGCCCAAAGGGCTATCTTCGGTATATCTTCCCCTTTCAGCTCCAAGACGAGTATGACTTGGATGAAGTTATTCGGGTTCTGCAAGCCGGATATCAAGCGCTCACACAACTGATCCCAGAGGTCGCGTGCGAAGCTGTTCCCGATGGCAGTTCAAAACAAAAGGGTGTTATGAAACTTCAGCCACGGATGGATGGCGACGTAGCTCGCACCGTGGTCAAGGACCTACGAGCGTCCTTCGAATCTGAGTATGCGGAGTTGAAAGAGAAATCCTTCCCCGTCGCGTCCTTCAACGCTGACACGTTCTGTCCCCGTTCTGTTTGGCCTTCAGCTGGAGAGCGACTACCAATTTCAGTTGTACAGGCCAATTTCATCCACGGAGGGTTGATCCTGACGTGGTCCATCCTCCACATGGCGGGCGATGACATATGGGCAGAGGAGTGTCGCCGGGCACAGGGACTGGAGATCCTGGATCCCATACAGCTCCCAGAGGTCATTTGGCAAGACCGGGAACAAGTGACAAAGCCGTCTGGGTATAATGCTGGAAAGCCCGAAGACCATCCAGAGTATAGTCTTCTTCCTTTCACGCCGCAGGGAGCCCCGCCAAAGATGACTTCCTTGAACCATCGCGGTCAGGTTTTCTATTTTTCCCCGGAATCCTTAGCAGCGCTGAAGGCAGAGGCGTCCCCCGCGAACGCGACAGAGCCGACCGATCAAAAATGGATCTCGACCAATGATGCTTTTGCGGCACTACTTTGGCGTACAGTAATTGCAGTACAGTCGCCCCTCGAGTCTCTGGAAGGTGACCCTGTGTCTTTTTTCAACATTGCTATTGACGGGCGGCAACGGACAGATCCCGAGTTGCATCCAGCGACTTTAGGATGTTTCCTAGAGTATGTTTCAGTCTCTGCCTCTATCCGCAAAATGTTTAGTACCATGAATTTGGCAGACCTGGCTACGGAAACCCGCAAGGTGATTCTGCGGGCCGACGGGCGGTTCACGGATGATGTGGTAGCTCTTGTGGAGCAGCTTGAAGACGTCGACCGGCTGGTAACTACCGCCTTTCTGGATGTCCCGGGCTTCAACTGCGTGCTAACCTCATGGGTGAACTTTAAACTGTACGGGTTGGAGTGGGGACCACTGCTCGGCAACAATATCGAGGCTGTACGAATGCCCCATGTTGGTTGCATCAACGGCTGTCAAGTTGTGCTTCCAGTTTTGCCGAATGGTGGCATAGAGATTCTGGTTGGTGTGGAAGAAAGTTGTTTGGACCGACTGCTGGATGACCCCTTGTTCACGAAATATGGCGTTGCTCGATAGGACCTTCATGAATGCGAGTGGTTTGACAACCAATTGTAAAAATATATCCCGGTGAGCTCGTGACGTAGTAATTGGATGGGACACACGATGTACGCCAAAGACATGAAGATCCACTTGATACACGCATGCCGTACCGTCGATTCGGCGAGGTCGATCTTGCCAGGAAGGAAGTCAAGAAGCCAGTCTGCCCAGATGCTTCTGATTCCGCGTAGAGATTCGTGTACTGAAAGGGGTTCCATACTGAAAAGTGATCGCGTCGGCCGAATAAATGGCTTTGGTGTGCAATGATATTATGGTTTTTCGTATCCGGCCCTGGAAAGCAATAGAAAAAGAGAAAAGAAGAGATTGTCCGGGGCAAATGGTTTGTGTCGACCTGAGGCATCAACAGAAATATATACCTGTCACCGGGCCCTTTCCGGACACGAGACGTCTTCTCTCAAAGATAGCAAAGTAAGGGAAAAAATAATAATTTAAAAATAGAGATGATGATCAAAATGCCCTGGAATTACACTAACAGTAGAGTCGTGTTTTGCTTCCCATCTGAGAAGCTCATTGAACACCACCACCTTTTCCTCTTCTTACAAATTCTCTCAGCACATTGCCAGTCATTGTAGCTACATTGTTACCATAATCATCCCACCCGAGACTGCAGTACCAGTTGATACTGCCAACGGCAAATACCGCGCCACCTCCCGCGGTGTCATAATATACTAGGTCACTCCTGACCATGTCACAATTGGAACCCAGAGTGTCCACCATGGGGAACATCGAGTCCTCATTGAAAAGTCCAAAGCTATCATCATGCTGTTGGCTTCTTGCCAATAGGACCGTATTGGATGGTGTCCCAAGCGCATAATCCAGGCGATCAATCTCGTCACCGCTGGCGCCGCCGCCGAAGCCATTTTCGCCAATCGGCTCAGTTGGGTCCATACCCTTAAAAATCCAACTGAACTGGGCATCCTGGGCATATTGCAAATCTACCGTGTAAGGCTTTCCCTTTCCAGTGCCGAACGCACAGGGCCCGATGCCCCAGAGGTAGTTGGGAGCACGACCGCGGCTGCGCCATAGCCCTCCAAGAGATCCGGTGAGACTGTGCATTCGTTCTCCAGCAGGGAACGTAACGGACCGACAACCTTGGTCGCCCTTCCGAACTTCAAGGCGATGAGGCCGTTCATTGACAACATCGGCGACCCAGTAGAACCCGTTGCCGCCCAAATACATCATATTACCCCCCGATTTTGCAAATGCGCTGAAGGTGTCGAGAGAACTAAGAGAGTGGTACTCTGGATGACAGCCGGTAATGACAGTCGTGTATTGCGAGGTTGCTTCTCGACCTCTGCTGCTCAAGCAATGATCGGTGATAATGTCATAGGGAATTCCGGAACGTTCCAGGAAGCCCACCATGAGAAGGTCAGCACTGAATTCGCGGGGCCGGTCCAAGGCCCAGTGTACATATCCTGGTCGGAGATTGAGGATCGGTCGGCGAGCACTGGAGTATGCACAGGGGGAGCCGTCTGTGTGAACATCGTAGGCGGAGAGACCCAAATCTGGTCGCCGGGCAAGGTTTTTGTAATACTCGTTTCCCTGTCCGATGCTAACTCCATCCGGAGTTGTCATCGCTGATGATTTGGTCTGATCAAACATTCGTTCGTTTGCATACGCGAGGTATGTGAATGTCGTGAGAACCAAAGCCACTTGTGCCGTTGAGCTGGGATTCGGTCGGACGAAGAATGTGATCATGTCGCTTGTTCCGTCTGAGCACTTGACTTCAACCGCATACGCGCCGGAGCGAGCTGTCGATGGGATGGTAACGGAGAAGTTCGTTGCCCACTTTGCATCATCCAGATCATCCTCGTGGAAATGAATGGCACCATATCCGTATGAGGCTTTGGTCCAGTCTGGCTGAGTGCCATCCCAGTCAAATCCTTTGACCGCACGTGTGGGTGCATTGATCAACACACCATGTCGACCGTTTCCAGAAACATCAGCGATAGAGTCGCTGGGTATATCTTTGGAGAAGTCATACTTCGCGACCGTATGCCTTGATGAGCTCGTCATGGTAAAGGAAGGAGAGTCGATTCGGCCATTGTAAAAGCATGCTGGTTTAGAGCTCTGCTGACCACTGTCTTTGAACCTGCCTGCACCAAACAGCAACGAATTCGACCCCAAAATCATGGGTGCTAACATGACAGTAGTCATGGTCTCGCCTTTTGGGGCGGTTTCGGCTAGGCGGTTCAACTGATGGATGTTCGAAGTGAATGTGTTGTTAACGACACTGAGACGGACTTGGAGCCACCGCCAGCGATTCACGACGAGTTGGCTCTGGATAACCTGAATTCTATTCCCGGTGCCGATAAAGAACTCAATCTTTGAGTTTCTCAAAACGACAGCGAATCCAGTTCGAGAAGATACGTCGAGACAGGATATAAGGGTTTGGCAATAGTAATCGACATCAAGCAAGTATGGTTGGGCATGAAACTCGACTTCGATGCCCTCCTCCACTGCGAGTGTCACTTCCGCCCAGGATGGGATAAGAGCGTATGATCCGGAGCAAGCATCTTGATAGCAACCATCCTCGTGGTGGCCAACCGGCACCTCGGTGATGTCCTCCAGCACAACGGGGGGAGCACGAGGACCGCTATACCCCTGAACAAGACGTACTAGACGGTGATCGTATCCCTTTTCGGAACTTGAAACCTGAAATGGGTTAGCGTATGATATGTACCAGGGGACTCCGATAATCCGGGGAACACTCCTGACCACGGGTGCAAATAACCTACTTTGATGTCAACTGGGTCTCCCGGGGAAACAATCCAGGGTTCGGCATAACCAATGATCTGGGTGTCTTGATTGAGAGGCATTTCTGTAAAATCGATTCAAATTTTCTTAGCGTTGGCTATCCGTTGGTCCGGATAGGTGAGGTAAAAGAGGGGCTAGATGGTTCCTAGTCAGACTGGGAAAAGAGACCTGAGATTCTAGGCAGTTGGTCTGCCCATATTAGTACGGGATGCCAAGCTTTAAAGCTCTTTAGCTGTAGCCAGGACAGATACTCACCAGATTTCCAGGATTGGTAACAGAACAATTTGCTACATTTGGAATGAGAGCAGAGATGAGCCACTTATCTATCCTCAACCGCTGAAATGAATGAACCGATTGGCTAGAGACAGAGTTATACTTCTGACGATGACAAGCTTCCTCCCGATATCCGATCGGCTGGTCCCAGAGGAGAGGGCTTTCCACCAAGCTCTATGGATTAAACGCGTCGGTGCACCATCTATTCATAGCAATCCAGTCGGAAAGCCGATCTGGTCCACACCAATCGCCTACGCGAAGATTCGGAGGTACTGCCTACATACATATATGTAACCTTGGAGGGTACCTAGGTACTTCCTTCCTGCTTACCCCCTGCACATGTCCACTAAACCCGCTTATCATCCTCGCTTAGGGGCTTATCATCCAATGTTACGCTATAGGCCAAATTTGTATTTTCTTTTTCACATGTATTTCTGGGATCTGAAAAACTCAAATAAATCCAGGTCAATACAAAAGTAGCCAATTGAATACATTCCACAAGATACCTTATCTACCTAGGTAGAATACATATGAAGTTTTGAGGTGACGAATTCTGACCGGAGAAAGGGGTGTAACCTTGGTGTAATCGAGGCGAGAATTTCCGAATATCGATAGGATACCAGTACAAATTATTTATATTATGAGATTACAACATTACCACCTTACCACCTACGGTAGGAGAGGCCAGTGTATTACCTAGGTATACGCTAAGGGCCCCGTCCCACTCTGGGGAAACCAGATTATAGTTTACCCCGGACTCTAGATACGCGATCGGCAATGGAGAAGTGATTGGTCGTTTAATTAAATCTCCCAGCATTGTGTTATCAGGGTAGAGCACGGTAGAGCTCATGATCGTTTTCTGGTGAACTTTATAAGACCCTGACAGGATCTCCTCAAAGCAGTTTCCATCTTGCCCATGCAAGACTTCTCTTCTCCAGTTCTAATTTGCCCAGAAAAGAGTTGGGGTTCGCTCATAATGGGCAATCAAGATATTGAATCTGTTGCGGACTCAAAGTCTGCACATGCAAAGACCGACTTAGACAAGTCAGCCCCAGGTATCGTGGAAGAAGGTGTGATGGTCACTCTCACAAATGAAGACGTATGTCCACCTTGATGATCTCTGGCGAAAGACAACTACCTAACCACCTACCTTTAGAACATTCGAATCAGAAGAAAGACGGACAAAACGATTTTGACGATCCTTACCTGGGTATACTTCTTACAGGTGAGAGGGAAAGAAATCAATCATCCGTCCTATACGATGCTGATTAGCTGCCTGTTAGGTCTTGGACAAGGGCGTCCTGGGAACGGCCTCCATTTTCAATCTCCAGGAGGACACGGGTCTCGTGGGTAGCCAGTATTCTCTCGTTTCGTCCATTGCCCCGATTGCGCAGTTAGCGTGGCAGCCATTCTCGGCATGGCTCATTGTGAAGGTCCCGCCCCGTATTCTGATGCCATCCATGGTCCTCGGTTGGGGGGTTGCAGCAGCAAGTACGGCCGCGTGCAACAGCTTTGCGGGATTGGTCACGGTTCGTTTCTTCCTGGGCCTCTTTGAAGCCGGATGCATGCCTCTCTTTACCATCCTCACTGGCCAATGGTATCGTCGTGTCGAGCAACCACTTCGAGTTTCGATTTGGTATTCCATGAACGGAACAGCCACTATGGTAGCTTCTGCTTTATCGTACGGCCTTGGTCATATCCCCTCAGATGTGTTGAAGCCATGGCAAACGTAAGTGACCATACGTCATGACATCTGAATGTCGCTAATTGCCATGCAGAATCTTCCTTGTTGTTGGATTGATTACTATTGTCAGCGCGCCCGTGGTTTATTGGAAACTCGACAACGACATCACATCTGCCCGCTTTCTCACTGAGCACGAACGGCAACAAGGCGTGGAGCGTCTCCGTGCGAATCAAACTGGCGCTTCCTCTTACAACTTTGACTGGTCCCATGTTATCGAGGTTGCCCTAGAACCAAAGAGTTGGCTTTGGGTTGTCATGGCGCTGCTGCCAAACATGGGATCGGCGATGACAAGCACTTTCGGCCCTCTTATTGTCAAGGGTTTCGGATTTGACGCATATCAAACTTCACTGCTTAACATACCCTTCGGTGCCGTTCAAACAGTTGTCATCGTCGCCAGTTGCTGGGCCTCCTACAAGTTGAAGCTGAAATCCGCTGTTTTAGCCGGCTTCATGCTCCCTGTAGTGACGGGCATCGGAATGCTTTACGGGCTCAGGCATGACGACGAATCCAATCAGGGACCACTACTGCTGGCATATTATCTGTGTGCTTTTTTGTTTTCTGCCAATCCCCTACTCCTGTCATGGGTCGTGGGAAACACTGCTGGTGCCGCCAAGACATCCACCACGATGGCACTTTATCAGGTTGGTACGTCCGCGGGGGCTCTCGCTGGCCCCCTCCTATTTACCGCAGAGCAAGCTCCATCATATCTTCCCGGTATCAGGGCCGTTCTTGGGCTCTTCATTGCTTTGGTTGGCTGTGTGGTGCTCCAGGTTCTCAATCTAGCCTTTTTGAATAAACAGCACAGCAAACGGAGAGTCAGCAATGGAAAGTCCGCGGAGGTCCAGGACAGATCTATGACAAATGCGTTTGAAGCAGACGGGAAAGTGCAGGCACCTATGTCCGATGAAGCTGCACCATTCCTAGACTTGACTGACCGGAAGAATGACGAGTTCGTATATATTTATTGAGTGGAAGTCTCGCTGGAAGCTCTGTGAAGGCAGTACCACACACTTTTCGTGTTCTTGTACCATTGAAAATGCAAGACTAGCCTAGCAATGTTGATAGTTAAACACAGTATATCCCAAGTTAAAAATTGCTGATGCCGACAAAATCCTTTCTCTTGTGTCTGGAAAAGCATGACATAGAATCCCAGTGCAAGCATTTATCACAGATTTGTTTGACCCGTTAGAATCCCCGCTCATAAAATGTGAAGTTGTGTCAAGCCCCTTGGGCTTTAAAATTTATAACTGAACTATATTATTTTCTTGCTTCCAAACAGCTCGACAAGGCCATGGATGGATCCTAGCTTTATATGTGAATCGGGAATCGCGAAAAGGCACGTCTGTAGTACGTAATGATCAGGCAGATAGTTACGGTGTTGATCAATTACAAGTATGGCAACAATATTTGCAAATAGAAATACGAAATTCTATTCCTTAGAAATGGCCCTCAACCTCGACAGGGGTGTATACCTCCTCCAGGTATTTCTCTTCTTCGGCTGTGAGCTCTTTACCGCGCGCGGATAAAGCATCCTCAATCCTCGCGACACTGCTGAAGCCAATGATAGGACTCGTCACTCGCTTCAGCTGCCAGGCCAGTGTAACTTGAGACATACTCCACTGCTTGCGCCTTGCTAGCTCATCCACCCGGTTGATGATTTCCATAGATTCAGTGCGCAGGCTTGAAGGTGTTTCATTGCCACCAGCGGACCTGGTAGTGGTTCCTCGAATGTTCAAGGGACGAGCAAGTTGCCCTTCTGCAAGTGGGCCCCACTAATGAAAAAAGGCAGAACGGTCAGCCAAAAGAAATTGTAGATGGTTAAGATAGCAAGGGTCTTCTTACCGGGACAACAGCCACACCTGTTACGTTGCAATACTTGATCACCTCACGTTCTTCTTCACGGTACAGCAGATTGTAACGATTCTTTTCCCGCGTTAGCAATCCAGATAATCTAGTCGGGGGGTTAGACTCGGTACGTACTTGCATCGCGATGAATTTGGTCAATCCGTTCTTCTCCGCGTATGCCTGCATCATGGCAAATTGGTACGCCCACATTGACGAGGCTCCGAGGTACCGGATCTTTCCTGCAATGACCAGGTCATGAAGAGCGTGCATAGTCTCTTCAATTGGTGTGTCGGGATCAAAGCGATGGATCCAGAAGACATCAATGTAGTCTGTCTCCAGACGTTTGAGGGAATCATTCAGTGCGGTGAAGATTGCCGATCGTGAGAGGCCTTTTAACCACAGTTAGTGACTCTATCTACTTCGCAAATGCAGTTGCCGTGGCTCACCAAACTGGTTCACATAATCTTTGGTTTTCTTCAGATCCTCAATGATGGGGTATGCATGAAACTGCTGCTCTCCAACGCAGCTGTACGCCTTCGTCATCAGCACCAATTTGTGCCGCGGGATCTCATATTTCTTGATCGCTTGGGCAATAACTCTCTCCGAGTCACCATTGGAATAAATGTTTGCAGTATCCCACTAGGTACAGTCAGTTTTCAGTTTTCAGCAAGGTGAGATAAGGGCACAAACAGTGTTGACTCCTCGATCATAGGCTGCCTTCAGGAGTGGGAGGGCCTTTTCGGGACCAATGACCCAGTTTGCCCATTCAGGGTTTCCAATGCTCATACATCCGACGATGGGAACGGAGACACGAAGGCCGCTGTTTCCCAGACGTCTATACTCGACTTTGGTCTCCGCCAAGGATTTTGCGACTCCTTCTGGGAGAGGTGCCATGATGATCGAGGTTGAATATTTTTGGGGATGGAGTTTCCAGTCTCTAGTTTAACTTGGTTTTTCGACTTACTCCCTCCCCATATGCTTTTTATAATTCTTAATGGATGTTCACCATAGCATACATCTACGACATTCTACCCGCGGAGAACATTCCGATGGTCGGGTCGGTTATGGGGGATGGAGTTGGGGAGACAAGATTGGCGCCGATGAAACCGAGAGAGCCGATGTCGGTTGCCTATTACAGAAAGGCCGCTCGCCTACCCAAAAAGGAAATGTTGTTCGTCCCAAATAGGTAGGTAGATAGAGGATTTCTGCTTTGGGGAAAGACGCGGGGTAGTCTCCTGTTTATATTGGACTATCGGGTATGTGCTATAATCTCCATGTACACGGTGGACTGTTTAATCTATAACTAATAATCTATATCGTGCAGTAGTATGGAAACTAGTGTTGTTTAGTAGCTGTTAGCTGTCAAGATTAATTCTCCCCAACTTCAGTTTCCTGGTGAACGTATCCGCATATGAGATAGCTTAAAATATCAACTAATCGACTAACAAAATAAAAAAACAATAAACTAAATAAACTAAATAAACTATCTAGGTAATAAACTAGCAGGACTAAATATTCCATCTCGGCTTTGACAGATTTCCCCGCAAAACCCTATCTCGGTATTATTTATCTAACCGCAATCAACTACCTACATATGTAGGTAGTGTTGATTCGCAGTATCTATTAATGATATCTTCAATCAAGACCCTACATGTAGTGTTACACCAGAGTAGCAGCAATGGTTGTGTCGCAGTATCGCATTGAATACAACATCTTCAGGAATCGGGTTAGCGTCTCCATATTAGTGAACATGAGAGATATTCGTCAACTCTTGGCATGAGGGGTCCTTGTATCGTGAAACTGATTGGATAGGCCAATAATAACAATACCGCGGTGATGACATAGTGGAATGGTGAAGGTTGAATACTTTTGTCATTTTGCCATTGGAGCGGAGACGATGACCCTGGGATGGTAGCGCAGGTCTTTAGTCTCCCTTTTCATTTTCCCTCACTTTCTCTTGTAGTCTTCCAAAAGCTAAGAACAATGAGTCCTCTACCTCTCGTCGCTCGTGAAGACACTCGCCGTCGCCCATATGGTCCTCGGTCCCGAAACGGCTGTCTGACGTGTAAACGTCGCAAGGTTAGATGCAATGAACGCAGGCCTCGATGCTATCATTGCCAGCGTCTGAACCTGGAATGTGATTGGAAAGTCAACGAGCCACAACGACAGCCCCCTTTGCAGAATGACGCAGATTCTCTCGGGTCAAACATCGCATTGGAGGTCAATCAGCTATCTCCTTCGCCTTTCCTCCTTGACTTTCACCCCATACCAGCTCCGACAGAGGGGTTTCACATGTTCCAAAATGTCTATTTCCCAGACTTCGGTGATTTTACGGCCTTGGGGATACTTACCAGCAGGCCCGATCTAGCGACGCAGATTCCCTGAGGTCGTCTCTCCCTCCGCAACAGTCACCACAACAATCCCCAGTCGCCAATCCGGAAGTCGAAAGCTCGCTACATTTACACCTGCCACCAATTCTTGATCCGGTAGAGAATGGCCCCAGGTGTGCTTCTGCACGGGAACTGCTCGAAAGCATGGCAACCTCTTCCCAGATGCTCCGCTCTTCAATCGCGGCCTTCGAAGCCATACAGTTCGGAAGTGGAGGACGGCCAGCGGGTTACCACCAACACTACGAGAATGCTGCGATGGAGTTGTCACAAAAATTTGGAGAATCTGCGGGGGACGTCATAATCAGCGATAATGAACTCAGATACGTTCTGGCCACTATCTTTTTCCTTACATACATAAATGTCCGTTCAATTGCCTCCGCGCCAATGTATTGTTTATTTTGATTGACTCGATACCCAGTTCCTCACTTCACGGCTGGATCTTGCCTATTTGAACCTTGCAAAGGCGCATAATGCGGTGCAAGCATCACAGAGGAGTAGCTTGGGCTCCACAGGTGTGCGGAGGAACTCACTAACTCGATAGTCCTCTTGCTAACATCCCTGTATTAGAACTACGCATCATCTCTTGGATTCGTTTGTTAGACGCCCGCGCGGCATCGGCTGGTGGGGAAGGTGTCTTGGTCAATGACACCTCAGGAATCTATACCTCGCCCCAAAGCTCGAGCTCCCCGAGCTCAACGCCGCAAAGCATAGGCTCCGCCTCCAATCCCGGAGCACACGAGGTGATCTATGATTTGTTATGCCAGCCGGGGATAACTTTCTTCCAGGAAGTCCAGACGATCACCGGCCGTATCACCAGAATTGCTCATAATCACCGCAGCCGAGGGAGTGTGGAGGACGAGACTGAGGTGATGGCTATCGCCGCTGATATTTTGGCGGACCTGTCATCCTTGTATGATAGGAGACCACCACTCACAGACCATGCTGTAGCTGGAAATATTGACAGTGATACTCTGGCCGAGCCACTCGCGTCCACTATTGTCCGCTCATTCCAGACGTATCTTGCTAACTTTTACGCCTGCTACATTCACCTCCATCGAGTTGCCCACCGTCATTTAGTTCGTTCAAAGGCAGCAGTGACAGCGCTGTGCAAAATCAAGGAAATAGTGCATCGCATGGTCAAGAATAATGAATCTATACCGGTCAACATGTTATGGCCATTATTTCTATGGGGTACTGAAGAGGATGACTATGCCGAATTCCAATGGATCCTTCAGATCATTCGCGGTCTTCAGCATGTCTTCACCAACGCGAACATGACGGCCGACGTACTCCAGGAGACCCAAAGGAGGCAGCGCGAGGGGGGCAAGCGCGTCGACATTCGTTCTGTGTGTCTAGAGTTATTTTACACCACTTTCGCTATTGTTTGAACCTTTTCGGGTACTATGAATGTCACTTCAAAGGGAAATGGCGATTTTGCGATTTTGTTTTCCATTCTTTCTATTGTCTAGCGGGCGTCTTTACGTATAATGTTTGATTTGGATCTACACCTTCGACTTCAGTTCCTCCTCAACTGGGAGGAGAGGCGCGACCAACCGGACGACACGGTCTTGCTTTTCTGTATCTGCAAACTTGGGGAATGGTCGGCGGCAGTGTGCACTGGACAAGGGATAACCGCGCTCCTTGGCGATAATCCATTTCATTCCGTTGACATCTGATGTTCCGATTCCCCACTCAGGTTGGACCAGTTTCTTCTGCAGTGCAGTAGCCTCTGCGATCTTTCCAGCCATGAACAAATCATAAATTTTAACCATGACCTGCCAAATATATTAATGGTTAGGACTTGTTGCCGTGGACAAGGTGTGCTCTTACCCTAGGGAAAATATTTGCAACACCTGAAATGCAACCTGTACTTCCAGCGGCGAATGCGGCCACAAGCCAGTCACTCATACCAGATAAACTGGTGAACTGACTCGGTTCAAACTGTGTAGCTACTCTGGTAGCCTTTCCAACTCCTCCACAGGTCAATTTGACCGCGGCGATATTGGGGTGGGCGGCAAGTTTTTCCAGCATATCCGAGTTGACATCCAACCCGGACAAAAGGTTGGGGAAATTGTAGATAACGATCGGAATCGGGGCACGGTCAGCCACTTCTTCGAAAAAGTCGGTAATGGCTTTTTGGGTCATCGCCCAATGGAACACAGATGGCACTAAGACCAGGGCAAAATCCGCCCCGTTCTTGTAGGCGGTCTCAATCTGGACCAAGATGTCGCGGGTGGAGCCAGCCAAACAGCCCATAGTGACAGTGAAATCAGTCTTTCCATGGGCGTCAGCGATCTCCCGGGTTTTCTTGACTAACAGACCCTTCTCTTCCACACTTAGAGTGGCTGATTCACCGCTGGAACCGGCGAGCACAACTGTCATTTGGTCAGCTCTACTTTGTAAATCTGTACCAATGCGACATACCGCCATGCATCCCAGAAGTGATCATATACTCGAGGTGCCGCTCCTGAGTTGCCCAGTCAATTTCCTGCTGCTGATCATCTTCAAAGAAGGTAATCGAAGGGCCGTGAATCCCTGGTGGGAATGGCTTGTTTGTCTTTGTACTGCTGGAAGCCATAGTTGAAGAATAGATAATTGTGTATGTTGCGAATAATAGTAGTTTTCCAATACTACGAATTTGGAGAGTCATTAAGTACTAAGATATTTGGATGTCCCTACCTAGCGTGAGGATTGGGTCAGTGATATTTGACCCGATCGCGTCGCAAATGCAACCCGATCGGATCGGAGTCCGGTCTTCGCGATCGCATTCAGACATCTAGCGGGGGCATCAATAGCGGGTGGTAACACATGGCACTACATGGCGTTCCATGGCTGATTCAGTGGTTCGCTTCAGTTCTTCAAGGTTACGTGAAATGAGATTGTGATAATGCAGTCAGCATACAGATCTTGCGAAGCTAAACCAGCAGAACCAGTGGGACCGGTGGATACCTTCCACCCCCCGGGTCTGCATTTTGCGGGGAAACTGACATAAGCCAAGGAACTCACCTGGGCACCTGGGCAAATTAGTATCTACTATCTATCCTCTATCCATCAATACTATGTCGGCTTGGCTGTCCCTCTATCAAAATGAATAGATTGCATAGATTGCATAGATTGCAGGTCTTTTCTTTTGCCAGATTATCCAGATTATCCAGATCAGCCCCGAAAGTGAAACTGAATCCAATCTTCGATATAAATAGCTCCTTGTCCCTCCGAAAAATAAGTCTATCATTTTCTCAGTCAGCTGCTTCCACACTTCCTCTTTCACTCAAGAGCCTGCTTGTTCAGGTCAATTTTAGTGGAATAATTTGACGATGCTATCTTCATTTATCTATTTGGCACGCGAGTGCTCCATATTGCGCGCTATCTCCTTATGTGCCATCCTCGCCGTAGCAACTGCTACGGCGAGCGCAAGCGTCACATTCAAACACACGCTGGCCACAAATGGAGAGGGGCTGTTTCCACAGTACCGAATTGTTGCCTTGGCAAATCTGGGAAATGGTGTCCTCCTGGCATCGTATGATGGGCGCCCAGATGGAGGAGATTCGCCATCCCCAAATTCAATTTTACAACGACGCAGTACGGACGGTGGGAAGACTTGGGGCAACCCAACATATATTGCCCAAGGTCAACCAACGTCGTCGACGCTCCAACAGTACGGCTTTAGTGACCCAAGCTACGTGGTCGACTCCGATACCGGAAAGGTTTTCAATTTCCATGTCTTCTCGAAGAACCAGGGATTTCTCAATAGCGCAATCGGAAATGACGACACCGACTTGAATATAGTCAGCGCTGAAGTCTCCGTTTCGACTGATGGAGGACTTAGCTGGACCACTGATCCAGACCATCAATCCTCTTTCCCTCCTGTTGCATCTGCCGATGTTGGTGCACCGCCACTCATTACGAAAGCGATCAAGCCCGTGGGCAGTACTTCCAACGGGGTAGCCAACGTTGGTGGAATTACTGGAATGTTTGCTTCATCCGGAGAGGGGATTCAACTCAAATATGGCAAACACGCCGGGCGCCTGGTTCAACAATTCCTTGGTAAAGTCATCCAACCAGACGGTTCAAAGGTCTCGCAAGCCTATAGTGTCTATAGTGACGACGGTGGCGCTACATGGAAGATGGGGAAAGTCATTGGCAATGGGATGGATGAGAACAAAGTTGTGGAGCTATCAAATGGCAACTTGATGCTTAACTCACGCCCGAGCGATGGTAGTGGATATCGAAAGGTCGCAACCTCAACCGATGGTGGTGAAACTTGGTCAACACCAGCAAGGGAAACCCAACTCCCTGACCCAGGAAACAACGGAGCAATTACCAGAATGTATCCTGCTGCGGCACAGGGTTCGGCCGATGCCAAAATCCTCCTGTTTACCAATGCAAACAGTAAAACAAGCCGAAGCAATGGTACAATCCGCTATTCCTGTGACGACGGAAAGACCTGGTCTTCTGGCGCAGTGTTCCAGTCTGGCTCGATGTCCTATTCCACAGTCACCGCACTCGGCGATGATAAGTTCGGAATCTTTTACGAGGGAGATAGCAACGGCCTCGTCTACATTGAAGTTTCCAAGGATTTCATTGGGGTTTCCTGCTGATAAAACTCCCATTGGCAGCGTGCTCCACTTAGAAACTTGGGATTTACATTGTACCTAGGTAGATTTGTATGTACTACAGCGTCATTTCAAATATTTTCTTTAGGAAAGGACCTGACAATGGCGGCAGCATGATGGGTTCTGTGGCTAGGCCATTTATTGCCGGTGCCGCATGATAGTCATCAAACTCACTGGTAGCTATTGCGAATATTCAGTACAGGTAGCGTTGGTTCCTCTAGTCACGTCTGGATGAAGTCAGACCGTTATGGTGACACCTTCCTATGACACTGTATTCTGGGTTATGAATTCAATATTTCCATGGTAGTAGTTTCAGTGACAGCAAGGGCAAAAATTCCCATTTCTCAAAACTAACATTAGATGTAGAGGTCCCATGGTCAAGGTGGTGTTTGAGGGATTTATAGGTGGTAAAATCATGCTATGATGAAAATATGAACATGGCTAGCAATACGAAGCAACGATGTAGCAGGTTGGATTAGAATTCAGTAAGAATGCAATTCCTATCACGAACACTATCCAAATAATAATTGTGTAGTTTCCTGTCCGTGGCCAGAGCTAGGTCGCGTCTTGCTATCAATCACGGCACCCCACCATTTTCCTGTGGCCCAGATTTCATCGAAAAGCACCGGAACAGAATTAAACATGCTGTAACGAGACTTCTCGCCCCAATAAACACAGTATTCCTTCACAAAATGGCGCATATCTTCATCTGTGGTTTCACTGCCTGCGAGGAAAACCGGGATAAGGAGTTGCTTTTGTGTCTGGGATGTTCGTCGGCAGCTCCGAATGTGGTCAATTGTCTTGCGCACCAGTCTATGAACACTGATGGACCGTCTTTTGCGATCACTCTTGAAGATATATTCAAGATATAGGAGCAATCCATATCGCCAGGCCTCCGCACAGTGGTAGCGATCTTGTTGCTCGTGGAGTTGCCTTATTGCCTCTTCTACACCCAATGTGGGGTCATCGTCACTTGATGGAGAATCTATGTCATTCTTCCACCCAATCAGTTCATATTCTATCTTTGTAACAGGAGCCATGTTGAAAGTCAGCCATTTCATGGATAAGCCGATCTCGTACTGCTTGGCTAACTCGGCCAGTTGGAACAGGTGAACCAGCAATTCTCGGGGACACCCAGTCAGATCGAAGAAAGACCATTCATCTTGTTTTTCCCATCGCACCAAAAAGTCCAAGTATGCCTGGTCCATGATAGGACTCTGTCGAGATATCAAGGCAAGTGTCGCATCCCACCTTGGTTTGATCAGCCACACAACTCTCAGAGCTAAAGAGGTTTCAGGTTATTACCATGTTAGCATTGCGACTTGTGACCGAATGCGAGGTGTCGTCAATGCACTTGGGCCGCCATGGGTTTGGAGCACTGAGTGTGCCCGCATCAAGTGAGTTGACCAATTCCCGGTAGCGGAGAGGGTGCACTAGAGCCGTGTATTAGCGTTCAGCCACATGTATCACCAGGGTGAATGACTTGCATCAAGAGTAAAAAGGATTAGTATAGGCTCCAATAAGCTCAGCACTGGGCTACTTTGTAATGCACATTCAAGTAACTGAATAGCTTTCCGGCGATGCTCAGCGGCTTCACTTGGCCAGCTACCAGCCAAGCGCCCTAGATGCTGACAGCATAGTGCTAGAATGGAATGAAAAAGAAGGCGGGAGCGTTGGGGCGTCTGACGTTTGCAGCGAAATGGATTCACTGTCCCAGGTATGTCCCCTGTCAGAGGTAGCACGCAGAATTCGGAGTCATCTATGGTATCGTAAGCGTGCCCTCTTATCGCCAAATGTGGAGGCCAGCGGAAGTCTCACATAATTCAAGAAGCTTTTCATGGTCGTTAGATGAGATCTCGGATATCATAGGAACAGCTTGGAGACACGCCGAAGAATAAGAGATTGTGGGTTCTTGAAAGGTTCGTGGAACCAGATCAGCTAAAGCACTTTGCTCTTCTTCATCTCGAAACATGGGGTCGACATTCATTGGGCAGGTTTGTAGATTTTGTAACGCCGGTTCAATGGGCCTTTCCACTGGGGAGAGAGGTGTCACTCTGGGTGACTCCATTACACCCGACACTTCTGCTGTCAGTGTCCCCTGAGGCTCGATATCCGAGAAGGGGGTGGACGCAAAAATGTTAGGAAGTATGGAGTCAAATAAACTAAAATCGTCAAAAGGATGTCCGTCTTGCAGTTCTAGAAAAGAAACCGTGAGAAAGACGTATGTCTGAAACATTCCAAGGGTAAGGAAAGCTCAACGTACCTAGACCAGATAGGCTATTGCGCTTTTGGGGATCATCAAATATGTCCAAGTTCTGCGCTGTTGTTCTTAGCACAACCTCAGGGGTAACCGACGAGGTTTCTATTGCAACTGATCGGCTTGCTTGCTCCTTTGGCGAGTTGGCTCTCCGACGCTTCTTTGGTCTGGAGACACCTTTAACGAAGCGAAAACGTTTAGGTGAATCTGGTGCGGTAAATGCAGCGGGGACAGCCTTGGGGGAGGAGCTGGTGACGATCTCCTCATTAGGTAGGTCTCTAGATGCAGCAGCTGCCGAAGTATTATCTGACCACATTCGCCTAGGGTCCCACGAGAGAGGTATTGCAAAGCCACCACATCTACGACCTTGACCGAGACATGTTGAACATCGCGGTCGACGCCGGTCGCACTTTTCACCTAAAGAAGCACAAGTATGACAATCTGTTTGGGCAAACCCAAGTGAATTGGTTCTCTTTCCTTGATCAGAAATCATCACGTCAGATGCTGGAAGATACAAGTCTCTTTTTGGCGTGTTGTAGAGGAAAAGGTCCCGCTCTCCTAAATTGGGGAATTAATCTGGGCAGGTGACATTTCCGCGGAATTGACCGGAATCTTTTCTCAACTCTCTCTATACGTACCTACCTAGGTACATATAGGTATCTCCAGGGCTCTGGCTCTACAGACATAACTTTCTCTGGTTCTTTTTAGACTGGTCTGTAGGAAAGTAGCTATTGACACTTTACCCCATTTACCCCACACGACGGAGGTGTTTCTTATCTCGCATAGTTCCGAGGTATCCAAAGGTGTATATCGGCCACAATAGCGCCAATGAAGGAGTCCATCTGTGCTTGATTTGAATAAAACAATCCCGTGATGTCACCTGTCGGGGTCAAGTACCCGATAACCCGCCTTCCCGATCGGGAAATATCGTCATTACCTAGGTACCAAATCGGGAAGGCGAGCCCTGGAGAGATCCCCCGCTGAACACCTGGGCAAGCCCCGCCACTTACCCGATTGAGCCTTATAGTATCGTCCATGGAATCCATGTATATCACCTCCAGGGGCTATTTCCTTTCATGGAAATTGCGATGTCTCGAGACATAGGCACTTAAAGGTCTCTATATCTGCCTGATTATCTTGATTTACTCATATTCTCCTCCAGCAATTCTCCTGATCAAACCATAAAGAATCCAAACCCTCCATCACCATGGCTACAATGGAAAAAATCTTCGCCGCCTACCACGAGCGCCAAAAGGTTCTTGCAGCGAACACCCACCCCTTCGCAAAAGGTGTTGCTTGGGTGGAGGGAGAACTTACTCCTCTCCACGAAGCCCGTATCCCAATCCTTGACCAAGGCTTTATGCACAGCGACTTGACATACGATGTTCCCTCAGTCTGGGATGGACGCTTTTTCCGGCTCGATGACCACATCACCCGGTTGGAAGCCAGCTGCACCAAGCTACGCATGAAGCTCCCCCTCCCACGCGACGAGGTGAAGCAGATTCTGGTCGATATGGTTGCAAAGAGTGGCATCCGCGACGCGTTTGTCGAAATCATCGTGACGCGTGGATTGAAAGGCGTGCGAGGCTCTCGTCCTGAGGACATCGTCAACCGTATCTATATGTTTATTCAACCCTACGTCTGGTGTATGGAACCTGAGGCGCAGCCTGTGGGTGGAAGCGCAATTATCGCAAGAACTGTCCGCCGCGTCCCGCCTGGCTGCATCGACCCCACTGTCAAGAATCTGCAATGGGGTGACCTGGTTCGCGGCCTTTTTGAGGCTTCTGATCGTGGCGCCGAATATCCCTTCCTGACCGATGGTGACACCAACCTCACTGAAGGTTCCGGCTTCAATATTGTTCTTGTGAAGGACAATATTCTATACACTCCAGCTCGCGGAGTACTTGAAGGTGTTACACGCAAGAGTGTGATTGATGTCGCTCGAGCCAGCGGCTTTGACATTAAGGTCGAGTTGGTACCTGTCCAAATGGCTTATGATGCGGATGAAATTTTTATGTGTACCACTGCCGGAGGTATCATGCCGATCACCAGTCTTGATGGCAAGCCTGTGAAGGACGGAAAGGTTGGGTCTGTTACCAAGAAGATCTGGGATGGGTACTGGGCTATCCACTATGATCCTGCCTACAGCTTCGAGATTGCCTATTAGACACCCCGTTCAGTTTTTCTGCATGATCTGGTTATTCAGGACAATATATAGACGTTAGCGAATCACCTGCAAGCCACTGTCATCATAAGATTGCCAATGTAATATACTCCGTAGGGACCTGTGAATTACGCGATCTGGTTAGTCTTGCCGTTCCTGGCCTGGTGCCCTGATACACCGTCCTGTAATCTCCCTGAACATAAGAGTCGTGACCTCGCCCTTTCCACCTCTTTTTTCCCTCCTTTCCCTCCAACTCCTCTATCTTGCACCCATCGCGACGAAGATACGGTGCTAGCTCTATCGCAGCCGTGCTTGCGCCCGCCCAGTAGCCCCGTGAAGGCCACTTTCATTTTCGGTTTTAGCGTAGAACATTTGCTATACGTTATCGGCCGTTCCTTTAAGTATATGGTGTTTCGGTCTTACAGGGGCCTCGCTCGTGCTTAAGGAAAGAAAGGATAGTAGTAGACTACAAGAGGCAGGGACATGTGACCAGAGAGAGGATTCGAACGATGATGCGACCTCCAGGGCTACTTCGCTTTAACAATATTGATTATGTGCGCGCCGAGCTCTTCTCCGCCGTCAATCTTGCTAAGCTTTGATTCGAGAAGCTCCGCATCTCGTAGAAGCCTATATATTGGTTAGCTAGCAACGAGGTGATCTCAAGGAAGATACTTACCTCGCTTTTTCGGCCTCGGTCCGTATCGCCGCACCTTCGAAAGCCTTACTCCGTTGCTCCTTATAGTTCGTAAAGACCTGTCCGACAATCATACTCACGTTTAACGCAGGCAGATACTTGCTTAGCACTCGCTGTAGCGTAAGCGCCTCATTTGTGAGCGTCTCTATGTGTGGACTGACGTTCCTCAGCAGCTCATCTTCGTCGTCCCACTTGATCTTATTCATCTCTCTAATGCAAACGGTCGCGCGAAAACTCATTATGTCGACGAGCTTGTCGTGGATAGTGGACTGATGGTCTTGGAATAAGCGCTTCAACCGGTCATACTCTGCTATGCCGGAGCCTGTGATGGACGGTCGACGACGAACACACTCGCGCACGTAGGGTATCAGGGCAATGAAGAAGGACAGCGACTGCGAGGCAAGGGCAAGGTGCTTAGTATTGATATTGGGCAGCCCAGCTGTTATTTTAGCGCCGGCACCGAGAATAAGCTGTTGTGTGCGAGAGTTGTACAGTTTGAGATAGTCAAGTAGGAGCGTCGATATGTCGTTGACCATGCCGGGGACCGATGCCAGTAGGATTGTGTATTGTTCTATACCGCGAAGCGCAAATGCTGCCGAATCAACCAGCGTAAACTTCTCGGCGTCGATGACAGCCAGTGTCGGGTCTTTCTTATTTTGCTTAGCAGCACTTGTCGGCTCCATAGGGGTGCGGGTTTTCTGCAAATTCAGTTCGTCTGCTTCTAGGCCTGCGGTACTGACATCCGTGTAACCGAGCCATGCCGGGGGATCAGTGGTCATAGACTGGACAATGTGCGCCAGGATCAATGCGTCCTGGGGCTTGAAGTCGATGCGCTCCCACTTCTCAGACTCCATCTTCTGCACTAGCTTTTGCTTTTCTACTTCGTGCAGAAGCGGAATAAAGTCGTGAATTTGATTGTTTACGATGCTCTTGAGGGCCTCTCCAGAGTGTCCAGAGACTGCCTCGCATTCATTGACAAACAGGCGATTCAGCGTGAAGTAGCTTAGGAAATGAGTTAATCCAAGGCGAACCGTTTGCTCGGTCCTGACTCGCAGCACCTTTGTGATCTCTGATTGTGCCTTGTCCACTACCTGTACGAGGAGGCTCGACATGTTAAGGGCTTGAGTTATCTCTTCCTGCAGATTATATCCCGTCGAAAGGCTGGGCGAACGGACAGCCGGCTCGCCCTTGCTTCCGAGGATTTGGACGGGAGTGAGTACGTTGTTTGAAGTCTTCATGCCGCTTATGATATCGAGGAGAACCTTGAAACCTGTACACTAAGCCTCCGTAATGCTTCGCCTATCCCGCAGTAGACCTTGACGAAGAACGCCTCGGCGTCCTCAGGACTGAGAGCACGCAAGTTGCGAGACAGAATGCTCGACATTTCCTGCTGGGTCGGACGTCGACCGCTTGCCCGCATAGACGCAGACGTGGCAGACTCACTATCGTCGTTAGAGCTCGGCAAGTGCTGGCGGATAAGATACTTCATTTCTCGGATGACAGCTTCACGAAACGTGGTGCTTGCTGCAGCTAAATACTGCGGCTGGCCAAGGCCCTGCAGGACAGGGATGAGTTCTTCGCGCAAGTTTTCTGCCTTCATCATGGATATTCGATGAGGAGTCATCCGTCGCGCCGCGTGTGCTTTTTGTCCAGCGTGTCAGAGTGTCTGTGGGCGGTGCGTCGGACACATGTCGGCGCAGGTCGCCTAGAAGGATGTTCAGCAATCGGGCTTCATAACCATTCCCAATCCGCAGGCGAAGCTGGTCGATGTCTTGCAGCAGCCCTCCAATAGCGTGCATTCGGCGTAGATCGGTAAGCCTGATGAATGGGTTCGGCAGCAACCAATGCAACTCCCCGCCAATTCTCGGATCCAGCGTTTCGGATGCAAGCTGTTCGACGTACGAGATGTGTTGCATTGCGCCGTCTCCAGATGCCCGGAGTTTACGAGTTCTTCGCAATGACTAGCGCCGCTAAGGACACATTGAAGCTGTTTGGTAGCCTCGCCCAGCTTTGTCAGATTGTCCCGTCTCCGCTTCGAGTTGATGATCTCAAACCCGCGCACTACCATCTCTTTGTCCAAATGCGCGAGGTCCTTCCTCACCTTCCGGATCTTTGCGACAGAGTCGGCTGCCTCGGCCTGGAGTTCACGAAGGGAGCCGAGCGCGGCGAAAAAAGAGGCTGACGCTTGCGAAATTAAAAGTACCAAATGAATCTCTACAGTGTCCATGTGCCACGATAGCTTCTCTTGCAAGATAGTATAGGTAGTAAGCGTCTTCCTAGTAGGCTGCAGGTCACCATTTGCAGCAATGTCATCACCTTCTCCGATGGTGGACAGTGGCTGCTTTTACAACGTCTGTATGCTCACTGACAACATCGAAAATGCGCGGATTCTCGAGGTGAAAGTTTTCATTGAAATACACAGAGGGAATTGTAGACAGCGGTGTAGGCGCAAGCTGGCGCTTCGAAACGCTTGTCTTCCGCCTTCCGCACGGTGCAACTTCGTCGCCTTTGGTAGTGGAGATGTCTTGACGAAACATGTCTTTGAACTCGAGCTTCATGCGTTTGAAAGCATCAAATAGGCTTTCGACCTCACTGAGGTAGTCTTTAAAAGCTGAGGGTTCGACATAGGGGATATTGGAGAGAATTACGGGAGGTATGTCTCGGGAGGTGGGAGGTTTCTTTGGAGAATGGATCGCGGTGTGAGGGAGAAGCCCGGTCTGTAATATCGGCGGTTGTAGGAGAGTAGATATCGCTTCCCGAATCGTGAATATACCTTCATGCGTTGTGTCTATGAGCTTGCCCACCATTCTGACCCGACTCTGCTACCATGGTCCTTCGCCTGTGAGCGGCGCTATCTAGCGACCCACCAACCAAGCTGGGGCTTGTCGAAACCCTTCTCTCCGGCAGCTGACGACTTCGCGATGACCACGGAAATGAGTCATCTGCCCTTGGCGACGGCGAATGCGCTGGGGTACAACCCAAGGGAGTTAACATGATCGCACAGCGCTGCGTAGGGTTGGAAATGGTTAAGATGTACGAGCATGGTTCAGAATTCGTACTATTTGTGAAGAAACGGTGGGGAGTTGAAACCAAGAGTCCACGATGCAGAATAGGGGGCAGACCGTCCAAAGTTATAGCGTCAGAGTCATTGTCGATTTCACTCCCTACATTCCAGCTATACAACATAATTAATGAAAGCAATGGTCTGAAAATGCAAAGTCACAATCACAACCTGTATCTCTATGGATCAATTATCGCTGATTGCATATTTCCATAGGGCCTACCTCACAGGCCTCGTTCATCCTCTCTCAGCAAAGTAGCCCTCCAAGGCTTCCCTTCCACAATAGACCTCCACCCGAGTTCTGTCTGTTGTCTTTGTGTCTATATTCCAATACAATAAGTTTCTATATTTCTGCGATGCATCCTCTTTCTTCATATCTTTTATAAATTATCATTCTCAAGGGCTAAGTTCACTTTCCTCAATGATGGTGGAAAATTTGCTAGGCACTCACTTGTTTCAACGCAGGTCTTCCGAATATGTTTACTGCTTCTGTTGGCCCCGGAGTGGCAAATCGATTATGTTTCTTGTTAGCACCGACCTCAAGAAGATACCCATCCCACAATCCATACAGTCCTTGGTGTTGCTTTCTTCTGCAAAGGCACTTAATGCGACAATGGGTGCAGAGTAGGCCATCTGCCGTATAAGTCGGGTGCTCTCGATACCATCGAGGATTGGCATCTGCATCAATTAGCATTTTCATGACCGTGCAAAACCGAGTTCCCCACTTGGATGTCCGTAAAGATTAGGTCAAACACGTCTCCCTTCTCCATAGCTGTTTTGACAGTGTCATATGCCTCCTGACCGTCTTTAGCTATTGTCACATCATAGACCTCCTCCAGGGCAAGCATCCTAGCATCCAAATCAACATTTGAAATACCTCACGGAGAATTTCGTCAGCACGCATCGTCGCACTACTTCTTGATTGATAGTATTATCTTCTGCAACTAGCACACGTATTCGTTTTGAGTAATCGCCCTTGTCGGGTGAGCTTTGATTGGATGGCAAATTTCCGGATACTGATGCAGGAGATGATGGGACAGTTGGCGTGAAAAATGGTTAACTCAATCCAACCAAACGTGGTTGGATTTCTGAATTTTCAAATCCAGGGGCAGGGGGCTCGCTCCTCACTGATCCGTAATTCGAAGGTGTTCGTGCATTGGAAAAATCTTCCAAGGACAAGACACTTAGGGTCCGCGATACTGGGATGTTCGAAGCATGTCTGCTTGGGGTCAATTCTTTGACACACCCCAAAGGGATTCTCAAAGTAAAAAGAGACCATTTCCCTTCTTCACTATCTAGCAGAATGTCACCTCCCATAATGCGGGATAACTGAGCACATATGCTGAGACCCAAACCAGTTCCCCCGTATTTCCGATTCAATCCTAGGTCACCTTGAACGAAAGGATCAAAGATACGCCGATGGAGATGGCTAGGGATGACTGGCCCCTTATCTTGAACTTCGAATTGAAATTTCACCTGGCGAATATTCGACTGTGACACTGATTTCTTTTTGGTTTGATCATCGGTCACATCCGCAGCCCCATGAATCGACGAATTGGTACTTGAGCCTGTCTGGGGCCGTATTCGTGAGTCGCGTCGAGGCATGTCGTCCAGAGCCACGGTTTCCAGTCTCGACGGTTCCTCTACGAGGAGGATGCGAACTTCTACTTTCCCGTTCTCGGGTGTAAATTTGAGACTGTTACTGACCAAATTGATCAGTACCTGGAGGATTCGATGCTGATCACCCCAAAGCACCATGTCTGCCAGTCTGCCAGGCTGTGTTGGACTGGAACCTGGATGGGCTTGCCCCAATCCGCATACCACCAGAAACAAAGTTGACGCTGAAGTCAATACGCTTCTCCTGAACCTGATTTCGGAAGATGATAGCCAATTGCGATCGAACATCAGACAACATGAACTCTTTTTCTTCAATCTGAATAGCCTGGTCGATTTGATGCTTACTGAATGTGAGCAAATCGTTCAAGAGGTGCAAAAGAAGATCGCCTGACTGATAGACCACCTGAAGCGATTTTTTGATCCGAGAAATGTCCTCCTCGCCCATACACACCGCACACATTCCAGGATTCCGTTGAGGGGAGTCTTCAGCTCATGAGATATGTTGGCGATAAACAATGTCTCGCTCTCGTTGGCGCTCTCGCCGGCCAATTTCGCCTTTTCAAGCACCCTAGTGCGCTCAGCCACTCGCTCTTCTAGCCGATTGTACGACTTGTCGGACATCTCGTTATAAGTTTTAGTCCACTCCGTGAGCTCATCGGTGACACAATGTTTTCTTTCTTTGACCCTGCCTGGTATCCGAAAGCCACGGGCAGTTTCCGGATAGGCGACGCTTCCGGAACTGTTGAATCGCCGCAAGGGACATCGCAGGCGTTTCAGCCACATCCCAGCGGAACTTTTCTTATTCGTATGTTCCGCAGCTCGCTCAAATGTATTTCCCTTTTCATTGCCGGATTCAGACTCGATTTGTCGTGGCTCCGGGGCGGGACTACGTGGTGTAATCTCGCGCTCGACTGATTTCCGGGCTGATGCGCGCAGTCTTCTAACAGGAGCAACAGCCCAGTGGGCCAGAAGAGGTACCAGGAGGATGGTGGCACCCGTTGTGCCAAAAGCGCACGCAAGAATAATCTTCCGTAAGCGGACAACTGGTGCAAATGCTTCCGAGTGAGTCTCTTCTACGAGGAGAATCCATTGGACGAGGTGGTTTTGAGGACGGACTGCGCCCACAGCAACATTCTCCCCTCGCTAATTTCGAGTTGACAGGTGACTGATGGCTTCGTTCCCGTTCGGACATGATTGCAGCATGACTTGTAGGGCTATCGGATACGTAGAAAGGACAAACGGAATATCGGTCGGCATGCCACCGTGCCGGGAGCCTGGGTGGGCAAGAGGGTAGGCTCGAAGATGTAGTGAACCTGCGCACCATTAAGAGCGGCAGAATGAGAGGCAGATGTGGCTATTGCGGACTGCTCACTGGAAGCAAAGGTGTTTGCTCTTTGTGAAGGTCCAATAAGGAGAACCCGACCGGTATTTCCTAGCCCATCTCGCAAGCTAACAACACTCTGGAGATTCGCGGCACTGGCGACAATACTGGGGGATGGTCAGTCTCGACTGCACCATGTTCTTGAGGTTCGAGGAGGATACTCACGTTATGAAGCCCAAGATTTCTGTATCTGAAGTGTTATTGACAATCGGGCAGTATCAATGACATGAGAGAGAACGAGTTGTTGACCTTTGATGGACCAAGAAGCAGTGCTGAGTCCAATCCAAGTGTATAATTGGAGAATGCGTAGGTCGTTGAGTCGCTGTCGCCTGACCCGGCACAGTAAGTCAGATTCGGGTACAGGGAAGGGGGTAGCCTAGTCCATCATTCCCCAATTGCACAGAAGTCCCGTTCGAGTACGTGTATGGAAGAACGATGTCCGGAACACTGTCGCTGATCTGGTTTAACAAGGCCTGATCTCCACCTTTGCCGTCCTTTGAATAGATGACGGCCTGGTAAAAGTCCAATTAACCACGGCTACTAAGGCCGGATTGGATATCCCCTATGGACCGGATCCAGTTCTCGTCGGGCATATTTCCCGCATAGTAACGTTTCAAGGCTGATTATTGAATCGGATTTCGCGTGGCGATGGATCTTCAGGTTGTCTCGAGAAGGTCCAAATTCGAAGCAATCTGACTGGCTTTGGTGGTCGCAACGAGTTCGAAGCCCTGCGATCTGCTCAAAGGTCAGATTGGGGATTGCATATTAAGAAACACGTACTCGATGTCCACTACAAACTTGTAGGCAGTATACCACTCAAAATACATGTAGTCAGTTTCGGTTCTCATTCGGATTGCAACTCTCTACCGTTGCGATGGCTAGCACCGCGACCCCCCGAGACCGCAGTCAGCAATACCAGCAGCGCAAGCTGCACAGCAATAGGAATCCTCATCCGATCACCTAAGATCAGGGGGTAAAATCGACAGGTTTGTCCGATTTGAGCCAAAGGACAGATTCAAGCGTAGAAAATCCTGTTGACAGTCGACATGCCAAGCCCCTGTTTTGTCACCCCTACATGAGTTCCAGATGTCTTCAGGTGTTTTCGCCTGCTCTTTTTGTGATAGTTCCTGTGCTAAAGAGAGAACGGAATGAAGTGGAAGCCAAATGAAAATTTTGGGGGGAAAACAGGGAAGTCAACAAGTCAAAACAGTATGGGAGATGGAGACCAGTACATCTATTCATGGATGGATATATATTGTGCTAAGACGCGACTCCTATTTTACCTACACCACACATCTATATGTTATATTTTATTAAAGAGAATAGCTTGAGGACTTGATGGAAATTGCCCAATTCCATTGGATCTCTCTACCTTCTTTACCATCCTTTCGTCTGGTTTGGTACAAAATGTTTAATATCAGCTATATATTGCTACGGGGCTCGTCCTAAGGTACCCTTGGGAGTGTCTAGATTCACAGGGTGTATTTACTTCGAGTATCTCACTAAGAGGGACTAGACCAGAAATTAACAACACAACAGCGATAGTGATCTGAAGGCAAAGATGAGAGAAGAAGGATTGATTCTCTACAAGGGCTATGTAGCGAGGAAGCCTGACAAGGCAGATCCATCTCAACAAGAATTATATACATTCAACAAATTCACAAGACGATGCTCCATAGGAGCATCTACTGGGTGTAGAGGCAGCCATTGGGGTTCTCGGTCTCCACGACACGAGCGGCAATGCCCACACAGTCGGTGTTGCCAGCAGGGTTGGCAACGCCAGCAGAAGCCCAGATACTCCAGGCACCGTCAATGCTGTTGGGGCAGGCAATCAGATCGTTTCCTCCAAACTGAAGGTGGCCATCCTTCTGGGTCCAGCCCTTGCGCTCTGAGTTCTTGGGGGTGGGCTGAGCACCGGTGGTGTATCCAATCAAACCCTGGCCTGTATATCAAAGTCAGATAATTGCCAGCCTGGATTATTGTCAGAGTGATAACGTACCCATGCCGGAGCGGTCAACGTAGATCTCCTGGGGAGTGGCGGAATGATCATAGAGGTACAGAGCACCGTCATCGATGTAGAAGGTCGCCTGCTGCTCCTCGGGACGAGCGCAACTGGCACCCTGGCTAGGCAGACCAGCAAAGATGCTGCTCTTAGCAGCGTTGAAGGCAGAGTACTGCACACCGCTACCAGAGTGAATGGCCACAACACCAAAAGTCTTAGACTGGGTGGAAGGAGCGGCCGAGGCAACGGCGCTGACAGAAGCAGCGATGGCAAGGTTCTTGAGCTGCATATTGGAGAAAATGGCAAGAGAAGATAGAAGATTGGGTTCAGCGAAAATAAGAATGTGAATCGGGAAGATTGGTTGATAATTCTAGAGACATGCTGAAATGACTGTCCCTTTTATACTTGGAGCGCCACCGTCGCCGAGGTTGATGTCTCACCCATCAAGACTATTCTCACAGCCAAGCACCCGACTACATCAGACTACATCAGACTACAGGATTCGATATTGCTCAAACTGACATCAACGTGACTATTTTATGGGGCAAGCATGTCGATCTCCGTCATGTTCCTATCAATAATGTCTTATCCCTAAGCTATTAACGGTGATACTCCATATAATCCATTTTAGGAAATATTATAAGCTTATCATTATATTTATGAGAATTTTCAAGTCCTGAATATGAAGAAAATTACCTCGCCCCTATGTTGTATATTGTAAATGACTTCAATTTCAGTATTGCCCCATTATGTATTACCTCCATATGTACTCCGTACTCCGTACAATTATAGGGACTCCCCAATATGTGTTCCATGTTTCTCCGAATTATATCCACATGTGCACGATATCCGAATCAAGGCCAATCGGGTTATAATGTCGTGATGCACCGGAGAAACAGACAATATAGGTGGACTTCGCCAACCGGTTTTCTGCCTATTTTCGGTCGTTTCATCTATTATGGGTCCCTCAACAAGGATCTATAAATAGCCACGGGCTCACCGTTTTCTGTTGGCTTCCGCTTCAGGGGAGTTATACACTTTCTATTATGTTGCATAGTATTCGTCAATCTTAAAAATCTTATGGCTTTATGAGTATTGAATGAGATGAACACTATAATACATACATGTACACATATCGCTTCTTGCTCCATGATTTCACGGACCATGAAGATGCAACGCCTAGAAATGAATTCCCTCGAACCAGTCCAGGATTGACGGAATTTCTGTACAAGTACCAGCTTGAGCACGCTCATAACCCGTGTTAAGATATGCTAATAACAAGAAAACAAAATCGTCCTTACTCAGGAGCTGCGCACGAGAAGACGCCACCAACTTCGCCTTTGTCATACTTGATGATCTAGTCGAGCCAGTTAGTAAGACAATTCGTGCTCCAAGATAAGGGCTATCATGGGAAAACTCACAATGTCATCAACGCTGGAATAGGTTCCTGCAACAAGCACAACCATACCGATCAGGAAAATCATAAAGTTGACGACTGCCAGAATGATGTTCTTGGGCTCTTTCCAGCTGCCCTTCCGAAGGAGCATAAACCACATCATGGCAGGGAAGTAGAAGGTGAAGCCGGAAATGAAAAGGGCAGAAGAGATTGAAAGCAGGTCGTTGAAAAAGGGAATCACCTCGGCAATAATGAATGCCACAATTGTGGCAGCCGTGATCACCGCCAGCCACGTCAGCCATCCCATCTTGGTATTGATGAAGCGGATAGGGGAGTTGGCGAAGATGCGACCATGAACCAGACGCCCAAATACAACAGTATTGATCGAACCACTAATGAAGATCACGGGGAGAGCAACGCCGTATGCAACGCGGCTGAGGGTAGTTCCGGCAGAGGTGAGTGCAGGGCTGGACACATCCTGGCCAACAAAGGCGTAGATTGTAGCACCAGTCACCGTGTAAATAACGATCTCGGTGATACCTAGTGCCCAGATCGACTTAACAAAGTCCCGAGGAGTGTGCATCTCATCCATAAAGGAGAACTGGCACATGGCAAAACTATAGGCGAAAACAATGTTCGTCACAGCAATAAAGGCTTCGGTGAAGGTGAGGTGATCCTTTGGCCACGCAGACCAGGCAACTCCGGAGAGTCCACCGGGTGAGTTAGTCGCCTCCACACCCGTACCGATAATAGTGATTCCAATAGCCAAGATGATGGATGCAAAATCGACATAGCCTAGGATGGCCACCTCGGTGAAACTAGGTGGAATGGCGAGTAACAGCAAGATGATGGCGGACACGACGGCAAAAATGATCGAGCAAATGCCGCTTTTAGTGATGTCGAGGAACGCGATAGTTCCCGTCAAACAATGGGAGGCCGTGAGGAAGATTAGCTGGAGACCGAGCATGCCATTGACTAGCTCATATCCAAAGCGACCACACCCTAACCGATGGCCGAGCAACCGACCCGCATCGGCATAATTGGCAACCTCGGGGAAAGCCAATTTGACCATTCCGACAACGTAACTGGTATAGATGGCGATAAGGCCGATGCCCACACAGCAGAGCACACCGGGGACCATGCCTAGTGTTGCAAAGGTGGAGGGAATCGACAAACTGCCGAGTGCAATGGCTTCGACGATGAGGACGATGGTGAGTCGCTTCCAGCCGAGACGGCTGAACTTCTTGATACCGTGATCATAGATGTTTCTCTCGGCCTCGCTCATTTCCCCGACCATGTCCCCCTCAAACGGCGGTGGGGGAGCATATGCGGCCTTCTCGCCTTCGGTTCCCATCACCTTGTCGGCATCATGGTCGTTGGAGATGTTTTCGAGGCCCATGATGATGGTTGGGGAAGTGAGGGTAGTCTGCCGAACAGGAAGGGAGGGAACCGGGTATATAAGAAGACAAATTTCGCACACTTTCGAATGCGGCACTATCAGGAGGCAAAGCAGGATTTCCGTGACTAACATGATTTCGTGACTTCTGCTTGGTTGCTCCAACACGTGGAGTACGACGCTGATCCACTCCAGTTGATCGGCCACCCAACGAGCTGACCGGAAACAGGGATTGGACCCATTTGGGTGGGAATTTTAGGCGAAATGTGGCCCGGTGGCCCCAGTTTAGTGTTCGCTGTGCGATAAGAAGGTTCGGAAGGTTAGGTAAAAGAAATGCAACATTGGTGTAATGCGTAGTTTGGAGGGCCACTTGAGGGTCGAGAGTGCTTTGGACAATGTCACACTATGGAGTCTCTCCCCGCGTTACCGATTGCGGGGAGATAAAATCAGTATGTATGTTGTAGTAAAAGAAAGTACATCAAAAATAAGAATATAGACGAAGGTTTTTTTTTTCTTCTTCTTTTCTTCACGCCACAGAAGATCCCGAAAGCCGACTTGCCAATGAAAGACTCGGAAGGATTGGCCAAGTGTTGGCCCAGCGCCGACTCGCCCGTCTGGGCAGCCGATAAGAATTTTTACAGGGTCACGTGAGGGCTGCAAACAGAGCAAAATAAGACATCAACCTCCTACGGAGTTAACTATGTACTACTCAGTACTTCCGTACACCACTTACAGAATACATATGTATACAACGGAGTACTCCCTACAAGGTTCAGACACGAATACCCTGCAGAACAAACCTCAGCCCCCCAACCAAGTCGAGATCCTCGAGATCCTCTTGGGGTATCTCCTAAACCTGGAGATGCGGAGCAACACCAACCGCCATTGGGTTTAGCGGCTGTGGGAAAATAGCGCAAATATTGACTTCATGATTCGCCGCCTTGGCCGAAATCTCAAATGCGATAGAATGGGTCTCAGAGACGGCATACATATGTAAACATCATTGCGGGAAAATCCCCAGTCTCCAACTCATTCGGTCCGCGTCCTTTGTACTCCATACGTAATGAAACCCAATTTCCCCAACTTTCGCATCTGCAAGGTTGGGCTCTCTACTCCGTACTCCATATTATGTGCCTACCTCGTGGTCATTGCTTATATCCGTGCTAGCTTCCCCAGACTACGGAGTAGTTTCCCGCTAAGAAAGACATCTCGAAAGACCGGATACACGGAAGCTGCGGGTCATCTCGGTCATAATGCATATTCAAACCTGAAACACGGCACATCCCATGCGGGATTTAATGTTGGGGATCTGTCCATGCCCAATAGGTTCTGTGTTTCCGCTGAAGATCCTCGCCATATGGCGTATGTTGTACGACCTCTCCCGACCGCATCGACGGTCGAGTACACGCTCTTAAAGTGCGATGGAACACATGCACACGCTCGGCGGATCTTCTAGAGACCTCTTTTATCATTCTTGTCAGCCCATTCCTTCGGGGCAAGAAACAAGCTTTAGTGAATATTGAGCTAACTTTTGTAGGGAAATCGCTGGGTGGGAAACTTTTGGTAGAAGAGTGTGGCTGCCAGTGTAGTCGAGGTTGTGTCACTACCCGCAATCATGAGGACATTTGATCGGTTAGGCATTAGTGACCGGAGGCCCGGCCTTATTCTAGCATCCTAAACGTGTAGAAAGTGTTGCCTATTTCTATAGCAAATATAAACCTCTTAGGGCTGGTTGCATACACGTTCTCGTACACGTGGTGATGCCGCAACGTATACGGAAGATGAAAAATTGTCAACGACAATTAATTGCCTGTAGTAGCAAAATAAACTGAAGCAGAAATGAAAAGTACAAAAACAAAAATGAGGGCCCGAAGCGCGATTCGAACACGCGGCCTCTCCGAATTTGAGATGTGAACCCAAACGGAGAATCATACCTAAGATGAGTTAGCAAGGAAAATGATGTTATAGGGTATTAATTGGAACGTACCACTAGACCATCCGGGCAATAGATGAGATAACCAGATGCTTTTGAAGAATATGAGCCATTCTAAGCCGGCAATGTTCCAGGTTCTGATCTCTCTTCCCAGTTTGGAAATCCCCTTGGTTCGGCCTCCACTATATTGTACACCAGGTTAAGTCCGCTCGTTCATTGGTTTCCTTTACATACAAATATTCTTGATAGCTTCACATAGATATATATATTCTTTTCCCTAAACAATATACCCGCGGTCTCTAAATGCAGTCTGTACTTTCTAAGCCAAGGTTGCCCACCTGGGCATGCGTACAACATAGGTACCTAGGTAGGTACATATCCCATCATCTTATTAATACAACCAACTCCCTACCTAGGTATCTAGGTAACTGGGTACCTGATCTTGGATCCTTATAAAAAGAATACATTAGAAATCTGCATACGTAATTGGGGGAGCCTTTTTTTCCAGCTGGGTATAAATAGAAAATGATTCCAAGGAGTCTCATACCCAGTACATGATAGATCAATGTATCTACACCCGAGGTAGCGATTCTACATATGTAGGGCTGTGGTGAAGTTAACAGTGTATCTGATAGATAAATTTTCTTAATGACTTGATTGTATTCATTCATCCGAGGATCCCTTTAAATCTTTACCTGTACCAGGAAACATATAGCGCGGCGCGAAATTCTCTTCGCATTTTCACACATGGCTAGCCTCCATCTGTTACAGGGGTGCTTACCGATAGATTCTTACTTAGTTGCACAGCTCTACAAAAGTTCGATACTACAAATTTTTTTTTTTTATTTGAGAATCTATGGGCTGTAGGGATGCGGAGGACAAATGGCTCATTATGCGTTCTGCTCTTTCAATCCTTACATAGCCCCACAATTTATCTTCTGCCCGGATGGTCTAGTGGTACGTTCCAATTAATACCCGGTAGCATCATTTTCCTTGCTAACTTATCTTAGGTATGATTCTCCGTTTGGGTTCACATCTCAAATTCGGAGAGGCCGCGTGTTCGAATCGCGCTTCGGGCCCTCATCTTTTTGCTTTTTTTTCCCTTCTTCTACCCGGGTTCCAGGCACCCCCACTTGGAACAAACCCACCGGAGTAAACATATTATCTACACCTCGGAAATAGGGCCGAGCCAAATAAACCAGATTCAAATCAGTTTAACAAACTAGAAAGAGTTCTAATTGGTCGGTCGGGTGGAGGAGCCGAAAGTGGACTGGTTTAGGTTGTTGATCTTGTGTACGACATTGGCTTCGTCGGTTCTGACATCCGACATTAGCAGTTCGAACGGCAAAATAGCGGCCAAATAGCTCAAATTGAATCGGAGATATGGCCGTTTGCCCCTCACTCCGACCGGAGAGGGGAAATATCTTATAAGAGTTATATACTAGGACTACTACTAGGACTACTGTTGTAATACAGTCTTCCCGACATATACTACTACAATTTCCACCTCTGCAATGGGTTCCCACACTGTTTCTCCCCAACCTCATGTCCCTTCGTCGGGAGTCTGGTGCCCTGCGGTTACTTTCTTTCACCATGACACCGACTCGTTAGACCTCGCCTCTCAATCCAAGTACTTTGCTTATCTATCCAAAACCGGGCTAGCGGGTCTAGTAATCCTGGGGACCAACTCAGAGGCCTTCCTCCTCACTCGTGAAGAGCGATCTCAGCTCATCTCAACCGCACGAGCCGCCGTTGGGCCTGACTTCCCACTGATGGCCGGTGTCGGTGCGCACTCGACCAAGCAGACCCTCGAGCTTGCACAGGATGCCGCCGCCGCTGGTGCCAACTACCTTCTCGTCCTCCCTCCCGCATACTTCGGCAAAGCTACAAACATGAACGTGGTGAAACGCTTCTTTTCCGAAATGGCCGCCAAGTCACCTCTCCCAGTGGTGATATACAATTTCCCCGGGGTGTGCAACGGGGTGGACATGGACTCCGAGACCATTGCCGCTATCGCACGGGAGTCGGCGTCTGCGCATGCCAGTGGACGGTCCAACGTGGTCGGGGTCAAGTTGACCTGTGGATCCGTGGGAAAGATCACTCGGCTGGCTGCATCATTTGCGCCCGAGGACTTTGCGACCTTTGGTGGACAGTCCGATTTCCTGATTGGTGGGTTAGCTGCAGGAAGTGCTGGATGCATCGCCGCGTTCGCCAACGTCTTTCCCAAAGTGACGGCTCGGATCTATGCCTTGTATCGGAAGGGTCAGATTGAGGAGGCGGTGGAGCTCCAAAGGAAGGCGGCACTCGCCGAAAGTGCGATTAAAAGTGGCATTGCGTCAACCAAGCATGCGGTGGCATGCTACTCGGCCCAGTTGGCAGGGATCCAGGATGCAGCAGGTAATCTGGCCCCTCGACACCCTTACGAAGAGGTGGCAGAGGGGGCGAAAACCGTGATCCGACAGGTGATGGCTGAGGTTGCTGAGATCGAGAAGAGCCTATAATGGAGTAGACGTGTATCAATGAAGAGGAATGTCAATTTCTTGTACATATTCATTTCTTTTTTTCTTTTTCCTTTACCATGATCCATTTAAGATTGTCCGGAGTAGTTCCGAAGTGATGTTGAGTGTCCACCTAAGCAACGTCAGATTGCGATTTGCCTGATAGTTTAGGCCAAAGGGCTGAGCATGTAACGTAACCGGTAAGCGAGCTGCGCATGTAAGCCAGCTGCGCACCCCACCCAAAACGCGTCCGTAAATTAGCACTTAGTTAATTCAACCACCCACTATGCCACCAATTCGCTCTCAATCCTCTAAAGATTCAATAGAGAGAGAGGGTAGGATCTTATTAGCTATCCAGGCTTTTAAGAATAAAGAAATCAGCGCTATTCGTGAAGCAGCGCGCCGTTTCAAAGTGCCTGAATCAACCCTCCGGACACGTCTTTATAGGACCACTTCTCGCGCGAATTCTCGCGCTAATTTATATAAACTGATAGAAATTGAAGAGGAATCTCTTAAAAAATGGATTCTCTCTATAGATTCTCGAGGATCTGCCCTACGGCCTTCTATAGTACGAGAAATGGCGAATGTTCTTCTTAAAAAGCGCGGAACTACCCCGGTTCTTTCGGTCGGCGAGAAATAGGTATATAATTTTATAAAACGGCGCTCTCTCCTATCCTCTCGGTTTTCGAAACGGTATAACTATAAGCGTACGAAATACAAAGACCCAAAGGTTATTAGGGAGTGGTTTGATCTTATTTAAAAAACCATTCTTTAATTTAGGATCGACCCGGACGACGTTTATAACTTTAATAAGACCGGTTTTATAATAGGTTTAACTACTACTATAAGAGTGATTTCGAGAAGTGAATACTATGGTCGGCGAGCCCTTTTATAACCTAGAAATCGAGAATAGGTAATAGTTATTAAGTATACGAATGCTACTAGTTAGGTTCTTCCTCCGTATATGATTTTTAAAGGTAAAGTCTTTATTAAATCTTAGTTTAACAGCCTCTTAGAGAACTAGCGATTCGAGGTTAGTCCTAATAGATAGACCTCTAATAAAATTGGACTTCGCTAGCTTAAAAAGCTCTTTATTCCTACTACTTCTTTATATATAAAGGGGGGGTATCGGCTTTTAATACTTAACGGTTATAGAAGTCATTTAACCCTAAGATTCGATAAAATTTGTAAAGAGAATAAGATTATACTAATCTATATACCTCCGTATTCCTCTTACCTTTTATAGCCTTTAGATATAGGCTATTTTACGGTATTAAAACGAGCCTATAGCCGGCTAGTTGAATTTCGAATGCGGTACAGATCGAATCATATTAATAAACTAGATTTTCTTAAAGTATACCCTACTATACGAATAGAAGCCTTTAAATCTAAGACTATTAAAAATAGCTTTTAATCTACTAGTTTAATCCCTTTTATACCGGAGAGAGTGATTTCGAAGTTTAATATCCGGCTTACTACTCCTACCCCCCTTTCTAGCTAGGGTAGTGATTAGGATCCGAAAACGCCCTCGAACTATATACAATTGTAAAAATAAGCTTCGTCAATTAAAGTATTACTTCGTATAAGATTAAGAAGCCCTCTAAGCCCGCTCAATTCTACTATAAACCAGGTTTTGAAAGCCTACTAGATCACGATACAATCCGCCGTACTACTGGAGAAAGAAGTGAGCGATTTACGCGCTGAAAACGAGAAGAAGAAGCAAAAGCGTACTAGATCTAGAAGGCAGATACCGGCGGAAAAAGGCCTCTTAGTTTAAGAAGTATCTGCATTAATTATGCAGCCGGTAGAAGCAATAGAAGCACCTATACCCCCGCCACAAAGAAGGCCTTCGCCACCTTTGTAGCTAAGAACTAGGGCTTTACCAACATGCGGGCTATGTAAAAATCAGGGCTATAGGAGAGATGCATGTCTAGATAGATGATGATTTTTTTAAATTTAATTTAATGGCGTTTTGGTTGAGATAAATGCATTTGAAATTAGTAGGTTGGGTGGGGTGCGCAGCTGGCTTACATGCGTAGCTCGCTTACCGGTTACGTTAACTAACGTATTCGGTAAGCGAGCCGCCACTATAAGCGAGCCGCCACCCCATCCAAAACGCGTCCATGAACTAGCACTTAGTTAATTCAACCACCCACTATGCCACCAATTCGCTCTCAATCCTCTATAAATTTAGCAGAGTAAGAGGGTAGTATCTTGTTAGCTATCTAGGCTTTAAAAAATGGAGATATCACATCTGTTGCTTCCGCTGCTCGCATTTATAAAGTCCCGCGTTTAATATTACGCGACCGCCTTAATAGCCATACTCAACGAGGAATTATACGTGTAAATTCGTGTAAATTAATAGAAATTAAAGAGGAATCTCTTTAAAAATAGATTCTCTCTATAGATACTCGAGGATTAGCTCCCCGGCCCTCTATAGTACGAGAAATAGCGAATCTTCTTCTTAAAAAGCGCGGAACTACCCCGGTTCTTTCTATCGGTGAAAAATAGGTATATAATTTTATAAAAAGACGTCCTCTTCTATCCTCTCGGTTTTCGAAACGGTATAACTATAAGCGTACGAAATGCGAAGACCCGAAGGTTATTAGAGAGTGGTTTAATCTTATTTAAAAAACTATCCTTTAATTTAGGATCGACCCGGACGATATTTATAACTTTAATAAGACCGGTTTTACTATAGGCTTAACTACTACTATAAGAGTAATTTCGAGAAGTGAATACTATAGTCGGCGAGCACTTTTATAACCTAGAAATCGAGAATAGATAATAGTTATTAAGTATATAAATACTACTAGTTAGGTCCTCTCTCTATATATAATTTTTAAAGGTAAAGTCTTTATTAAATCCTAGTTCGATAGCCTCCTAGAGGATTAGCGATTTAAGGTTAGTCCTAATAGATAGACCTCTAATAAAATTAGACTTCGCTAGCTTAAAAAGCTCTTTATTCCTACTATTTCTTCGTATATAAAAGGGGGGTATCGGCTTTTAATACTCAACGGCTATAGAAGTTATTTAACCCCGAAGTTCGATAAAATCTATAAAGAAAATAAAATCATACTAATCTATATACCTCTATATTCTTCTTACCTTTTATAGCCTTTAGATATAGGCTATTTTATAGTATTAAAACGCTTATATAGCCGGATAGTTAAAATAAAAATATAGTATAGATTAAATTATATTAATAAATTAGATTTTCTCGAAGTATATCCTACTATACGAATAGAAGCTTTTAAATCTAGGACTATTAAAAATAGCTTTTAATCTACTAGTTTAATTCCTTTTATACCGGAGAAAGTGATTTCGAAGTTTAATATCCGGCTTACTACCCCTCCCCCCCTTCTAGCTAGGGTAGTAATTAGGATCCGAAAACGCCCTCGAACTATATATAATTGTAAAAATAAGCTTTGTTAATCAAAGCATTACTTCGTATAAGATTAAGAAGCCCCCTAAGCCCGCTTAATTCCGCTATAAACTAGGTTTTAAAAGCCTACTAGATCACGATACAATCCGCCGTACTACTAGAGAAAGAAGTGAGCGATTTACACGCTAAAAATAAGAAGAAAAAGTAAAAGCGTGCTAGATCTAGGAAGCAGATACTAGCTATAGAAGGCCTCTCAGTTTAAAAAGCATCTATATTAATTATATAGCCGGTAGAAGTAGTTGAAACACCTATCCCCCCCCCCGGCTAAGAAGGCCTTCGCTACCTTTACAGCCACGAACGAGAGCATTACTAACATGCGGGCTATGTAAAAATCAGGGTCATAGGAGAGATGCATGTCCAGATAGATGATGATTTTTTTAAATTTAATTTAATGGCGTTTTGGTTGAGATAAATGCATTTAAAAACTATCTATGGTTGTTGGGTGGCGGCTCGCTTACAGTGGCGGCTCGCTTACCGAATACGTTAACTAACTAACTACACCTACCTAGGTAGGCATATGTACTTAACTACATACGGAGTACATATAGTTAACTATATATCTCTCTCTTCTTTTTCACCACACTCTTATTTCCAGGAACTAATAATATTACATATTACTATAGATCACTCACATTCCAATCCCAATGGGCAACTTGGGACTCCGATCTCATTACTCCATATGGAGTAATCAGACTCATATCAACAAAGTACCTCCATACTAGTAGACTTTAATTTCATGCTACTTCTATATCCAAACAATACATCCGTAAATCAAGTCCCACTACAATATGATCCCAGAGCGGAGTTATGGAGTACATTAAATATGCATTTGAGACACAGAGGCTCTCTTACACCGTATAATGCATAAAGAAAGGAATATAAGCCCTAAATTCATAATAAGAGAAATCCCAAATGAACCTCGGCTTAAAAGAAGAAAAAAATTCTCTTAAGAAACCATCGGCCCAACCGAGAAACCGATTACTGATCGGGCCGGGACTAAGTGGAGATTTTCGGGATCTTGACGATATTGAAGCCAATCAAAGCGCTTTTTCTATATTTTTCTATATTTTTCTACATTTTTCTCTTTCGTTATGGAGTAAATATGCGGCTTATTCCAGCTAAAACAAGCAGTGTCTCCGAGATGTACGGAGTACCTAGGTACGGACAGATGTATTACATATAGTATGTTGTAGAAAACTAGCCTATGTTGTAGAAAATTTTTACCCATCTCACATCCTACTCTTACCATATCCCAGATGGAACGCAGATCGCAGAGCTCTAGAGTCAATTTGTTGACTCTCAACAATGGAGGTCTCCGAGACTGCTAACTCCTTGCAGTTGCCAAACTCCATCCCCTTCTGGCGACTAGTCCTCAACCCCGGTGCCATCACCCAAGAGGTTGCTGACCACCATTATGTCGGCTCAGGGACCGAACAAGATCCCTATGTCGTGGATTGGATGCCCAAGGACTTTCGAAACCCTCTTCAATTAAAAACATCTATGAAATGGTTCATCACCGTGGTCGCCGCCCTCGAGACCTTGGTCGTTGCTCTGGTCTCGTCCGCTTATACTGGTGGTATCGTTCAGATTCAAGAACGATTTGGCGCAACCACCGAGGTTGCGACCTTGGGAGTATCCCTCTACGTACTGGGCTTTGCCCTCAGGTCCTCTGATCTGGGCCCCTATGAGTGAAATATTTGGTCGCCAGCTTGTCTTCGTCACAACCTACTGCGGTTTGACCATCTTTTGTGCCGCTTGTACGGGCGCGCAGAACATCGAGACCTTACTGGTCTTCCGATTCTTGTCCGGTGCTTTCGGCTCCTCTCCCCTTACCAACTCGGGCGGTGTTATCGCCGACATGTTCATGGCTCGCGAGCGAGGACTAGCCTTATCGGCCTTCGCGTTGGCTCCATTCCTAGGACCTGTCATTGGGCCCATCGCCGGTGGCTTCCTCGGTATGTCTAGCGGAGGCTGGAAGTGGGTGATGGGTCTCTTGGGCATCCTTTGTGCTGTGATGTGGTTCTTGGGAGCCGCGTTAAAACCTGAGACCTATGCCCCCGTTCTTCTTCGCCAGCGCGCGAACACACTCTCCAAGCTCACAGGTCAGGTGTACTGTAGCAAGTTAGATATCGATCAAGGACGTCTCACTTTGAAAGCCGCTTTGAAAATCTCTTTGTCGCGACCCATGATTCTTCTTTTTCAAGAACCTATCGTCTTACTGCTCTCGATCTACCTTGCTATCATCTACGGAACCCTCTATATGCTTTTCGGCGCCTTCCCGATTGTGTATCAGATTCATCGTGGATGGAACCAAGGTGTCGGCGGCTTGGCTTTCATCGGTGTTATGATTGGTATGATTGGTGCGGTTGCGTATTCCATTCCTGAAAACCAGCGCTACGCGAAACTCCTGAAGAAGAATGGTGGCTATGCGCCTCCAGAAGCCCGCCTTCCCCCGTGTATGCTGGCCTCTATTGCCCTCCCTATTGGACTCTTCTGGTTCGCATGGACCAACTCTCCGTCCGTCCACTGGCTTGTAAGCGTCGCTTCTGGAGTTCCCTTCGGGTTCGGAATGTTGCTCGTCTTCCTCAGTGTCTTCAACTACCTAATCGATGCTTACACCATCTTCGCTGCATCTGTCTTGGCAGCCAACACACTACTCCGGTCGTTGTTCGGATTTGCATTCCCGCTGTTCACGAAATACATGTACGAAGATCTTGGGATCCATTGGGCATCCTGTGTTCCGGCTTTCTTGGCTCTTGCATGTGTGCCTTTCCCCTTCCTGCTCTATAAGTATGGACTGTCTATCCGAAAACACTGCAAGTATTCTGCGCAGTCTGAGGCCTTTGTTCAAAATCTTGTTCGGGGACTCCAAAAGCCCACCGAGTCTGCCGAGACTGAGCCTGAGATGTCCCAAATCCCATCGGCAAATGATGAAGTCGCATCACTCTCTCACAACAAGGAGACCCCCGCGGATGCTCGCTCAATCCATCACACTCTTTCGCGCACTTCCACCAATGCCACGCATGCCATGCATCGGGTGCCCACATATGAAGCCAACCCTTACAACGTCGACCGTGTGCATACACGGGAGTCGTTCAAATAATTCTAGTCATCGATCATAGAAGGAGAACACGGGCGTTCCGGGGACATGCTGAGTATATATACCAAGAGGGAAAAGGTCGAGTCTTTGGACTTGACGTTTCCAAATGGTGCATTACTTCATCTTTCTTTTTTTTTATCTCCATTTGTCATGTCCCATATATATACCATAGATCGCGTTGGCTATTAATTATAATTGCAGTTCAATATTTTGTGATCCTGTCTTACGGTTATACATAGAACAGCCCTCTGTACGGTTAATACTTGTTACTGTCTGTGTATGTTGTACATCGTAGAGTGGTAAGCCCGAATATAACATGAAGGAAAAAGGAATATCTGAAAGGAACATAGAAGACATCGGAGGGTTATGTTACATATAACGTCGCTATTATTATCTTGAGCTAAGAAAAATCAGCTTGTTGAGGTCTTACGTTGTCAAGGACAGAGACCAGGGCCCCTACTTTTGTGAGAATATAAATATAAACAGCAAACTGTCGTGATTCGTCATCCTTGATAACTCATAAATATCCTATACTGCCGTGTCCAATGTATCAATTTTCCCATATTCCACGGGTAAACAATGAAAAAAAAAAAAAAAAAAAAGAAAAAAAAAACTCCCCTTTTAGTGCACACCATTGGCCAGTCCATTGGTTACCCCGTTGGTCAAGCCATTTGACATTCCATTGGTCACACCATTAGCAAGTCCATTGATTTTATCAAGAGGTACTCCGGGTGGCACTCCAACAGAAATGGTGCTCTTCTTCCGGCGTCGCTCCGGTGCGGTCCAGATCGAACCATCATCGAGCAGCTCCTGACCCAAAGCAAGCACCTTGGACGGCTCTTCGCCCAACCATTCAGACTCTAGTCGATTGATGTTCTGTTCAATTTCCCAGGCACGGCCACCTTCAATGAACATGGATGTGCCATTAAGAGACCGGTCAGCCAAGACTCCAGTGGCCACAGTAGCAACCTGCTCTGGAGTGTTGATGGGAAGTTCGGCCTGCTTCCATTGTGCCTCAACTTTCTTGATGCTATCGGTCTGGGTCACCCAAGGACAGACGGTATTGATACGAAGGTAGTGCTTGTACGGAGAGGAGATGTAGGTGCGTAGGGAACGCATGAGGCCAGTGACGCCGTGCTTGGAGGCTTGATATACGAAAAGAGAGGGACTGTCCTTGAAACCAGAGGCACACGAGAATAGGAGAATTGACCGGTCGCAGTTTGATCCACGGTTATGGCGCAAGTAAACAGAGGCGATGCGGGTAACATACATTGACCCAAGGAGATTGACATCCATGACTTTGTGGGTGGGGGTCTGGAGGTAATATCCGTATTGTCAGATGTTTCAAAAAGAAGATATAAAAAAGGAGAGAGAGAGAGAAAGAGGAGAAGAGAAAAAAAGTCTGGCTAAGCAACCGGGTTGTTACTTAGCCAGTAATAACTTACCTGGCGGACGCTCTCCAGCGTGAGTGAAGTATCAAACCAATTCCCTATTTCCACGATACTAGCCGCCGAGACGACATGGTCGATGCGCTTATAGGTCTTAAAGGCTAGATCAAACAATGCCAGCAAAGACGGATAGTTGGTGACATCGGTGGTTTGGAAAATTGCGCGGGGGGGGCATGTCTTCTTCCTCTGGGTGGAATTGGTCACAGCATTTCTTCAGTAGACGCTCGCCTGAGATGTTGTCGAGGTCACCAATGCATACATTGGCACCACGCTCCAAGCATTGCGTTACCAGGCTGGAACCAATGCCATTGGCACCGCCTGTATAAGACGAGATAAGACGACAGTAGAGAAGTCAGGAGATAGGTTCGACATACCTGTGATGAGAACGACCTTTTTGGCAAGGCAATCAGTGGGAATGCTGGGGATATACTGCGACATTAGGGGCAGATCAGTGGGGGGAGATTTGGGTGGATCAATAGAGATGATCGTGGAGCTAGGAAGAGTAGTTGCAGATAAGCAAAGAAATTGCTGCGGACAATGGCCTTGCTTTTATATGTGCTGGCTGTGCAGACATAGGGGGTCGGAGTCTTCGTCGGAGTCTTCGTCGGAGTCAGAATTTTCCTACAAATTCCTAATTAAGCAGATATTGAGGGGAAGGGCCCAATCCGTTTGGATGGTACCATTCCTAAGCCATGGCATCCCAGGATATGGACATGGCCCTGGGGACGACGGTAACTCAGCCGAGGGCCAAGGACGCACGTCCAGGTGTTCTCCATCAAGGGCTTCTGCATAAACAAATGAGCGATTCCGTAGGCACCCGCGCTCGTGGGAAAGAGCCAGTCATAAAAGGAACCAAGATGGGATGATGCGGGGAGGCGTTCGCCAATGACGCTGGTGTGCAGATGGAAAACACGAAGCCAAAGCACACACGGGAGGGAAACCAGGCTAATACCTGGGCGATTGGCATTGACTTCCTGGGGCCTATACCAGGGGGGTTCGGAATCCTGTGGTCCGAGGTCTGTTTTGGCTGTCTCCTCAGAAGTCCCTCGACAGCCTACCTAGGTAGACATTGAAAAGAGTGCTGCTCGGTAGACAGAAGGATATTGTTTCTGCTCCCCAAAGAATATCATATGTACAGAGTACGGGAGTACAACATATATCAATCGTAATCCGTACATGTACATAGGAACTGGGGTGCATATGCGGGGATCGACAAGTCGGGGAAGAGGGGGAAAAGGACAAAAGTACCGAATGTAACAGTTCAAAGTCTCATTCTCATAAATTAGTTCTATGCAATATAAAAAAAAAAAAACATTCACTCTTTTCCAATACATGTCCATGTCCATGTCCATGTCCAAAAAATAAAAAAAATAAAAACCAAAATCATAGATGCCATTGCTGCAAACATGGGGAATACAGAACCATCGAAGCATCATATACCAGCAAAATTCTATCAAGACCGAAAATACCACCAGCCAAAAAGACGCATATTTACAACTGGCCTATAGGAAAAAAAACTCTTAACGGCGAGAGACACAGCACAAGATACCAGACTTGCCCAAGAACCAAAGGGATCCAATAAAGCGGAAAATCGACAGACCGGCAGTCGTCCACAGAATAGCGGCGAAGTATTTGGAAGTACGGACGGTAGAGACGTTCTGTGCATATGTTAGTTTGTGCCACCCTATAAGTTAGACAAGGTACATACTGTGAGACAGAGACGTTTAACGCCTTCACTGGTGATACACAGTGTAAGAATCAGGTTGCTGAAAATCCAAATCAACACCAGGTTGGTACGGAAAGCCTTATAGCCATCGTCCATGCTTGGTTCATCATTATCTTCAGGCTCCACATATGGCTCCAACGCTCTCTTCACCGTCGATTCAAACTGACTATCGATATCGGCCTGCGGCTTATCGACTTCTTCAATGAAGTTCGACTTGGCGTCATCCTTCTTGGTCTCAGCGACCGGGAGCGAGTCGCCCTTGTCAGAACCCTTAGTACCCCAGGAAACGTCATGCCAGTTGCAGAAAGCGTAGACCATCAGGATATTGATCGAACAGGTCATGCCAGCAAAGTACGCCCAGGAGGACGTGAACATATGCCAGGGATCCATGTACAAGAAACTTGCGAGGAAGTAGATGCCATAAGTCGAAACCAAAGCAATCAGGACGATACCGGCCCCGGAAGAACTGAAGAAAGACTTGAGGAAGTGGCCAACACCTTGGTCCATGGAGAAATCAAGTGTACCTCCAGTGAAGGCGTTCTTGACAAGGTAGAACGATAGAACAATGATGTAACTCTGAAGGATACTGAAGTAGATGAATGAAAGCGTGTATGCGAGACGGGAACTGTTTGAAATGTCAGATTGAGACTATAATGGGATTCCTTCGGATCTTGACTCACCCTTTGGGTCGATTTCCTAGCGCCAGAATGAACTGCAGCATCAAGAAGAATATGTATCCATACTTCAGGAAATTGTTCACGATCGGCGAGGCTTCATTACCGAAAGGCCATCCCTTATAATAGTTAGATTGACTAGGAGTTCCGACAAGATCCATAATGACAGTAGTAGTCAGCCAGAACGAGGCTAGGTAGTAACGAGTTAGTATAAAGACCCAAAGAAACATTGGATTCGGGACATACCGAGGGAGAACCAGGTCATGACAAGACCCATGAAGTTGTATGTCATCTGGATATGCAGGAAAAACAGCCGCAGGATGTTATGGCCACTCTTGTAAATCCGCCCGAAATGCATCATTGCATATAAACTGGCGGCGAACGAACCGTTCAACCAACGGCGTCGCTGACTGATAAACTCGGCAGCACCTTCTGGCACATCGGTCTCACCCTTTGACGCCTTCACGTAGGTTAGATGCCATTTGAATCCAGCCTTGGCCACAAGCTCGAAACACAAGATACGGTCCTCAGCAAGGAACATATTCTTCTTAAAGATGTTCATGCCCTCAATACCCTTCTTACCCAACTGCTTTGAGAGTGTATGATCACCGTGGAAGTACTGCTCTAAGGGGCGACCCATAATAGCGCGATAGCGGTACGCGGAGAAGGCACCTGGTAACACGCTAACATACCCGAAGGCACTCTCTAGCGGTTTATCAAGAATGTTGGAGATCTTGTACTCGAAGTTCTGTGCGGCGACGAGGGGGTTCATCAAGTTCTTCCACCCTTTTCCTAACATTGCGTGAATCTCACCGCAAGATCCACCCAAGTTCTTATCGTTGTAGAAGGACTCCCACAATGCAAGGAGGGATTTCTTTCCCGGCTTAGTTCCGGCATCAATAAGAATCACGACTTCGGGGTTGAGGATTCGACTGAAACCGTTGAAAAGCCAGCGGTGGGAGTTAATCTTCTTACTGTTCTTCTGTTTAAGGCAGAAAATCATTTGAACAGGAGGAAGGTTTGACGACTCGTTGCCCTGGGGCGGACCAGTTGTTGGTTGGAGGTGACAGAGAGTTGGGTGGTGTATTCGAACTAGGGCTTGTTAGTGGATTTCGGTCGACTACAAAAACACCAGGATGGAGGGACGGTAGATTCCGCCAAGGCGAATCGAGAGGACTATGGGAACTCACAATGTGTGCGACGGTTTCCCGGCCATCGACGGACCGCTTCATGATGCCGTCTTGGTAGATACCGATTGTGGCCAACAAGTCGAGGGTATTCTTATCGCAAGGATCAATACCATCAAAAACCAATGAGCACACGATCTTTTGCCAGGCCGGGCCACCTTTGTTCCAGAATTCTGACTTCTTCAAATTGACGATATCCCGAATGTTCTGCATGACACCGTGAAGCGTCCGCGCGGTCAGGACTTTATCTTCGTTGTAATAGGTGATGGCAATCAGAAGTTCGGTGTGTCGGTTGTACATGGCCGGTCGTAGATTGTATCCGTTGCGTAGGGTGAACTCATCAGGATCACAGGTTGCCGCGGTATCTGTATTCGATTAGCCCCAGTCGCATCGCCAATATTTCACATGAAGACATACAACGCAGATGTGTGAATTCTTCCGGGAAACCCTCCTCGGATTCCCGGTACTCCTTCTGAATGGCGTTCTGAATGGCACTCGGTACCGGGTAGTCGACACTCAGCACAGAGCCCTGGACCAGCTTAATCTTTCGCGTAGCATAACGCCGCAGCCCTGACCCAGGTGCCTGTCGGTTCTGCCAGGCTTCTGATGGCGTTTCGGACATAGGTGATTGAATAGATGGAATACCAGAGCGACGGTTGAGTCCTCCCGCAGACTCCTGATATGGACCATCGGGAAAGATGGTGACTCCGGGATCATGTAGTGTGTAGCGACGGAGGGAATCGGTCGATGCATACGGGTCATCGAAGGAGGCGTTGAATGGGCTGGGTTGGTTTCGGTAGAGCAAAGACTGCTGGCTGTCGATGTTCTCGGGTTTTTCCTCGTAACCGTACGCTTGCTGCTGAACAAACTGTGTTAGCATCCGTTGCTGTCTTGCTGGGGTCCCTTCTGTTTCCCCGTCCCGGGTGGCTTGTCACTCACCTCTCGTGGGCCATACCCGCTGGCCTCGCTCGCCTGGGGTGAATGGGAGGAATTGCCCGAATGAGGCGAATGAGGAGACGTTCCTCTGTGAGGAAAAGACATTATGCGTGGTTCACGTGTTCTCCGGTTCTGGTGGAAAGGCAATCGAGATCTAGCCGGCGGGGTGGTATCCTCAAGGATCGAAAGAAAATATCAAGGGTAGAAGTTCCAATTCCAGGTACAACCCGGCGCCTCAATGGTAACAGCGCAACAGCGTAGCAATCCCGTGAGCTAGGTTGAAAGCAAGACAGGTGACCTGTCCAGAGATCAAACCTATGTGAGAACCAATATGAGACCTATGTAGGAGAGACCGGAGGGTTGATCAAAGAAGAGATGTGCGGTAGGGGAAGGGCTCCAGATTCCATCTATCCAGGAGATATTTTTGGTGCAGAATTTGATTGGAGGTGCCGACGATGCGGGCTGTGAAAGGGCGACTGAGGTGGAACCCCAGCGCATCAGCAATTGTCGTTCGTCATCCACCCTTTTTAAGGATCCACCATGGAGCCGTCCGAGACAGTACATATTGGGCATTGGCAGCCGCTTTTCCCCTGCGCATGCATCGCATAAATATTGGGGGGGGGGGGGCACCCATGGACCAACCACCGAATGATATTCCCCTTGATCATAACTGTCTCGATATCCAAGGTATACACTGCTATACGGGTATGAATTTTGACTCTGCGATCCGAGCCTTGCTGCGACGAACATAACTCGTCGAACATGTAAAAAGCTGCGGGTCGACGACGCAATACGCCATAATATTGGTCAACAGGGTGTCTCCGATGACCCATCACAGGCATCCCCCTAATATTGTGTACATATCCCTTCTACCATCCCGAAACACCCCCTGAGTGATTTTTGAATCACCAGAGTACAGAGTACTCCATGCTCGTAAAGGACACTGCAAAGGCCTCTCCGCCAAGAAATCACAGCGTGGCGGCTGGGGGTGGCAACTGCCGGGGGATGACGACAAGGCGTCAGGAAATGATCGGCCGCGTCTTCTAGGGGGCTGAATCCTGAATCTGCGACTGGCTCCGGAGGGTCCACATATCCAGCCATCGTTATAAATTGGGTATGTGGGTAGTGAAAAACAGAAAGGGAAAAAAAAGAAAGGGAATTGGGCTACCACAGCAACAGAACAGCAACAGAGCCTATGGAGAGACCGAAGAATGTGTGTCATGTGTCTACGTATCACGTGCTCGACGAGATACGTGTACGCAACTTTTTCCCAGGCTACCTAAATAATATGTGGTAGAGCACATAATGAGTACATAATGGAGTACAACACACCTTGGAATATAAATGTAGGTGCCTTGGTGATGACTATCATTTATTTTTAGATCTTTGGACTCTGCAAGGTCTGAGATAAAAGTTGAAGTTGTCAAGTTCTTGGAAATATATATTGCCATTCAAGACCATAAGTCTCTCTTTTCTCATTTATTCTAGATGTCATACGATGTAATATCTCATATTTTTTTTGGGTTTCAAATTGATTTGACTGAAATCTGTCGTTTCGCTGTTACCAATACCTTTTTACCTGGGGTTTCTGTCATTTAGTATTCTATCATTCGTCTTACCCCCCCCCCGGGCACTCGGACTTCATTGCGAGCGCAGGTTCACGACAATATATCTGTTGAATACCCCGAGAACTTCACTATCCTAGTGCGGAGGGGCCAATGCTTATGTTGATTTGCTGACTCTCTTCTAACTTCAACTATATGGAGCCTTCATAATCTATGTACCCCGTAACATCAGATGAGATGGCGTTAAGCCTTGCCCGAGGTCATTTGAGATGGCAACGCCGGTACAATACATATGTGTGCGGGGTAAACAATATAGTTTACACTTAAAGGGCTTCCTCTCATACTTTTACTTTGATATTTTCGCCCTTTGCATAACAATGTCGCCTCGGAGACCTGCATTTGATGACCTACCTTTGCGCAAAGATGGACCTCCAGGGAATGCTTGGGGGATGTTTGGAGACCAAGATCAAATGGGCATGCTCAATCTACTGACGCCGGAGAACACTGCTGCGGCTGCTCGCGAGATTGTTGATGGCGTACGTGTCTCAACAGATTGGGCTCTTAATAGCATGGCGACCCCCTGCTTTGGACGCTCTGCTTTTGAGCATATTGTCAAGAACAAGGCTCCCCGGATTGTCAACGATGATATCTTGATCTTCAACACACAGAGCAGCAGCCAATGGGATGGCTTCAGACACTATGGATCAAAGCAAGGAACTTACTTCAATGGGTGTACCCAGGACGACATCCAGAATTCCACTCGAAATGGCATTCACGGTAACTCCTTCTGATTCTGAAATTTCTGATCTCCACTGATCCTCCCTCAGTATGGGTCGAAAACGGCGGTATTGTTGGACGGGGTGTTCTCTTGGACTATGCGGGCTGGGCAGCGGCGAACGGGAAAGAAGTGAAATGCTTTGAAACCCAGTCAATCCCGGCATCTGTACTCCAAGAGGTAGCCACTAGTCAGAATACCACATTCCGACCGGGGGATATCTTGTTTATTCGCACGGGTTGGACTCGAGCCTACGAACAGCTCTCACAGGCGCAATGTCAGCAACTGGCCGATTATGCAGCACCTCCAGTGATTGGGGTAGAATCGTCCGAGGCCATGCTGCGCTGGATTTGGGATCGTGAACTGGCTGCCGTGGTGGGAGATATGCCGAGCTTTGAAGCATATCCATGCCAGAATCAGGCCTTTTTCCTCCATGAGTGGTTGCTGGCCGGCTGGGGCGTCCCAATCGGGGAGTTATTCGATCTCGAGCAGCTCAGCCAGGAGTGTCGTAAGAGAAGCCGCTGGACCTTCTTCTTTAGTAGCGTGCCATTGAAGGTGTGTGTGTAGACAAAATCCCACTCCTGTTCCCAAACTGACCATATTCATCAGGTTCCTGGTGGGGTTGCAAGCCCCCCGAATGGCGTGGCTATATTTTGATCAAGAGTTTTTTCATCTTTGCCCCTGGTCGTACTTGCTCATTTGTACAGTCTGAACTGTCTGGAGATGGCGCAGAATGCAAGTGGGGGCGTGTTTATAGGCAATGACCCCTCCAAAGAAGCTTGAAAGTCTTGGATATATCAGAATGCACCAATCTTTTTAAACCTAGACATCTAGGCATCATGACACAAAGTAATATAGGCGATTGCTCTTCATCCGTACGATATTGGCCAGGGGAGGTCGGGCCGAGGAGAGAAGTGAAAAAGCGGAGAATCCGGGGCTTTCCGTCCCGGTCTGAGTTGTGTGTCATTCTACGTTTCACCCTATGTTGTATGCAGATCTAACAGTTCTAAACAGTTCTAAGGTCTAGCCTCACCAAAAAAAAAAAATGGTCCTTCCAAATGCAGGCATTTCGCGTCAGGCAGAAGATCGTTCAAGAAGGTCGATGGTAGCCTGTAACCGCTGCCGTTCTCAGAAAAACTCGCTGCGCCGGCAATCCACCCCACCCTTGTGCAGCATGTGTGGATGTGGGCAAGCATTGCGTATATTCAGAGGCTGAAAAGCGAGTCTCTATAACGGAGAGGTGAAGTTGATCCATCCTTGAAAAGAGTCAATGCTGACTCCTATTTGCAGCTACTATCGTCAACTACAAGCACAAGCTCCTGCGTCGCGAGGTAGGTTTCATACCTACCTAGTTCGTCACCTAGACGCAATTTAACCACAGGATAGAAGGTAGCCATTCAACGCCGTCAAGTGAGCCATCGATATCCAATCGCTACTCTCATGCGGGGCCACCAGAACGTGATGACTGGTGGTACAAAGGGACAGACAATCTGTTCTTGAATCGGTCAGGAGAACATCGTACGTGTTAAGCTGGCAGGTATTATATTCCTATTATATCCTTCTGCTAATCTCTCCTCAGATTTTGTGGGTGCCTCGTCCACCACACATCTCGCGAAACGGCTTAACCCAGGCTCAGCAAACCTTGCATGGGATGTGCGCCCACTTTACGATGATCCTTCATCGCTGAGAAGACCAGTTGGCGGCTCATTGCCTCAATTACCACCTTTCGAGTTTGCCAAGCGACTATTCTGGGTACAATACGCTTACATCGGTACCATCTTCTCCCTTATCAAACCCCTGGAGTTCGAAGCACGGCTCGATCTAGTCTACCACCAACCGCTTGACTTTTCACACCGTGAATCTTGCCTAGTATACTGTCAGACACTGTTAGTTATTTCCTTTGGTTTGATGTACAGTGTGAATCAGTGGATTGGCGAGGAAGGCCCTCCTGGCTTCAAGTATTTTAAGCATGCGTTACGTTTCTTGCCAGATATTCATGAAGAGGGTTCGATTCTCTTTGTCGAGGTGCTATGCTATGTGGCATACTATATGCAGAATCTGAACAGGCGGGACGCTGCCTTCCTCTACGTACGTATTACTTCCATTGGCCTTCCGCTGTACCGCTAACCGTGTCAGATCGGACTTGCTCTGCGCATGGCTATCTCCCTGGGGCTACATCAAGAGGTGTCTGATCCCTCAATAAGTGAATCAGACCGCAACCGTAGACGTCGGGCTTGGTGGTCTGTCTACAGCTTGGACCGGTAATTGGCCAATTCTCTATACCTTTGAAAACCAATACTCATACTTATGGACAGGTTACTGTCGGTCAAGTCTGGTAATCCTATTACAATCCACGATGAAGATATTGGAATAACTTGGCCTACAGATGTGGTATGTTGTCTTCCATGACGTGTCTAGATAGGTATTCGCTGATTTGACTTTTCGATCTAGGGTGGATCAACCTTCGATGTATGGCCATCAACCGTTCTTACCCATTATACACAGCTATCCCGTATATTAGGACGGATCGGGGAAGGTAAAAAATCATCTCCGTTGTTTCTTTTCGCCATCCTGCCAAGCTGACATAGATGGCCACATCAGAAATCTACAGAAAGAAACCTGGATCCGGTTCGAACCTCGTTGCTTCTGTCCAGAGTATAACAAATGACCTTTCTGCCTGGCTGCGACAAGTACCAGACCGGCTCCGCATTGACTTCACTACACTCGATACCCATATAAATCGAGAGTCTGTCTCAATCAACTTGCACTTCTACTCATGTGTGAACATGACTGCGCGGCCATTAGTCTTCTATGTCATCCAAAGGCGACTCGACGCGGAAGCCCTCGGGTCCACAACGGAGGATTGGAAGGACGGGCTGGCTCCTAATACCGTCGCCGTCATCGACAGTTGTATCACGGCAGCGAGAGCAACCACTATGATCATGGATGCTGCAGCAAAACATAATCTCGTTGGTACGTGACCGCAATACAACCGCATTTCTTCTGTCATGAAATCATCTGATCAAAAGGTCTTTTTAGCTACATATGGATACCTCGATGGCGAATATATCTTCTCCGCTGCACTGCTGCTGGTCATGGTAAACGCCGCGTTTCCGCCTAATGAAACCAGCGCCCGGGCCATGGAGACCGCACTGAACCTTCTCCGCGGCATGGCAGATCGTGGAAATACATATTTGGACTCGCGTCACTCATTGCTGTTGGAATTGTGGGCAGCCATTGGACCTAGACGTGCCGATGAAAAGGATACCGATGCGGCAAGTTCTCTTGCTGCAGGTCAAAAGGGCCCTGTGACCCCGATGAGCGAAAAAGCTGCAAATCCATCCGCAAATCCATCAGACGATGTTCGGGCAGATCCGAGCGCGGAGTCAGCAGCTTCACAAGTGCCCGCTTATAACTGGCCACAACAGCCAGATATCCCTTCTTTCCGGGACATTGCCTTCCAGTTCGATCTAAACGATGATCCAGCACTCTGGGAAGGGGCTTTGGACCAAATCGACATTGACATGGATACTGACTGGATTGAGAATACTTTAAAGCGATAAGAACAAATACATGTGACTTAAAAAAATCATTTTACACTTGTGTGCTTGATATTTAGTACCTAGGTATGCATATAGCTTATACTAGCATAAATTGATGGGCGGGGCCTAAATGTTGTTGAATGTCAGGCATCGTAGGCGACAGCACCTGTTTGCTGTAGCAGGCATGTTTGCTACAGCTTCATGTTTTGCTACCGCCATAGCTATAAATAGCTCTCTCTCCCCTCCTTCTCTCACTCTCTCACCTCCTTTCTCCCCCATCCATCCCATTTCATAGAAATCCTGCATACATAGTTTCTCCATTCAGTTTCTGCATCTCATTTATATCCTGATTCCTAGACACATGAGCTCCTATCTTCCCCTCCATCCTTAATCTAACCCCCGCAGCTTATCAAGCTATGGAGATGTCGGCCCGAGGAAGCCGAAATAGTAGCCATCGGCCCGACACGTGACATGCATCTAATGGGTAACAGCGCGATGATCATTGGAGATGTGCTGTGATATCGGGACGAGCTCTGGCATAAATGAATACGGTTCCCTTCTGACCATCTTTATCTGTTGTCCTCTCCTTTTCCTTTCTTGAACCCAGCTCACACCTTCCCAACTCATACTAGTCGCAATGTCTGACTCGGGAAAGATCACCATCTCTATCGATCGCGGCGGCACATTTACAGATGTCCACGCGATTCAACCTGGCCGTCCCGACATTATATTGAAGCTTCTTTCTGTTGATCCTTCTCATTATCAAGATGCCCCAACTGAGGGCATTCGTCAGATTTTAGAGCTGGTCACCGGGGAGTCACACCCCCGAGGCCAACCATTGAAACTCGACCGCATTGGTTGCCTACGCATGGGCACAACCGTTGCAACCAATGCTTTGCTCGAGCGCAAGGGAGCTCGTTCAGTGCTCTTCACAACCAAGGGGTTTCGAGATTTATTAAAAATTGGCGACCAATCTCGCCCGGCCATTTTTGACTTATCAATGGCTCGCCCCGGAGTGCTACCGGAAAGTGTCGTCGAAGTCAACGAACGTGTTCTGTCCTGCCACCCTTCTGCTGACAGTGATTGCTTCTCCGATTGCCGGATGGTAGAGGGAATCACCGGCGAGAAATTCCGTGTGGTGCAAGAATTAGACCTCGTTCAGGTGAAGCGAGAGCTCCAACGGCTGAAGGAGCAAGGAATCCTGTCAATCTCCGTGGCGCTGTTGCATTCCTACGCATATCCTGAGCACGAGCGTCAAATCGGTGAGCTCGCTCAAGAGATGGGATTCTCGGTTACCCTCTCTTCAAAACTTCAACCTATGATCAAGATCGTGCCTCGGGGCATGTCGGCCGCCGCCGATGCCTACCTCACCCCTGTTATCAAGACATATATTGACTCCATCTCTTCCAGCTTTGAAGGTGGGTTGGAAAGTCAGCAGGACTGCCGATTTGAGTTTATGCAATCAGATGGTGGACTGGTCGATTTCCGCAAATTTAGTGGGCTAAAAGCGATTTTGTCCGGCCCCGCAGCTGGCGTGGTCGGCTTTGCAGCCACTAGCTGGGATCCCACTGAGAAGACTCCCGTTATTGGTTTCGATATGGGTGGCACCAGCACAGATGTCTCCAGATTTGATGGCCACCTTGAGCATGTATTCGCATCTAAGGTTGCAGGCGTGATGATCCAATCCCCTCAACTCGATATCAACACCGTTGCTGCTGGCGGTGGTTCCATCCTTACTTGGCGTAATGGCTTGTTCTATGTTGGGCCTGAGTCCGCAAGTGCTCATCCAGGTCCGGCATGCTACCGAAAGGGGGGCCCACTTACAGTGACAGACGCCAATCTGTTCCTAGGCCGCCTTCTGCCAGAGTACTTCCCCAAGATCTTCGGCCCGCATGAGAACGAAGCTCTAGACACAGAGACGACTGCACGCCTTTTCAATGAACTCACACACAAAATCAACATGGAACGCAAACAGCAAGGCCAGTCAGAGTTTTCCCCAGAGGAAGTCGCACTCGGCTTCCTTAATGTTGCAGATGAGTCTATGTCCCGGCCAATCCGTAACCTCACGGAGGCTCGTGGCTTCGAGACTGCATCTCATCATTTGGCATGCTTTGGAGGTGCTGGTGGCCAGCACGCATGCTCAGTGGCGAAAACGCTCGGAATCTCCCGCATCATTATCCACAAATATTCCTCCGTTCTCTCGGCATACGGCCTTGCTCTAGCAGAGGTTGTTAAAGAGTCGCAGGAACCTGTTTCCTCAACCTACCTATCCTCACAACCTGCGCTTCTTCAACATCTCGATGACTTATCAGCATCAGCAACCAAGGACATGGAAACACAAGGCTTCCCTTCCACTCAAGTGCGCCATGAGCAATACTTGAACATGCGCTATGAAGGTTCTGATACTAGTCTGATGATCCGAAAGCCCGAAAGCTCGGGAGACTTCCTCGAAGAATTCCGCATCCGTCATCGCCGCGAATTCAACTTCAACTCTGACCGACCTGTTCTTGTTGACGACGTCCGAGTGCGAACTATTGCCTCGTCCAAGGTGCGGACCGAGAAAAGTCCCTTAGTTCAACTGAAAGAAGCCAATATGCGAGATGTCGCGACGGCTCCAAACAACACCACTTCAGCCTACTTTGGCCAGGCGAGTCGGGTCGATACACCAGTTTACCTTCTAGGTGAATTGGAAAAGAACTCCCGCATTTATGGTCCGGCTGTCATTATTGATCAAACTCAAACAATTGTCGTGGCTCCCAATGCAGTGGCGAACCTGCTCGACACCTGCATTGTCATCGATCTCAATGACGAACCAACCTCTTCCGGAACCGCTCTACCATCGGAAATTGACCCTATCAGGCTTACTATCTTTGGGCATCGCTTCATGTCCATCGCTGAGCAGATGGGCCGTACGCTACAAAAGACCTCCGTTTCAACTAATATCAAGGAGCGGCTGGATTTTTCCTGTGCTCTATTCTCCCCGACGGAGGTTTGGTGGCTAATGCGCCCCATGTTCCGGTTCATCTTGGATCGATGCAATTTGCCGTGCGTTATCAGCATGAAAAGTGGTTAGGCAACTTGAAGGACGGTGATGTTCTGGTAGCCAACCACCCTAGTTGCGGGGGCACCCATCTGCCTGATATTACAGTAAGTCATCTTCACATTGAATACTCTCATCAAATACTGATATGTCTATAGGTTATTACACCGGTCTTTGACCGACCTGGTGGCTCCGAGATCATGTTTTACGTGGCTTCCCGTGGACATCACGCTGATATTGGTGGTATCTTGCCTGGATCAATGCCTCCTAAATCCACCGAGCTATGGCAAGAAGGCGCTGCCATCGAAGGTGATAAGATTGTCAGTGATGGTATCTTGGATGAGGCACGTTTGATCGAGTTGCTGGTCACGAAGCCCTCGCAATATCCCGGCTGCGCTGGAGCACGCTGCCTCAGTGACAACTTGTCCGATCTGAAGGCGCAGATCGCCGCTAACACTCGTGGAATCACCCTGATCCAGACTCTGTTCAACGAATATGGAACGCAGACCGTGCAAAGGTACATGTACGCCATCCAGGCGACCGCCGAATCTGCTGTACGCAGTCTTCTCAAAGAGCTATATCAGAAGTTCAATGGCCAGCCATTAGAGTCAGTGGACTATATGGATGATGGCACCCCCATTCGATTGAAGGTCACCATCAATGGTACCGATGGATCAGCTGTCTTCGACTTTGAGGGCACAGGCCCTGAGGTGTATGGTAGCTGGAACGCTCCTATTGCTATCACTCACTCAGCCATCATCTACTGTCTGCGCTGCATGATCAATGCAGATGTGCCACTGAACCAGGGATGCTTGGCGCCAATTGACATCCGTGTCCCATCGTCCAGTATTTTATCGCCGAGCAAGACTGCTGCCGTCGTTGGTGGCAATGTCGTGACCTCACAACGCATCACGGACGTCGTGTTCAAAGCCTTCCAGGCTTGTGCCGCGTCTCAAGGCTGCTGTAATAACCTGACCTTCGGTACAGACGCCAAGCTTGATCCGACCACCGGTGCTGTTGTCACGCCTGGATTTGGATATTACGAGACTATTGCGGGCGGCAGTGGTGCTGGCCCAACTTGGAAAGGCGAGTCTGGTATACATGTTCACATGACCAACACGCGGATCACCGATCCTGAGATCCTGGAAAAGCGCTATCCGACGATGCTCCGCCAGTTCACCCTACGTGAGGGTTCTGGCGGTCAGGGCAAGAACCCCGGTGGTGAGGGAGTAATTCGCGACATCGAATTCCTTTCACCAATTCAATGTTCAATTCTGTCAGAGCGCCGTGTCCATCGGCCTTATGGACTCGAGGGTGGCCAGGATGCACAGACCGGATTCAACCTGTGGATCACGCGGGATCCTGACACTGGCAATGAGCGCCGCGTCAACATCGGCGGCAAAAACACTGTCTCGATGAAGACGCACGATCGTGTTGTCATCAACACTCCCGGTGGTGGTGGCTGGGGCGCTGTGTGAATGGGTTGTATAGCGCGCTAGCTTGACATTTCTAGTATACGAATATTAATTAAATACACAGGTGGAGATACAATGATCCTTTGGGCCTCGTGAATAAATCCACAAATTTTCTCTTTCACAGCTTGGAATTTCCAAATACTGGTCGCCACATTTCATTCGCTAGTCGGCTGGTGTTTACCATATCTGGGCTCAGTTGGTCTAGAGAAGAGACTCCAAGCATCTTCATGGTGATCTCAAGTTCCTCGGCGATAACTGCGAGTGTGTTAGCTTGAAATTGACTTGAACGCCAGTCCCAACTTACTGTCTGTACACCTTTCCACTCCTTCCGCGCCATATGCCGCGAGGGCGTAGTAGTAAGGCCGGCCGACTCCAACAGCGGTTGCTCCGAGACACAACGCCTTGAGGACATCTGCTCCATCGCGAAGACCTCCGTCAACAAACACCTGGAGCTTGTCGAAGGCCTCCGGATAGTACGTGCGAATCTCCAAAAGCGTCATCAACGAGCTTGGAGCGGAATGAATCTGTCTGCCTCCATGGTTGCTCAACAGAATTCCCTGTACACCGTGTTGGACAGCCAGCTTCACGTCCTCTACGCTTTGAATCCCCTTGAGAACCAGTGGCCCACCCCACTCTGACGAAATCCAGTGCAAATCCTCCCAAGTAAGGCCACCATCTACCGAACCGGGGACCTGCCGACCTCCGAACGCTGGCGCAAAGTCGTTCTCACTGTGAATGTGTCTTGCATTTTCAGCCACACCAGCGTCGAGATTTTCTTGTGCTTGGAGGTAACGATCGGCAGTACGCTTTCCTAGGGTTGAAGTGTCCACTGTAACCCACAGGCTTTGATATCCGGCTGTCTTGACTCTTTGGATGAGTGACTTGGCTCTTGTCCGATCCACAGGCACGTAGAGCTGGAATGACAAGTTCGAAGGGCTTCGATTGCCAAGCAGCCGTTGCTCATCCAGATGAGCATCCATGATCTCTTCGAGGGGCTTTGTAGATGCGGTACTGATCATGGTGTGCAAGCCTTTACGGGTCGCTCCTCTCACTAGCAATGGTTCAGCGCCAGGGTGGGAGCTTCCCAGTGTACCCATAGCCGATACGAAGAAAGGAAACTGAGAGGTGTGTCCCAAGATGTTCCTTCGGGTGTCCATTGAGTCAACGCTCCTCAAAATTCGAGGGCGGAAGTTTATCAGAGACCAGTCATCGAGATTGGTCGTCATTGACAGGCCGGTAGCAGCTGAGCTTGATGCATAAACCCATGACTTCTCCGGGAGGACATCCTTTGCGACCTTCTCGAAATCTGTCGTGGTGACACATAGAGAAGGATGGGGAATGTTGTTTGCCATCTTAGAAATTGTCCTTACGGATATGAAGCGAAAAATTAAAAGGAAAAAGGAAGGCAGTAATAAAGTAACCTGTGGAGTATAGAAGATCAGATAACGGCCCCGAAGTCGGCCCCGGTCGGCTACTCATTCCGGCCCGGCTATGTCCATTTGGGGTAAAAGCGATTGCCGAATAGTTATAGGGAATACATACATCTAGACATCTATTATGTATACATAATGTCCGAGTTTCCGTATAGATATCTCTTTTCATACACTTTTCTGCATCGGAAATAAGGTCCCGTGTTATCCCATTCAAAATCTGTTTCAATGTTAGCTTATACTTTCAAAATGTAAGGTGTTGGTATCCATACGGCAACATTCTCTTTTGGGCATCTAAGGAGTGGGATGGAGGTGTAAGGGCAGTTGTAGTCGCCCTTTTTATCGGTGTAAATGCGGACAAAGTTGTGAGCTGCTGGGCATCCTAAAAGACGTGTTAGACCGTAGAATTAAACGTTTGGTTTAATAGTCATACATGTTTGTACTGCAGGATAACAGTCAGTGAGATCAACATTGAATATAACCTTGGACAGTAGAGACTTACTTCCCGACCGTAGGGAATGGCAATCACAGTTCCCATAAACAGCGTATAGATTAATTGCAGACGCATGGTAGAAAGAGGGTGGTCAATTAGATTCAAGCTTGTACACCACTTGGGCAAGCCTGTGTTTAGGTGGAACAACTTCAAAACCTCAATGTTGAGACTACCTTTCAGTTTCAATATCGGATGAATCCAAATGAAAGTGATATGTCAGAGGATATGGTGGTAAGGAGGGAGTGAATCACAAGTTCTACTCTGGTCATAGAAGGTCGGGAAACAAGCTTTGTCTATAAACTACTCTGCATATATCTTTTGACGTCTGCAATCAGAAATCTGATGTCAATGGAATGTGTGAAGAATGTCTCTCTCATGCTTACTCCGTAGTGGCATCTGCATTCCACCTGCCCTCATATCCCTTGATTGACATGACTTTCCGCTTGCATCCTATGAAGAGGAGATCGTTAAAGTAGAGCAAGAAGAAGATATCTTATGGGATCTGCCGAGAAAGAGCCTAATGATACATTAATCGTGACAGGCTCACCAACACCTACATACTGTGGGCACCGGATAGTAAAATAGTAAAATTTATGTATCTTTTGTCGAGTAACTCTATACAAAAGGTACAATATAATATGAGCATAACATTGAATTTTTCCCTTTTGACCCTTAAGATAGTTTGGTAATATAAAAAGATACGTATAGTGCAAATGAGGTCCTATTTACTTGGATAATATCTACAATTAGGAACCTTACTGGTACTTACATAGATCCATGTTATACTGGCTGATGCGTTTAGGGAGTCAACGAAGGGGGCTATATCATCTTTTGCACACATCAAGTTTCTTCTTAAAAGGGATTTGCAGTGTACTGTCGGGGTTATGCCTAGACCCTAACACTACCTTGTACATAATAGTGGTCATCCTCACCAACTGGTCTTGTTTATCGCAGTTCCTCAAGTTACACAGCTATAGAACTATGAACCGTTTGAATATCGGTATCCCGCTCGGTCCAGACGTGCCGCATACCGATATGGCCAGTGGTGAGCCATATATTTCTAATCTCTGCTTTTCCTAGGGTATTTCCAAAGGAAATATAACCTTGTGCTAGTACTCTTTGTTAGTGCTCTTTGTCAAGGGCCTCCACGGGTGCCCGGGTGCCATGTGGGCGATGAGGGGCTGTTAGTAAGCATCACATGCCGGGACCTGCAGCTCCAGCCCAGCTAGTTCTTTTCGACTTACGCTCTCTTCGCTTTTTCTTTTGCATTCTTTTTTCATTTGCGAGTCTCAACTATGTTTGTCGCAATACCCGGTTGACCAGCCATAGGGCTTTTCTAAAAACATTTCCACCTACTTTCATTAAACCCGGAGACGGCGTTAACGCTGCATCTTCCCCGCGAACCAAGAAAAAAAGAACAAAACAACAGTGACCAGCCGTCCAAGGACATATATTGACCTCCATGAAAAAATCACCCCCTATTGTGTTTATCGCCAGGTCAGTAACTACTTCTATTACACTGCTTCCGCTGCTCACTAGCCTTCTAGACATGGCGCCCGCCTCGATGCTGCAGACAAAGATTGGCACTTAACCTCTCCGAGCCCTTTCGATCCACCTCTTTCCTACGGTGGATGGATACAGTCTCGGGCACTTGGTGTACGTATAGCAAGTCTCCTAAGGGCCCGACAGTTCACTGGGGAAGATCCAGAGAATCCGCACAGCCATCATCCCACCTCGGATAAACAGGCAAAACCCACCCCCGCATCTTCGGACCTGTCCCACGGATATAACGTCATTGTTCATACCTCTCCTTACCTTCGATGTCTGCAAACTGCGATAGGAGTCAGTGCTGGTATCCACCAAGCCTCAGGCGCAGAAGAATCCGAAGGAGCTAGTTCAGCTCCCACTGTCCCCACCGTTTCATCCACCCCTGACCAGCGATGTCTCCTTCGCGTCGACGCATTTCTGGGCGAATGGCTATCACCCGACTACTATGACCAGATCACGCCCCCACCGGGCTCGGACAGAATGGTGGCGTCTGCCAAAGGGGAATTACTCCGTCGTGCCGAGGTCATCCCAGCCACCGACGGTTTGACAAGGGCGTTGTCTGGCCACTTTCCTGGCGGTTGGCGCAGCCAGTCACATCCTACTTCACCGGATGGTGAAGACCGCTTGCATTCCTCAACATCCCAACGCCAGCGTGCCAACACCCACGACACTCTCCAAAACCCTATCCCCAAACATGCAAAGAAGTCTCTCGGTCGCCTAGAAACCAATCTACCGCCTACTCTAGACGCATATTACGTACCCCCAACTCCCAGCTATGCCGTTTCCGCATCGGACCCCATTCCTACAGGCTATGTTGCTCATGCACGGAACGCATGTACGAGGATCGACTACCAGTGGGACAGTATGCGCACGCCTTATTGGGGCACAGGGGGCGAGTTCGGCGAGGAATGGAGTACCATGCACGAACGAGTGCATGATGGATTTCAGCACATGATTAACTGGTATCGGGAACAGGATCTGTCTGAACCCGGTTCTACAGCAGAGTCCAATGAGGTAAATGACTGTAATGCACAAACTGTCCTCGTTATTATCACACATGGTGCGGATTGCAATGCCTTGATCAGTTCGTTGAACGGGCACTCGGTCTTGGTCGATATTAACACAGCTTCACTCACTATGGCTGTGCGACGCAACCGTGTCAATAAACCCGCGCATGACATGGATCACACGCCTAAATCTCCGGGCCCCGACAACCAATCGGTGTCACGGGAATACTCCTTGCAGCTTGTGGCGTCGACAGATCATCTGCGCCCGGGAATAAACCCCTCACAGCTCAGCTCGCTGTCGTCTCCCTCTGTCGCTGTACTTTCACCACCTCCGGTCCCTTCCTATCGGAATCGTCTTGGCGCTCGCCCATCGCTCCTCCAAGAATCATCAACAAACGGGCCACATAGTACTAACTCTGGGCCATGGACGCTGGCGATGCGCCCGTCAACTGGTTCAACTACTTCTCAGGGTGCCTCTGGGCTTTGGAACTCGATCTCGTCGCCCACTGATAAAGCGGATGACAACCTCGTGCCGAACTTCGGTGATCGGCCGGTCAGTCAAGATTCCGAACTCTCTGATAGGTCTGATAAGTCTTCAGATCTTGCCTGGACGAAGCAGTTACCGCAACGGACATTATCGCAGCGTGGTTTATGGGGGAGTGCTCAGCCGTTGGGGGATCGTGAAGGTGGAACGAAGCGGCGATGGACGGTGACGGAACAGAAGCTGTGAATCATTTTCGTTATTGAGTTTTAGGATACCTTTGCATGGCGTGGTCTTTTCTTTTTCTTTTTTTTTTTGCTTTTACCCAAGTTTATATTGAAATATTACTATGACACCCCAACCCTCAGGCATCAAGGCATCCGCCAGGCACCAATGCCGCGGCTTCCCCCCTCATGTTTGTCTCTACGCCTCTTTTGCTCTTCGCCTCTCACGATCTCTCTCCTCTTCTCTCCTCTTCTCTCTCTTCCCTCTCTGTGTCTCTTCCTTTCAAGTATCTCTTCATACCTTTTCCATAACATTGCGACTTCCATGTCAAACATCGAAACAGACGGTCTCTCCGTCACTTATTCCTCTGACCGAACTGGATCTCCGGATCTACGGCTAATCCACTATAATGATGTCTACCACGTCGAGTATGCGGCTTCCCCTCTCTTTCTCTCCTTGGCTTCATAAACTCCAATATGGGATGATATTAAATCATCTTATATAGGTCTGGCTCTGCTGAACCTGTCGGCGGGGTGTCTCGGTTTCAATCCCTCGTGAATCACTACCGTTATCACCCACAGTTCGCTGGTCAGCCCGATATTCTGACCCTCTTCTCCGGCGATGCTTTCAACCCGAGTATCGAAAGTACAATCACAAAGGGCAGGCATATGGTACCATTCCTCAACAAAGTGGGCACCGATGTAGCGTGTGTGGGTGTGAGTATGGCAACCTGCCCACCAGAAATATGGTCCCCGCTAATCTAAGGGTCTAGAATCATGATCTCGATTTTGGAGTCGTCCAATTCCGCCATTTGGCCAGCCAATGTCACTTTCCTTGGCTTTTAGCAAACGTTCTTGACCCAGCACTAGGGGAAGATACCCCAATAGCTGACAGCGGAAAGTCTCGCATGTTGATCTCATCCAATGGGCTCAAGATTGGCGTATTGGGTCTTGGAGAACGAGAATGGTATGCGGCCCTGGAACACATATTTCGGTGCTTTTACGCTTTTCCTATGTTATTTCTTTGCTTACTCGGCTCTACCCCAGGCTCGGCACAATCAACTCTCTTCCGCCTGATCTGGTCTACAAATCCGCATCTCAAACGGCCCTGGTTCTTGCGAAACAACTTCGAGACGAGGGAGCAGACCTCGTAGTCGCTGTCACCCACCAACGTGAACCGAATGACTTTAAACTGGCTAACAACCTGTCACCCGATCTTGTGGACATTATTCTCGGGGGTCATGATCACTTTTACGGCCATGCTGTTGTCAATGGAATTCATGTGATGCGGTCAGGCACTGATTTCAAACAATTGAGCTACATCGAAGCTTTCCGCAAACGCGATGGTTTGCCTGGTTGGGACTTCAACATTATGCGACGGGATGTTGTTCGCTCAATTCCCGAAGACCCTGATACAGTGGCAATGGTGGCCCGGCTTACTTCCAGCCTCAAGGCCAAACTAGACAAGCCAATTGGATTTACAGTCAGCCCGCTCGATGGCCGGTTTTCTACTGTGCGACAGCGTGAATCTAATTTGGGGAATTTTGTCTGCGATCTGATGCGCTTCTATTATGCGGCCGATTGTGCCATGATGGCGGGTGGCACAATTCGCGGCGATCAAATCTACCCGCCCGGCATACTGAAACTGAAAGATCTGCTGAATTGCTTCCCTTTCGAAGACCCTGTGGTATTGCTGCGCGTTCGTGGCCATGCATTGCTGGCTGCACTCGAAAATGGGGTTAGCCAGCTCCCCGCGCTCGAGGGCCGATTCTTGCAGGTATCCAATATCAACTACGGGTTTAAACTGGACGCACCGTCCGGGTCGCGCATTACATTCGCTCGTATTGGCGACGAGCCCGTTGACTTAGAGCGTGACTATCTTCTCGCCACACGTGGCTATATGGCTCGAGGAAAAGACGGGTTCGCCTCATTGCTTATCCAGGCTGAAGGAGGCGTTGTGGAGGAGCTTGTCTCTGAGGAAAACGGTGTGCTCATCAGTACAATCTTACGGCAATATTTCCTAAGTCTCAAAGTACTCGGGAAATGGAACCGTTGGAGTGCCAGTTTAGGCCGCCACTGGGGTATTGTACATCGCAATCTGCACGGTGAAGGCTGGTTGAAGCCAGCGTCCCTCAAAAGCGAGGAGAAAAAAGCAGACGATAGAGTGAACCGCCAGCCTAATCCCCGACGGACAGCCCGGTCAGCATACTACTACGGTCGATTTCCCGAAGAAGTTGAACAGGGCGACATTATCACCGGGGACGAGGCGAATGGCAATGCCATGGACTCGGACTCGGATGAGGATCCAGACATCCTCACATCCTCGGGACCAATCACTAATTACGTCACTCAGCCAGCGAAATCATCCGCTGAAGAGGAGCATCGTCTACAAGTTGCGCGGCGAGTTGTCCGAAAATGGATGCGGCACGCAGGTCTGCAATGCACAAAGTTGAATACTATGGACGGCGAAGGGGAATTCACTCCGGCCTGGACATCGGGAATCTCTCCTCGGTTGGAAGGACGCATTGTGGTAGAGTAGCCATGCTCCTCTGCCTCCCGTCTTTTCCTTTGTTTTCCTTTACGGGTTCATGTTCCGGGCTTTCTCCTGTTGGGGATTTTCTTATACTCTTGTCATATTTGCTGTTCCCTATTGCATCATGCATATGCGCTGGATGGCCTGGTGTTTCTGGCTGAACGGAATGCATCGATACCCTGAATATCTTCGAACTATCCTATTCAATCGGCCTTCTTCTTGGGAATTTCTTTTTGCAACAGATAGTCTCCTCCTCTCCAAGCCTTATAAACCCCGTAAAGACCACAAAATGGCCAGACGTTCCACAGGGCACGTTTGACCGATCCCTTCCAGCCACTCTCGAACTCTCCACGATGTGGACCAGGGAGATCAGATTCACGCACTCGGACCTTTTCATACAGGGATGGAAGATGCTGCGCGTGGTATCTTGCCCGTAAAGAATCATAACCAGGCTTGTTATAGATGGACCAGAACTCGTCCTCTGTATAGTAAGTATGTGCATATAGCCATTTCTTTCCTCCAAGACTGTGGACCTTATGTTCAAGCTGTCGATTTTGAGCTACGAAACAGGCCTCATCCGTGGTAGCGGCCGGCCCCCAGATCCCAAAATTGAGGAGTTGTGTGTTAACTCCCTTGCCATCCGCCGGATCTCCTTCCAACCCACCGGCACTTCCTGGTGGTAGCGGACAGAGCCAAAGCGGATATTGGCCAAAGTTGTGAGGTCGGTCCAGCCAGTCCAGGAACTCGGCAGCAGTGGATATTGGTACACCGACATCTTGGATGATATATCGACGCGCAAGCCCACTAACGTGCAGCGCATGATACATCACCTTTGTGTGCATGAATCGGTTAAGAAGCCAGCGTGTCAGGGAGGTGAATGGAACACAGAAGTAGCGAAAGGCGTAACGGGCAACCCAGAAACCACCTCGATCATAACGGAACAGATAGTCAGTGAGAGGAATGTAGTCCACTGCGTCTGGCATGTGAGGTGAGCTCTCCTGGTCGGAGATGGAGATCTTGGATTGAGCAATTCGTTCGACGTGCAAAATAGAACCAATCGTCTTGTCGACGAGTAAAGCGTCGAGGCTTTACGTTAGAAGTTTGTTCAACTTGTCGACCAGCACAAACGACGATCTTGTTCCGTGCATAGACGATTCCGTCCAGGTATTCAGTGCTTGGATCAGCGCTAGCCTCTTCAAAGGCACGCACCGCGTCCTTCATATTGGAATTGACATAATATTTCAGTTCAACCAATGGCTGTGACTTTTTCAATCGAATCTCCAATAGAGTGACCACTCCCAAGGTCCCAAAGGAAGATGCGGCGCCCCAGAACAAGTCCGAGCGGTTATCCGCCAGTTCCGATCCCGTCTCGACGCGGTCATTGTATGCCTTCACCACCTGACCATCTGCCAGGACCATTTCAATCCAATTGACAGTATGATCGAAGAACCCCTCACGGAAAGAGCTACTCTCGCCCGATGTCCCCGAGAATCCGCCCCCAACCGAGATGTTGGGGAACTCGACAACCACCAAAGGGACCAAACCATGGGCCTTGGTGGCAGCCACCAGAGCATCCATCGAGACATTGGGCTCAACTATAGCTGTACATCTGTCGATATCGATCTCGAGGATGCGAGTGAGAGGTTCTGTGCTGACCGTGTTGGAGAGAGATCGGTTGGAGGGCCGAGTACTGTTGGTAGCGCCATGATATATACGGAATGGTTGCTGACGACTGTGGAAGTCCGCTACCCGTGCTGAGATCTCTTGTACATCTGCAGTATGATCCATTATAGATATGAAAATAAAAAAGGAGATATAGAAATATAGAGATGTAAGCAAATGCCAGAACCTTGGAAGATGTAAGATGCCAAGGGGAATGGAATGAGGAGAATCCCCAGCCCGAGGTCTCCACATTTCCAAGGTTGGAGCCCTGGCTGACATGAAAGACATGAACTAGTAGGATTTGTATGGAATCAAATTCAAAACTATACATCGGTATCATCAACATGAGAAAGAAGAAAGACAAACAGAAACAGAAACAGAAACAGAATAGAAGTAGAATAGAAAAATTCCAAGCCTATTGTAGGCCAACAGGGCGTGCTCCTGCGAGATTGACCACCCTACCACCTCCAGCTACTCCCACTACTGTAGGCGCCCGTGGCTGTACCCAACCTGGAACACTGGAATCATGACTCTCCCGTGCAGAAATGGTCTGCCAGACATTGGGGAATCCTGTGGGCAAAATTCCTTTGATTTTGGCACCAGGAACGGCGAATCGAGGCTCACGATGCAGAAGGTAGCCACCCATCAGTCCTTGTGTAATCAACGATGCAAAAATCGATTCAATCTCTTGCATCATGGATGCGTCTGTTTCTGTCCTGTTGTCGAAGTCATACGCATATGGATTCAGTTCGTAATCGCCATAGTTCTCTTCTGGGTCTCCATCGACCAATTGACCCGGTAGATTAGGCTGTGGTCGCCCTTCTTCGGTGTAAAATCCGTCCGGGGCCAAAAAATCCCCATATTTTCCTAGTATCTCTTGATCGGTGGCGGGGCTGGCCCTTCCGTCTGCTCCTTCCAGGCGGGCGTAGTCGAGATCTGTGGGTTCGGAAACGACTTGTGACCCATAGAGGTTGGAGGCTGCCATAGTATTCGCGGTGCCATTTCCGGATGATGCGTGTTTTGTTTGTAGCCATCGTATAGCCACAACGAGCTTTTTAAGGTTGAGGACTGGTGGAGGTCCCCTTTGCGCCTGCGCCTGCGGACCTCCATAGGAACCTCCGTACATGAAAACCTTGCGTGCAAAAGATCGCCAAACCAGAGTCTCACATCTATTTCGGAGGGTAAACAGAATTCCTTTGCGTGCAAACCATTGCGCGGTCGGCGAGCCCAAGAAGAGGTGTTGTCGGAAAGCCAGGTAATCTCCTCGGACAATCAATCGACACAGTGGCTGGAAGTGTTCTGCTAATCCTTGTGTTTCTGGTCGTTGGAGAAGTGCCTGGGACGGGAATCGGCCCAGGATAATGTTACACGGAATGAGGTATGAGAGGATCAAGCGTCGTTGGCTTATGGCTTGGCGGTGGCATTGGTCATAGGCGGCCTGTAAAGCGATGCGGGCGGGGAAAAAGAGGTTATTGGCGAAAAGGTAGCGCCCGAGGTAGTAGAGGTAGGTTACACGCTGTGAAGCTGGGAAGTAGGCCAAGGGGGGTGATTGGGCGCTGATACTTGCAAACATCTGCTCGGCGTTGCGTAGTTTGCCGCACTGTATGTTCCGTCAGAATCAAGATCCGAAAGAGGGTGAGATAGTCAGTGATAGAGCCTCCGTACCTGGAACAGCAGTTTCAGGCAGAGATTAGCCATGAGATAGATACCGATGCGCTTGCCCTCCGGCTTACCAGTAGGGCCGGGAGTGCCGGTCCGATCAGTGAGGCACTTGATGAAGGCTTCGCGCACCACATTGGCCGATTTTTCCACCAAAGTCACTTTCTCGATGCTCTCGTCCTGAGCTGCCAGACCTTCCATTCGTCGAATATGCGCGATCAGGTCCGGTCGACGATCGAGGCCCATTGCCAATTTTGCCAGCACCTTTGACAAGTAGAGAACTGTAGGAAGGACGACGACACCCATTTGACTATCTCCGAGGGCGAGCACACATTGACTGCAGTTGATGAGAGAAGGTTGAGTCAGCTTTCAAGCTCGAAGATATGAGTAGGATCCTCGTCCGGGGAACAGAGAGTACATTCAGAATCCTCCACGGGAGGCAGCAAAACTTACTTGAGCAGCGCCTTCAACTGGTTGTATGTTTCCAATAGGTTATCGGTGTTCATATCGCGTAGAAAGATCAGGTAGAGCTTGACGAAAGTCGGGAACGCCGTCCATGAGCCACCCTTGGATCGCGGCACGAGAGGCTCGCATCGTTGAAGAAGTTCGGTGTCGGCTTTGGAGCTCGGAGCGTAGTGCTGCCGTAGTTCACTGACCATGCGCTGGTAAATGTCAGAAAGCGGCGGCTCGAGCTGAAGAAAGTCCTGGACTTTGGCACCATCGCGGTTCTGGACCAATTCCTGCAAACTGCTGAGAAATTGGTCGAGGACGGGAGTTTGACCCATGTTGAAAGAGCAAAATGCTCGATTCGCTGGTCTCTCCAGAAGTATTAATTTGATTGAACGATCATTGTGTTTTCAAAGATCCTTAACGGGCAAAGAAACCAAACCGAGGAGCTCATCTATTGACGGCATGGCAGAACCCGTGACCGCCCTTTGTATAGACATGCATGGCTGTCCAGGAGCGGGAGTTGACCCAATTTTCAATTATACTCAATTATGCTAGGTCATTGAGTGCTTTGATAAAGAGGAATTAATAGGTCATTGTTAATAACAATTCTAATATAGCTCAAATGAGTTGGTGCCTAGACATAAACACTTCACTCGGATTGTATATCTACATATCTACAGAATACTATTCTAGTTCAAGCGTACAACAACATAAAGATGTTGTATTATATCCACGCAATCCATAGGTAATAGGTAGTATTATCATCTACTCTTGCATGTGATGGATATGGTTTGAATCTCAAAGAATGATTATCTTGTCATTTAATAGGCGTATGTATCCCACATGGATATGTATATAGCCCTCGGAGAGTGAGATATTCAAATATTGTCTTACGATCACACAAGTCCCTTTTATTACCTATAGTCAAAGTACATATGTTATATTTGATTCCTGTCAAAATTATATATGTAGGTGCCCTACCTAGTATGATATTACACACCTTATTAAACCTGTAGATATTGGTGGAACGGGCAGCAATTTCACATGAAACTTCCTTGGAGACCTGTAGAATCAATCAAGCAAAACCATAGATGACATTATACTATAATTATAGTAATTATAGTATAATATTATATGTTATAGTACGTGCTAGGTGTCTCCTCTTTTCCCAGACAGGTTTCCTCCTATGATGTCATCTAACTGTACCCATATCACATGTAAAAGGTAACGTCACAAGAGGGAATTGGAAGTACAAATATTCTCAATGTTGACTCTTTTCTTCCTCAATTGTTCCAATTCCTCATTTAACAAAAATCATGGGTTCCGAGTCCTTTATCTCGGCGCTTTCGGCCTTCATCCGGCATCCATTCGTAGAGACCTTTACCTGGCTCTACTTGGCTATGCAAGCGGTGTTGGTTTACGTCTTTTCTCCTATACCCCCGCCCCCTACCGCTCAAAATGCAAATCTTCCTCGAAAGAGAGTCGCAGTCATTGGCGCAGGCTTGACCGGTGTGTCATCGGCTGCACACTGTGTTGGCAATGGCTTCGATGTCCAATTGTTCGAATCGAGACCCAAAGAACAAGGATTGGGAGGCATCTGGAGTGTCAGTTCTGCTTTGTTTTTAGTTAAAGTACTTATACTAATACCCTTATAGAGAGTCAATTCCACCTCCGCACTACAAGTCCACAGCGTCATGTACCGTTTCCATCCTTCGGTCCGGTTCGACAGCGCGTATCCCACCCAGCAACAGATCAAAGAGCAAATCGTTGATGTCTGGAAGAGGTATGACCTGGAAAGACGCACAGTCTTTGAGACTAAAGTCACGTCTGTGAAAAAGACCAAGAATGGCCAGTGGATCATCAACAATGATGAAGAGCAGTATGGCCGCTTCGACGGCATCTTGGCCACGGTAGGCGTTTGTGGAGATCCTAAGATGCCACCGCTGCCTAGCCAGGAAAAATTCGAAGGCCAAATCTACCACTCCTCTGAGTTGGATGGCAAAAATGCCAAAGGCAAAAAGGTGCTCATTATTGGAGGCGGCGCTAGCGCCATTGAAGCTTTGGAGTTCGCCGTCAAGAATGGAGCTGCCGAGATTGATGTTCTTTCTCGCTCCGATAAATGGATCATCCCCGCAACATACTCGTGCAGTCTCTGCTAGCGTGCAATATCTTCGGCCAGGAAACCTCACTCTCGTGGATCCCCGAATGGTTGCTGCGCAAGTTTTTCTATCGTGATCTTCAAGACATTGCGCCGTCAGACAAGGGAATCTTTACCGGAACTCCGATGGCCAATGACGAGTTGTTTAACCAGATCCGCGAGGGCAAAGCCCACTGGCTACGGGGTGACATCGTTTCTGTGGAAGAGAAGGGTGTGATGTTCAACTATCGATCCAAGGGGGTCCCCAAGGGAGGACCTGGCCACGAGAAATTGGTTGAAGGAGATATTATCGTCATGGCAACTGGTTTCAAACGGCCTTCTCTGACCTTTTTGCCCGATGAGTGTTTCGATGAACCCTACGGACCGCCTAGTTGGTATCTTCAAGTCTTCCCACCCAAGTACCCGGATATTTGCGCAAACAACAGCACCTACGTCGATGCGATTGGTACAGTGGGCAATATGCATATTGGAATATACACGCGATTCCTGCTCATGTTCTTGACCGACCCATTGACCAGGCCTACTGAAGGGTGGATGAAGACCTGGATCGACTTCACTAGGTTCATGAAGCGTCTGGCACCCACGGGAGCATTTGACTTCTTCACCTATGCTGAACTGATCTACTGGTACTTCTTCGTCCTTGTCGTCAACCCGTTCCGCTGGAAGTGGGCGTTGTTCGTCTTCTTTGGCATTGGTCGTGGCTTGCCCTTGAGGTTCGTGGAACAAGAGAACTCGTTCCGTAGGGAACTGAAAAAACAACACAAGTCAAAGAAAACTCATTAAACTGAGTTGCTATGGTACTTGCCGAATGTCACGACGGAGGATGCATGTGCAGTGAAAGCTAAGAGGGTCATCATAATTCGAATGTGATGCTCTATTCGTTGTTTTGGCCTGGAAGACCATTGCCAAAAAAACATATGTATTGTATGTAATATCAAGACATAGCGCTTAAATTCAATGATTTCCACCTGAAGATAGGAAATCCACTCCCATTATTGCCCTTTGATTTCTGGAATCTTCTTACCCATGTCGTAAGCCAAATTGCCCCCTCGCAAAAAGCGAGCAGGGATATAATGCTGCTCTTCCAGCCACAGTATAGGCCATAGCAACGTCACACCCAGGAGACAGAAAAGGGTTGCAATGAGATGCCAAACAAAAATAATCCAATACCCGATATGCGGCATGAGGAACTTGACGAACTCTGATGTTTGATACAGATCTTCTTGCTTAGAAATGTAGTAAAGCTTGTGGTCGCCATTGGTCGTAGCATCGCTCTTGTCCGAATCGTACGTCAGGTCCAAGACCGTAGTAAGAGTCACCGGAGCGACATGGAATGGAACAAGCCAAATGGAGAAGATCTGTGACATATTCACATAAAGCTTGAGCTTATCCTCATCAAATGCTGAAGGATAGTCAGAGTCTGCAGTTAAAATTATGCTGTCCATAACTTCGGGGAGTCCGTACCAATTGAATGAATCTCTAGCTCGATCCGGGGTGACATGATCTTATACCATTGGAATATCTTTGAAACCCACCATCTGCTACCTTCAAAGTTGGGCACTCGGCAGAATGGATGAACGAATGATGCATTGTTGGTGAAATACCGCTTGAGGACGGTTTCTTGTAAAGACGGCGGCGACTGTGTCAGACTCCGGATAACGGTTGGTATATCGGCCACTATAGGGATGAGCAGGAGATAAATATATGAGATCGAATTGGCAACGCACCTGGGTTTTCCATTTTGATCGAAAAGGTTCAACGATGTTGGAAAGAAAGAAACGAAAGATATCAAGAGTTGGGCCTGAGGGACACAATGACGTCATGTTCGACTATGCTCGGGGTTTAACATGTGAACTGCGTTTGGGCCTAGTCACAGCAAGCTGGAAGCTACCCAATTGAAAAACTTTTTCTTAAACAAGTAATTTCTTTCGATCGATACCACATGCTCTGTAGAGGCCATATCAAACATCACATTTTGTTACCCCGGAAGGAGTATGCCAGATGCCGGTGTTTATCGGCATGCCGAGTCATTATATTCCGGCGGTGAGGTATGAAGTATACACATACACAGCCCTAGACTGAATTGATCCGGTGGCATCATATCCTTTAATGTATGTCATAGAATCTAGATACAGGTATGCATTGGTCAAAATGGACCTTGGGTAATCAAGTAAACTCCAAAGTGATTGAATTCCAGAAAGAAACGCCTTTGAACATGGAAGTTGCCCGCTGTAACCACTTTTTACCGCTTCCAGCTGTCAACCTTCTTTCGTCGCTTGTCGAAGATCTGGCCCATGCCAACACCATCACCGCGTTGCCCGTCCTCGTTGCGGACTCGCTTCCGACTCTTCTCGAGTGCGGCTCCGTTGCTTTTGATTCTCCGGGTGAGACGTTCAATGTTATCTGCTCCCTCATTGAGCCCCTTCCATTCATCACCACCGTACGTGGTATCCTTTCCGCGACCCCGTTTGGCCAATTCCTTCTTAGTCTCCTTCGGCAATCGGACAAAGTTGGTCTCTTCGTAGGTGGTACGCTCTGCCTCGCGCTCTCGGTCCTTCTTTGACTTAACCGTTCGGCCACCATCAATGATTGTGCTGCCGATACTGGGCTCAGCCATGGGTGCGGAGGACATTTCAGCGCTAACAAATTCGTCGATGACGTTGGATCGAATCGGTCTGCGGTCCTGGCGTTCGCGACGTTCCGTCGTAGGCAAGGAAGTTGGCATGATCCTCGGGGGACGATAAATGCCATCCCCGGGTCCTTCTACGGCACCCTTGGAGGATTGGGCCTTCTTCTGCTCGGCCACTCCCTTGGAGAAGGCAGAAACATTAGGTCGGTACGCCATTTCATCGATGTCCTCTTCCTCCTCACTGCCGCTCGCATCTTCGTCCTCATCCGATGAGGCTTCGCTGCCTGATGTCGCGGCTTTGCGGCTTTTCTTGGTCTTGACCGGCTGAACCTTCTCTGCCCGCTCCGCATCCTCTGCAGCCTTAATGACCTTATCCACCTGATACTTCAATCGTCCTTCCAAAGGACGGACACCACGTTCGAGGAATACGCGAAGCTCAATCAATTTCTTGCGAATATCATCTTCGAGGGAGTTGTCCGTAGATTGACTCTTGTCTTTCGGGGTTTGTTTCGCCGACACATTTCGCAGTTGGAAGATAATCAGGAACACAAGATTTTGCAAGTAGGAGAGGAGAATTTCGCTCTTGGTGTCGAGGAGAGATATGCCGTCTTGGGGAGGCTCGATCGTGACATCGGAAGGCACATCCTTGTGTGGCTTGGGTAGAGAGGAGGCAGTTGTCGACAGACAAGTATTCAGAGTCTCAAGTAATGTCGATAGGCTTTGAGGGCGTGCAGGCACCTGTGCTGGAGCCATGATTGAGAGTCGATGACTTATAGAGAACAATAGTTCGCGAACAAAAAAATTTGGCCGCTTCGACGATAACACCAGTCACGTGTGATAATAATAAGGCACCAAGGCACCAACAAGACATCCTTAGATCGTCATTGCCAATCTGTCACTCGCAGTTTGGTACTTTGGCACTTTACCTCCTTCGAGTATCGCGAGTTTCTCACAAATGAGAACCGTGATTCTCTCTTCTAGGGTAGCTTCTTGCTGTAAAGAACCCCCCCCGTTTTCTTTCACGATCGCCCATTGAAACCCTAGCTCTACTCCTATCCTCCCCCAAACAAACAATTGAGGTTGATTTCCAGGCTCCCAAATTCTATAGAGACACTCAACATGCGGTTCACCGATCGAGCCTTTCTTCTCTCCTCGACTCTACTAGCAATCCCTTCCTTGACTACGGCCTTTTATCTGCCTGGTGTTGCACCGACCTCCTACGACGAAGGGCAAGCAGTTCCGCTTTATGTCAACCACCTCACTCCCAGTCTCTCGCGCGATGATCAGCTTCATTCGGTCTTCTCGTTTGACTACTACCATCCGGCTTTTGGGTTCTGCCGACCTGCAGACGGTCCTAAAGATGTGAGGGAATCCCTGGGGAGCATTTTATTCGGTGATCGGATTCGCACCTCGCCATTCGAGCTTCACATGGCAAAGAACGAGACGTGCAAATCGATATGTGCAGAGGCAAAGTTTGATGCCCGCAGCGCAAAGTGGACCAATCGGCGAATAGCTCAGGGCTACAACATCAACTGGATTGTGGATGGGCTGCCAGCCGCGCAGTTGAACTATGACGGTGTTACCAAGACCAAATTCTACAACCCCGGTTTCTCTCTGGGTGAGCTAGATGACAACGGCCAGGCTCTGCTCAACAATCACTACGACATTGTGATTGATTATCATAAGGTGGGCTTTGGCGGCAAGGATAAATATCGCGTTGTTGGAGTGCTTGTCCAGCCTGAATCTCGCAAGGACTCCCGGAATTTAGAAGGTGGCGCCGCTGAATGTGGTACCCCGGGAATGGGTCTTACGCTCAACGAGGACGGGGAGACCACAGTCACCTGGACATATAGTGTGTACTGGAAGGAGTCCCCCACAGCCTGGGCTACCCGGTGGGATAAGTATCTTCATGTCTACGACCCCAAGATCCACTGGTTCTCGCTCATCAACTCGGCCGTCTTTGTGGTTTTCCTCGTCGGTATGGTCAGCATGATTCTAGTCCGCGCACTTAAGAAGGATATTGCTCGCTATAACAGGCTTGATTCGTTCAACCTGGAGGATTTGGACAGCACTTCGGCCGCGATCGAAGACGGAGTCCAGGAGGATTCTGGCTGGAAGTTGGTCCATGGCGACGTCTTCCGGTGCCCCAAGTCTCCGTTGTTGCTGAGTGTGATGGTTGGCAATGGTGCCCAGCTATTTATGATGACCGGTGTGACTGTCGGTAGGTAGTCTAACTCACGCTCTTCTCCTCTTAGGTGCTAATCTTCCCTTGTAGCATTTGCCCTGCTTGGCCTCTTATCTCCTTCCAACCGTGGATTCCTGGCTACTGCCATTCTCCTGATTTCCGCCCTTTTCGGTGGTATCGGCGGTTACGTGTCGGCGCGAGTGTATAAGACATTCGGAGGCGACGCTTGGAGGCGGAACATTATCATGACCCCTTTGTTCATTCCTGGCATTGTATTTGGTACTTTCTTCACGCTGAATCTCTTTGTTTGGGCCAAGGGATCCAGCGGTGCCGTACCATTTGGAACCATGTTGGCACTGGTCTTGATCTGGTTTGTTATCAGTGTGCCCTTGAGCGTGGCAGGCAGCTGGTTGGGATTCAAGCAATCGGTACTGTTAAGATTCCCTATATCCAGACATTCAAGTGACTAACCACACTTTTCCAATAGCCGCTTGAGGGTCCTACCAAGACGAACCAAATCCCTCGGCAGGTTCCTCCGATGTCTGGTAGCCTGCGCACAATCCCGTCGATTCTGCTGACCGGAATTCTCCCCTTCGGTGCCATTTTTGTCGAGCTGTACTTCATTATGACCTCCCTCTGGACCAACAAGATCTACTACATGTTCGGGTTCCTGTTCCTCTGCTACGGCCTGATGATTATTACCTCTGCGGCTACTACTGTCTTGCTGGTGTATTTCTTGCTGTGTGCAGAGAACTACCGGTGGCACTGGCGCGCATTTATGGGTGCAGGTATGACCGGAGGATATGTATTTGTGAATGCGCTCATTTTCTGGGCGACACGGGTCAGCTTTGGTGGATTGACGGGGGCGGTGCTCTATGTGGGCTATTCGGCGTTGATCGCCTTCATTGTGTTCATTCTGACAGGTAGGTTCTTGTTCCTGTGTCTTCCGGATGGGCTTTCTTTGCTGAC